CTTACTTAGGCTAGGTGCTTATGACTGATTAATAGGCACCTCTACCCCCCCTGAACCTCCCCTCCCCCCCCCCACGATTTAGCCCAAAGATCTGGCATATATAGAATACACGCCCAAGATCCCGACTCCCGGGCCCTACCTAAGCTGGTGAGTTGTGGGGGAAATTCGCCCTAGTCTACCTCGCGGTAACCGTACACGCGTCCAGAGGCGGCTTAGGTGGCTGGGCAATGTACCTGTACGCGCATACATGAAGGTGCACGTTCGGGAGTGCCCGACCGATCGACTTTCGGTAACGGCATTTGTGCCTCTTGTGCCATCGCCAAATTGCCATCACAAATATTAGGTAATGGCACATGTGCACATATTTGGTAGATGCCTAATTGCAAGGTTGGGGGTCTCAGGCGAAGCTAGCCCGGCTCATACCTACATAGGTATGTACTCTCCCCCGCTCCACCCCCATTCCTCCCTCGGGCGTTGCCTCTTCACTCAATCCCCTCCGCCCAGGACGGCTCGCTCCCGTCTGGTCTGGGGTCGTTTACCAGCGACCAACCTGAAGTATCTCCATCGGGGTTGCTAAGACGGCATCCCACAGTCGCCCGTCAGCCCATGCATGCCCCGTTGCTGAAATTATCCCAACCCACCTAACGAGCGTGGGATCTCAACCAAAATGCAGGACCCAATTAAATCATCCCTACCCCTCGGGCTCGTGTATTTCCAGTGCTCCAATACCCAAGAGCCGCATGGGTGGGTGGACGACATTGGCTCAGCTGTTTCGTATGCTCGTTCAATATATGCTAGCGAGCCACCGGGTCGCGCGAAGCTGAGTCGGTCTGTGTGGGTACCGGGCAAGACCGCGATCTATTCCCGAAGATCGCGGACAGGATGCTGCTGACAGCATCGGCCCCGGTAGCTAGCCAAGGGTGCCGTTGCTCACATCTCATCTGGAGCACCGCCTCTTGGCTTGCAACGACATTGGCAGCGCCCGCTGCCCGTTCAAGCGCACTCGAGAACCAAAGTTCAACCCCAAGACCAGCCGGGAGCGCGTAAATGGGTCTGACCCTTGACCATGGAAGCGTCCATGCTGGTTCTCTGAGCTGCCCGTGTAAGTAACACCTGCCTATGTGCTCATGCCGCTGCCAATTTCACAAGGCTGGCTCAGCTGAGGGGAAACAATCAGCTCGAGAGGTACCGAAGACAACCCGCCCAGCGCCCCTCGCTACCTTCTACGTATGTGTATGCATGGTAACGATACGGATGCATTGTGAGGTCTTCCTAGAGGGCGATTCTCGAGGATGGATCCCAAGGACCCGGAACCCAATATACCTCTGAACCGCACGGTAGCATTGGGTTACTTAACGGACCTAGCGGTGGCACATCAGCCCTACACATATCCGCGAACAACCTCTCGAACCGCAATCATCTTCACAGGACCAATCGCTTGAGCCTCGACCTTGCATTCCACCGAGAATGAAGTTGAGGGCCAAGTTTGTCGTACTGACGCCGCTCAAGTCTTACCGGCAAATGCGCCACGCATGCCATAGTTTGAGGTGCTCGACCACATGGCTATGCCGCGCGTTGCTCGGCCTATTAACGGCTGCCGTCTCACTTCGACTATTTATATAGGGGCACCGAAGAGGGGGGGCACTTTCTTATGGGATACGGGGCCGAAAAAAAAGGAAGAACCGAAAAGAAAAGCAAAACATTTTCCTCTCTTGACCGAAAATGTGCCCTCACTGGTCATACGACTCTGACATCTTCACCAAGCCACGGCAAAGCTGTGAGGACTGGATTCGGTATGGCTATTCAGCACCCGAGTTGGTAGGGGCAGGCGTGTTCCTACGCCCGTACCGTCTCCTAAGTTGGTATCGAAGGCAGGATGGTATTCCTATATAACCTTCCTATCCTCCCTCATGAGGTTGAGGATCTCCACAGGAGCAAAGTTCGTTCTCTCTTCGATACGGCACATCGATCTTCCCCCTTACCTACAAGCCTTCGGTATACCTCACCGTCCACACTCGACGAGAAGGACCTTAAGAAATCACCACTCTACGAATATGTGCTACCCCTCCGAGGCTAGAAGCGGGCTGTCGACGCCTAACTCAACCGATCCGGCGAACTGGCGGTGGAATTGTGTAAGTTGCACTCCTCCCCCTTTTAAATTCACATCTAATAAACCCGAAGTGCGACTGCGACGCTGGCATGAACAACTCTTACATCTTCAACTCGAACTGCGTTAATTGCGGGCATGCCAGATGCGGAGGTTGCATTACCTGGGCCACAAAGTAACACCTACGTTGCGGCTCTCATGCCATCTTCTTTTCGACTTGCGATTCGATGCCTATTCTCTGGTCGGGGAGTCGACAAAACTTTCTCTTCTACGCACGGCGAGCTTGCTACGGACATTTATTTTCATATACATTACGAAATCATTGCTTCTTCGACAGCCTATGGACTCAGTGGTACTGGACAACGATAGACTTGGTATCCTTGGTTCCCTTTGTGGCATCGTGTTTCTTTTTCGGGCGTAAGTGCGGGTTAGAAGAGAGAGGAGTACCATTGGCTGGATATCCGGCTGGAGGAAATTGTCACGAATTTATTTATTATTTACAATAGGTGAAGACTAACGAGAAAGGCTTTATTCTAACGATACTCATCCCATCGTGCCGATTTACCTTGTAAACTTGTGAAAATGTACGTGGTGCCATTATCCGCACAAGGTCGCGGGCAAAGGGGCACCAACTATTTCCATTCCATTCGCGGGTTACGATGACCAGATCTAGAGCACTGTTGAGGCATTCGTACACGTGGGACCGCTCCCGCTGCTGAAGAACACAGGCGTGTAGACGCTGGAGGGACACGACCCCAACCTACGCTGCAAACCGCCTCTCAATTTCAGCTTAGTCCACAACCAAGCTATAGTCATACACAACAAGTGATAGCGCATTGCCACACTATCTTTCGGAGAGGGAGGAGAGGCGGTAGATGCTGACCCATGAACGCGTTAATAAGACTGACCGCTGGGCATCTCACCGTGCCTCGTAGAAAAGGTATATACTCCCGCACCGGTTCGGTAAGTCGTGGTAAGTCGTAATCGGCCCTAATAGGTCGGTCTATCTATACCGAAATACCCGCCTGCGTCATGGGCAACCCGGTTGCGGTTCTCGACGCGTTGGCACAGGCGATTAACCACCTCTCCAAGCAATGAGACACCCGGGATACATATCCTGCGATGCCTGCCTAGGCACTCGTCGGTGGCTAAGCCGGCAGGGTAAGTGGAGCGCCGCTCGGCGCCCCCCGGGTGAACTGAGGGGATCGACAGGTTGACTCGACACAATCTGACTGCACAGCTTTTAGGCAGCTAGCCGCCCGCTCAGGCGGCATGTCGCAGCAGAATATGAACCAGTTAGCATCGCAAAACGGGGCCTTAGCATCGAGCAGGCAGGGAGAGTCACGGCCTGAACGGGGCAGATCTGTCAGCCAGAAGGTATAAAACGGAAGGAGAGAGGCGGGAGTGACATAACCTAGCTTACCTATATGACCGGTACTTGCACGCGCTAATAAGTTTCGGCCCCCGGAGTCGTGGGGCGACAGGGGGTAATCCAGCTAGTCTCAGTACTGGCGATGGCCTTATGCCTCAGCCGCTCAAGGCGCTGTACTAGGGGTATAACACACCGGGCTAAATGTGTGTGGAGTTGGCCGGCTCCGGGTTACGTCGTCACCGGGTCGAATTGTTTGACATGTGAGTGGGCATTTGGGGGGAGAGGGAGAGGGAGAGAGGGAAAAAAAGAAGCAGCCTGTGTGAGCTGACAGGGCAGGCTACGGTGTTTATTTCCATTTCCTCTTCCACGTAGACTTATCTATTTCTGCACGTGCGTACGCACCTACATATACGCATTCGAAAATCCATACGCGGCGTGGACCGGCATCGAGAAAGCCGAGGGTTTAGGGTCTAGGTCTTGATTGGCGGCGTCTGAGGCTCTGCGGAACAGTATCGGGCACCTTCTCTCACATCCAAAGTGGTTCGGGGCTCGCCAAGGCCCGAATGGGCAGGTGGGAACGAGCAACAAAGGTACCGGATTTACCCAATCCAGCGCCGGCCTCCTGTCCATCCACCTGCCCTATCACTGCATCTAAACCCGAGCGACCGGAAAGAGCAGCGAGCGCCACTAGAGGATAGGGATCGGCGGGGGAGGAGGAGGAGAGATATTTTTAAAAAGAATATAAAAATAAAAATGAAACCTCCCCCGCCACTCCCTAGGATAAAGATACGTAAAATATGATAGGTGGTAAATCGATATTTTGATAGTTTCAGCTATTGAGCCGCACGGCGGGTACAGGCATTCGTAAGGGAGTACGTGCACAGGTGCATTACTACCTACCTAGGTACCTATTTGGCTGCATCATTCAACTAGGGGTACCTAGGTAACTAACCGGGTTACTCAATTCAGTACCTTGGGCGCGTCAGGTGATGTACTGTACGTGGGTGGCGAGCCATACCTTCTCAGCATTAGTAGATCGATCTCCTCCCTCTCCTCCTAGCTTGCACCCGTCTCTTGTTCAGCTCCGAGAGACTAACCCGGTCCCAACGAATGCCCTATTCAGAAGAAACCCGACGGAATCCTTCCTCCTTGGGTGCTGCTGTGCTGCCCACCTCGACGGCCTGCGTCAGGTCACGGACGGCGCCTTCGGCCGAGTTTGCCCGTCCGCAGCGCCGGGGGGCGTAGGGAGCGTGGGGGAGGACACTGAGAAGGAGGAAGTACTATACCTAAAGAATAACCATGAAGAATGACCAATCGACGGGCTGCTTACTCGTTTGCGGCGCCGCACTACTTAATCAGTGTGAGACGAAGCCGACGAGTATTTACTCATACAGCCTGCCCGCCACATGAACCACCTTGGGTCCTAAACGTTGGGGTGGCGGTGGGGGTAAGCAACGGGTAGGTGTACCTGGATAACGCCGTGATGGCGGCATGGCAGGGGGCAGCACGTTTATTGGCACGATGGGATGTCCCAGTTTTTTTTCTATTTTGCCGAGGTGTGTGTTCTCGGATGACCGATGCTACAAGATTCAGTCTCAAAACATCCCTCCCATCCAGCTAGCATTCAGGTACAGCTCGTGAGGTTGCGGACGCATACGCGCATGCGCACTCCCCGTGTCTGTTTCCGAGATAGGCCGGCTACCCGATCTATACAGGACAACCAGATTTACCTATCAGGGCGAGCCACGCAGGGACGGATCAGGAGAGTGATCGACGCGAGAAAACGAAAGTCATGGGGGATCACAGCAAGCTCCCGAGCCCTCCGTTCCATCACATTCCCGGACTGGCAAACTTCCGCGATATTGGAGGATACCCCGTCAACGGCGGCCCAAGCTCAGACGACCCCGGTCCGCCTGATGGGGGGAAGATCCTGAAGGTCGTGCGACCCGGTCTGATCTATCGATCTTCGGAACCATCCAGGGTCACCACGGACGGGGTCTCGAAACTGCAGGCGCTGCGCATCGAGAAGGTGTACGACCTACGCTCCAACGTCGAGATCGAGCGTGGCATGCGCGACGGTTACAACTGGAACGTCAAAGAGTGGGACGGCGCCCTTCGCGTCTTCGCTCCCGTATTTCTCGACCAGGACTTTTCGCCCGAGTCTTTAGCGATAAGATACGGCAACTTCTCCTCGGAGAGCCCAGAGGTACGTCTGTGTTGCCTGCGGTTGCTTGCGTGCATGCGCAGATCGTCACGAGGTCGTGAGCGATCGAGCGATCTTCCCTTAAACGGTCCGCATCGGTTCGAGGGTTCGTTCAGCTTGATCCTGCTGGTCGTGGACCGGAGTGCGTGATTACCTGGAGACCGGGGGGTAGGCGCGCAATGGTAGCATTGGGGGCTAAAGCCTCGCTTCCCGCCCAGTACCGAGGAAGCGCGAAATGGAGATTGGGGTAGATTCGTTAGCGTGGACGTGTGCTCGTATCGCTATATACTGTATCCGACAGTTCGGCCGGGGCAGGCTACCTCCCGCTCGCGTGTCACTTTTTCTTTTCTTTTTTCTTCGTCCTCGCCGGTCATCTCGAGAAGCTGACCAACTCCAACCGCCCGCATACCCACCTGCTAGACTAACTTAGACTCCAGGGCTTCGTGGCGGCCTACGAAGACATCCTCACCGCAGGCGCCTCCTCAGATAACGGCTTCCGGCCGTTCAAGACGATACTGGAACACCTCGCCTCTCCCTCGCCCACACCGCCATCACCTTGCCTCATACACTGCACAGCTGGTAAAGACCGCACCGGCGTGATCTGCGCGTTGATCCTGAGCCTGTGCGGTGTGGATGATGAGATAGTCGCGCACGAGTACTCCTTGACCGACCTCGGGCTCAAGTCGCGCCATGACGAGTTTATCAAGCACCTGATGGATAACCCGGTGTTGCGAGGGAATCCCCTCGGGGCCAAGAGGATGGTTAGTGCCCGGTACGTCAGTCCAATCTTTGTTGGGTTGCCTCGGAGCAAGCACTCCCAGCTGCCCCCCTTGCCCCCCCCGCCTCCCCCTCTGACCGGTTTCCCACGGGCGCTCGTTCCTTGCCGTCAACTCCAATTTCGCTCTCCCTTGGTACGTGGCTCTGAGAGAGCGGGAGACTAACTCGTGATGCAATAGGAAAGATTCCATGCTGGCCACGTTGGCCAAGATCCGCGAGACCTACGGTTCTGTCGAGAAATGTGTCGTTGACCTGGGATTACTCTCGTCTGACAATGTTAGGCAACTACAGAGTAACTTAATCGTCGAGCTGAGCGCTAAGGACGCGGTTCCGTGGCAGGATCACGCCGAGTTACTGCTGTAACCGGCCAGTAGTATATTTGCCCATTTGCCCACCAGCGTTGGCTCTTACATGGCACTCGGACGCTCTCTCTCGCAACTGATGATAAGCACCTCAGAGCCTTTGAACATAGCGTCCTGCATGCGCTTTTTTACATTATTCGTACATTTCTTTCATACAAGATCGTGCATGCCATCGACCGGTACCGCGCCCGCCGGCAAATCCTCACTGATGAGGAGTATTTTGCTGTATTTAGCTAAATAGTTACACCTGCACTAGGTGCGCTTGGCCAACTTTAGCAACCTACCGGTCCTGCAACACCAGAGCCCCCAAAATATTGGCTTGTCTGATCATTAATCCCGCTTCAAGGTACCGAAGTAGGGATCTTGATTTGGCCTCTAGAGCGATCGTAATATGGCGCACCGTACCGCCAACCGACGGCATTCCGAGCTCTACCTGTGGGGCCAACCTTGCTAGAATCGATCTGCTTGAAGCGGAATTCGAAGCGGCCGGAATGCACGCGGGTGGTAAACTGCTCTTCCAGTTCGATTTTCTTCACCTGTGCTTCGGATGCTTTCCTCTCGGACTCCCTTACGGCCTCCTTGAAATTCTGAGCGGCATCGTACGGGGATACGCCCTGCAACAATTCCTTCTCCATTTGGATGAGTTCCGGATGAGGAACTCGCTCGTCGGCGGGGAGCAGGTCGTTATGGAAGGCCTGGGCAGCGTCGGCCCGCGTAAAGTGACGTGACTCAGATGTCGGCCAGAACATCTGCTTCATGGTGTACGGATGTACGTGCAGCTCATTAATTGGCTCGAAGGGCTGATTTTGCTGGGTCTGCCGGAAAGAGTGTGTCGGCAGCATCGACAGCACGGCCTTGGCATACGGCCTCGCCAGCTTCTTACCCTGAGATTGCGATGTATTAGCAAAGTTCCTTAGGAGGACACTGGAGGCAAAACGTATAAACGTGCAGGAGGCGCCTTTATCAGAGAGGCTCGCAACAAAGTTGTAACCATGTAACTAGTTGTCTTCAAGACTTATCGAATTTGTTTTGTTTACGTCATCACGAAACGCCGAGAGAGAGGAAGGATTGACCGGAAGGGGAGAACAAGTGAGAGGCGTGTGCACCAACGATGACTGCAACGGCGTACCTTGGCTATCCAATCCCTCTCCACCTCTTTTAACCTGACGATGGCACCCACCCTCCTGATGTCGACGCCGAGCTCGGCGGAGACGGCCTTGACGGACTCGCCCTCTACCACGATCTTGTGCCAGATGAGCTCCCTCGCGCGGTCGTCGAGGACGGGCCGGCTGCGGAACATGGGGTTGAGGGGGAAAGGGCGGTCGACGTTCCGGCGGGAGTCTGCCCTCGCCTGCAGGTAGTTGGTGGAGCCGGGGCGATGCCGGCGGTAGACGGTGCCAGGGCCGCTGATCCAGTTCATGAAGCGACGGCGGAGCTCGGTGAAGCGCTGGCGCGGCGCGCTCGTCGAGAAGCTGGCGCGGCCACGGCCGCCCCGGGCGCACGCAACCGCCGGCGGAGATTGATGATGTTGGAGGAAGAAAAAGAAGAGGGGGTGCGATGGTAGACTTGTGGTCGGCCGCGGCCGCGGGAGGAGTCGGGTCAGGGCCGCGGGCGCCGTCGAGGAGATCGACGGGCGCGGTATGCGCGGCGGCATCGTGTCCAGTCCTTCGCGGGGACGGGGTGGCTGACACCGCAGTCTGGAAGGAGGAGCGATAGGAGATGAAGATGAGGCTGAGCAATGGTGCGAGATTTGCGTATCGAGAAAAAAAAAAGAGGCGGTACCGACCACAGCAAATTACCTAATAATGTGGGGGCGAATAAAACCTGTCAAAAGGCTAGGCTTAGTTAGGACAGAGATGTGCTTCCATAAGCGGCCGTAATATGCGGGTACCTAGGTACCTCCTAGACCGAACGTCCAGTGTTACCTTACGGAGCACATGTTACCTAGGTACATAGGTATGTACCTACCACCTAAGGTGGGTAGGACGAACATTTACCTACCTACCCACAAGAGTTAGCGAGGTATGCGTGTAATACCTCTTATGCATATAACGCCATATGGGAATTGTCGGGAGGACCTAGACCCGGCCATTTCTCGACGGGTTCCTCTTTTTTAACATCAACTCCACACTCGCCATGTCCCACTGCGACGGGCTCATCCTATCTTTATTGATCCTATCTCCCTTTTCCTCCTCCATCCGCCCATCCGTGCGTGTGCTCAGTATGTACGTGTGTAGTATGTATGTGTGTGCGTACGGATATGGGCCCGGGAAGGGAGGCACTAGCCAGTTGCAGCTTAGGAACCACGCTCCCGTTTGTCGTGTTGGCCGGCGCATGTAACGACGGTTCTCCGCCGCCTATCAGCCTACCCGGTTCCGTCCTAGAGCGCCTCGACCTGGTCGACTAGGAAGCCGGCCAGCTACACGCCGGTATATACGTGCGTGTGTATGTGGTCTAACTCGGCTGGGGTCTGTCTGTATGGACTGTATTCGAGTGGAATTGCCCGGCAAACGTCTTTTATGAGTAGGGTGGCGCAGTTTGGAATGTCGCCAGATTTTCCCACGGCTGGTCACATATCAACTTGCCGGCGGCTCCATCAGCTGCTGAACGCTCGAATCAATAGTGAGTCCTTGGCGAGGCCGGACGCACCCTATGGAACAGACGAAGCGCTCTGCTCCTAACCGCAGTCAAGGGCAGTCCGCGCTCGCGCGGTCTGGTTCTAGGATTCGGTAGGTATATACATAGATATACATACCCATCTATATATTTACATAGGTGTATTATCTGATTTTATCTCTTTATTCGAGCTGGGTTTTCTCACGTTCCCCCCGTCCCCTTCCTCCGCCCCTCCTCCGCCCCTCCCCCCCCCCCCTTGGCCCGTGTCGTCGTCAGAGGCCTAGCTCCCTTGCAGGTGGTAGCCACCAGCCAGTCGAGCACGTACAGCGAGGCGTGAGGGGTGTGGGTGTCAACGTGTGGATAGGGAAAGGGGGGGGTTTTTTCCCCAAAGAAAAGCAGAGGAAGAAGGAGAGAGAGGGTGAGGAAAAAAAAAACTTCCTCGAGAAAAAGGGCCGGAATCTGCTCATATCTAATGCATAAACGCAGGTGCATACATATAGGTGGTATACATATATAGGTATAGGTAAATATATATATATTTATACCTCGACTTACCTAGGTACGTGCCAAGCAAGCCTCTACCCATCTTCTCGACATACTAAGCGGGATATAAGTACCTACACACTATAGTATATGCTACAGTAGATGCTACAGTGTATAACCAACCCAACAGATGAGAAGGCGGATGTCCATATGTATATATATGTATGTAATGTCAGATACGATAGATGCGTGTATACTATAGATGCGTGCGCAGGATATGTATGTACGTACGCATCAGAGCTTCTCCCTCCACCCTTGGCTCACCCAGGTAGGGTTCTCGACCTCGACTTGGGCATGGAGGTCGATTGAAACGAAACGCGACGACGAGTCGATTCGAGAACCCTTGCCTAGCCTACCCACGATCGCGATCCCTCATGCACGGGAGCTCCCATAATTCTCCAAAGAGATTGGACTTGCTGGTGGACGACTGGCCGGGCCAGGGTGTGATGGCTGGTTTGTCATACCATCCATTTCACCCCATTCCCGTTCCGCTCCAACTTGTGCCCGGGAAGGTAATTAGTTGTGGTTTGGTTATTTCGTTACCTAAGGGGGGGTGGTATCTCTCCGGGAAGACACGGCTCATGGGCAGAGCGGCGCCCGCCAGCAGCGCGAGCGGAAGCAGCCCAGTATGTGACCTGCACGAATACAACTAATCCTCTATTTGCTAGGCATACCTATTCCCCGGCATTCCCAACCGGTACGATACCGCTGCGTTTTACACGATACACTTGTTATTTCTCCAGTGGATTCAGGTCGGTTCGCCTCGACTCGACCCAGCTGGGAGCGAATACATTTACGTATGCATACACCACATAGATAGATATATATTTTTGGTCTGTCCCCCTCCGCGCGGCCCCGACTCGCATGCAGCACCGTCACTCCCAGTAGCCCACCCTCCGAAGGCCAAAACCAGGCAGCAACTGTCGGCTCAATTCCCTATGAATCCTCACGGCAACCGATCCGATGGGTGACCTAAAAGCCCGCATCAAGGCCAAGCTCCTGCGAAGACGCAGTGATGTGCCCACGCTCTCTTCGAGCAAGCAGAGCAGCTTTGGCCGCGGTAGGGCTTCTAGCAGCACGAACACCCAAGCCTCCACGACTGGCTACGCGGCATCGCTGAGCACGGCGGCTAGCCTCGAGCGCGATAAGAGCGAGGTGGCGTTGGCTTCTCCGGCTGTCACCACCGCTGCTATTGTCGTCGGCGACGACGACGACGACGACGACGACGGCGATGGACTGGGTCGCGACATTGCCGGCGTCGCCGAGGGCGGAGCGGAGGCGGCCAGAGACCGAGGTGTTGTTACGAGTAATAATAGCAGTAATAGCAGGAGGAACAGAATCGGTCAAGAGAGGGGTTGCTGGGGATCCAGGGACGGCATTGCGGATCGGATTGATGGTGGCGGCGACGGACCCGGATCGGCAGACTTAGACATAGACGGCGGGCCCTGCACGGGTGCGGGAACGGGTGCAGTGACGGGGGCGGCGACGGGAATGGGAAGAGGAGGAGGAAGGAGAAGAGGCCAACGAGAAATTCAAGGCGTCGGAGGCGCGACTCCAAGAGGAGCGGAAGCGGAAGCGGGAGCAGGAACAGTAGCGGTCCTGGGTCGGAATCAAGATCGAGTTGAGAGGGTTCCACCCGAGCTGGAGCTGGAGCTGGAGCTGGACCTGGACCTGGCCCGGGACCGAGCAGGCGCCAACTCCTCTACAACCACCGCTGTAACAACTCCTGACACCGTCGCCGCGCTTTTTGCCTCTACCACCACTGCCACTACTACTTCTGTTGCGTCTCGTTCTCGCCATCACCATCATTACCATCATCCTCTCCTCCCTCCTCTTCTCCCTCGATCTCCTCCCGCCGCCGCCGCCGCCACTGTCGTTACCTCTACCGCCACCGCCACTGCCACTGCCACTGCCACTGCCACCGCTGCTGCCGCTGCCGCTGTCGCGTCTGTCGCTGCTCCGAATGGGCTCCCCGACGCCACGGATGGGGATGCGATCAGCTACTTGACCCGATCTCCCGCCCCAACCCAGTCCGGCAACGATCTGCAGGATTCAGCATTCAATTCGACGGTCGCTGCAGCCTGTAGCACTGCGGCTGCCAACACCTCCACCGTCGCCGGTACTACTCTCACTGCTGTCGCCGCTGTTCCTTGCGATGTGGGTGTAAATCCGACCGCCGTCGCGTCGCCACTCCCTAGCATTCGCGAGCATCGCTCGGCTGTTCCCCCCCCTCCCACGCCTTTCTCTGCTCCTGTCGTCCGTCCCTCCCCCCCTCCGCCCCTACCGCCGCACTTGAAACCGCCGACGCTCAATCACCACCCACAGCTACAGCAGTACGACACCGACACCGACACCGACGACCATCTCCAGAGTCCCACCGCTTCCATCTCTGCCTCTGCCCCCGCTGCCTTCTCCAACAATCGCGCGCTAACGCCCTCGTCGCTCCCCCGACCCGCCGGCCCTCCGAGGCGGCAGAGCATCCTCCCGAACCGGCAGACCACCCTGATCAAGGCTCTCCTCAACACGGGCTATGCTAGCGACCTAGGACTGGCCGATCCCGATCAGCTGCTGCCCATCAGCGGAAACATGGTCACCCGGAAGGTCTGGGTCAAACGACCCTTTGCCTCGCCCACCTTGATTACGATCAACGAGGACGACCTGGTCGACGACGTCCGCGAATTGATACTACGGAAATACGCGAACTCCCTCGGGCGCCACTACGACGCCCCGGACCTGACGCTGCGCATATATGACAGGGAACAGCAGACCACCAGGATCTTGACGCCCGACGAACCCATGGGGAGGACCCTCGACGCCTATTACTCCGGCGGCCAATCCGTGGACGACGCCCTGTTGATTGACATACCCGCCCGCAGAACCCCCAAGGCCTCCCCCAATCCTAGGTACTACAGCGAGGACCGGCCTCAGGAATCCGCAACCGACTACTTCCCGCCCTATCCGCCCACCTCGCAGCACCCCAGCGCCGCGTCCGCGACGGCTCCCAATGTCACCCATCAGCTCCACCTCCCTCCGTCGATGACGGTCTTAAGCGGCAACCAACTGCCACCTCTGCCCTCTCCCGGCAGCTCGCGACGCCTTGTCGCCTCGAGGCCCAAGATCCAGCGAATGCACACCGCATCCCCCGTTTCCACCGTCCCCAACGGCCACACTTCCCAATCTGGAGGAGCACCGCCCACTGGTATGCACAACCACCCATCCGCGAGACAGCCGCGTTCAAGGACTCATTCAGGTGCATCTTCAGATCAATCCAACCACCCACCCTCTACCGCTACTCAGCCGGTTGCGACGCCTCCCGTACCAGAACGCACCTCCACCCCGCCGCCCCCGCGCGTCTCCTCGCCGCGCCCGGCGAACCGTCCTAAGAAGAAGAAGCCCGTCGAGCACCCGTCGCTGCCCCCCGGCATGTTGAACGGCGGCGTCCCGCCCATCAACGTGCTCATCGTCGAGGACAACATCATCAATCTGAAGCTCCTCGAAGCCTTCGTCAAGCGCTTGAAAGTGCGGTGGCAGACGGCCATGAACGGTAGGGAGGCCGTGAATAAGTGGCGCGCCGGCGGGTTCCACCTCGTCCTCATGGACATACAACTACCTGTCATGAGCGGCCTCGAGGCTACGCGCGAGATTCGGCGGATAGAGAAGGTCAATTCCATCGGCGTATTCTCCTCCTCTGCTAGCAGCCCCCCGGACGAGATCGAGGCGGAACCCGCCGAGGAGGATAAGCTGGTCAACACCGAGATGTTCAAGAGTCCTGTTATTATCGTCGCCCTCACAGCGAGCTCGCTGCAGAGCGATAGGCACGAAGCGTTGGCGGCTGGGTGTAACGATTTCTTAACCAAGGTAAGGAGAGATGCCGTGTCACCCGTTCTCCCATCCCCGTCGTCTTTCCTCTTCTCTTCCGCACGTTTCGTTCCAGTCCCATCGTCCTCTTCTCCTGTGTTGGGATTTCGCTAACATAGAGGTGACCTGTAAAGCCCGTCAACTTCGTCTGGCTCGAGCGCAAGGTGATGGAATGGGGCTGCATGCAGGCGCTAATCGACTTCGACGGTTGGAGGAAGTGGAAGGACTACTCACAGAAGGCGGAAGAGGATGACGCCAAGAAGGCTGCCGCTTCCAAGGGCAGCAAGTTTCCTAAGAAGAACCGCCTGTCGATGACCACGGCCGCCGCTTGATCCGTCAAACTGGCTTGGTCGTCCATTGCCCTCCTTCCCTCCTCCACGCCTCTCACCTACATCAGGACCACGTCCCGAGCTCGCGTACGGAGCCGATGATGGACCGTCGTGCCGATGTGTCTCCCCCTGATAGCATCCATTTTACCGTGCTCTAGCAGTAGCTTACTACGGCTTACGGCATATCGCTCTTGGGATTTCGTATTTGGGGTTCTCGCTCTCGTTTCTCTGAACTGACCCTCTTTCCTATTTATACCGTGGCAGGTCATGCCCATGTCATCGGCGGCGGAGGGAGGAAACACGGTTCGAACTGACGATGCCGGCCCGGAAGAAGCACAGAGAAGAGGACGGGAGCCAGGTGCACAGGGTAGTGTCGAGAGAAGGAGACGGAGACGGAGCACAGAGTGATCAGTAAGTTGAGAGAGGCCCGGCGCTTCCTTCGATCGGAGTATGTGTATGTATGCACCGAGTATGCGTACACGCGATAGCGCGTGTATCTAGACGTGGGACCCAACGGAGCAACCGTCGTTACCCGCCCATCGCTATCGCCTCATCTCGAGCCAGAGAGATGTCTATTTTTGCCTTGTTCTTTCTTCCTTTCTTTTTTTTTTTTTTAATATTCCCAGACATAATTCCCCCTCCTCCCCCCTTTACCTCTTGATCGAAGCGCTGTATTCTCCCCTTCCTTCTGTTTTAATTCCCCCTCTTTTGGGGTTTCACTCTCGGGGCGCTACACATACACACACACACAAATGAGGGCATATCTAGGGTTATCGTTGACGAGAAGCCGAGGCAGGCTAGGCGTCCGGGCGTATAACAAGGCAGGACGGGACGGGATCGGGGGGGGGGGACAGGCGGGACAGGGCACGCAAAGGTCATGATACGGTCGGCGGCGGCGGCGGCGGCGGAGGGAAAGCAAGGGGGGGGCCCTCCTAAGGCCAAAAGAATAAAAGAATTAGGAGACGGGAAGAAATGAACATGAGTCAATTAATAAGCGGTGAGCGGGCGGCCGAGGCCGATGAGGGCAACTGGCTTCCCGTACCGCGCGAAATTGGTACCGCCCTGCTTGTGGTTAATATATATATGCCTGTGTGTGTGTGCTGCGCTACATCCAATCTCTTATCGGGGCGAGATGGGAGAAGAGGCGGGGGCAGGGACGCGAGACGAGGCGAGAAGACGAGGACGAGCTCGCGCGCACGCGGCGACCTGTGGGACTACTAGGTATTGCTTCCTATACGTGTGTATACGTTCGTGCTGGCTTGAGAAGTCGGCCTAGACCGCGCGATCGTACACGTCTATCCCTCGGCGGCGGGTTGCTAGTGTCATTCATGTCTTATGTAGATATCTCTATCACTACTACTGCTAGTCCTCTATCTATCTAAGATCTGACCGTCTTGTCTCGAAGTTCGTTGGTCTGCATGAACTGTACCGTGTCCGTGGGCCGTCGTGTCCCGGGATCGAAATTATCGACGAAATCAACAAGAGAGAGAAATAGTCGACCCACCCGAAGCCTTCCTCCTACCTGCTACTCTCATATTCCGAATGCTCCGTGGTAAATATCTACTAAACGCCACTCCATGCATCGGGGTACATCTCGTTACGGATCGTGAGAAGAGAGAGAGAGAGGCTATCAGCCGATCGACGGATCCATAGTGAATACCCTCTCTCTATCTCTCTCTTAGAGCGCCTGACGGTAAAAAGGAAGGAAGGAAGGAAGAAAAAACAATGTGCCGCGCGCGCGAGCGCTGGAGGGGGTATAATGGTTCGACTTAAATTAGAAAGAGAGAAAAAAGATGCGAACGTCGGCGATGCTGGCTAGTTAACGTTGCGGCATTCGAGTCGTTAAAAAAAGGCAACTGGTCATTATCACCCCCTCTGCAAGATGGGCAGCTGCGATTAGATCGAGTCCTCAGGGCTGTTGGGGATTCTCCGTGTTCTCCTTCTCCCCGCCCTTTGGGATTTCCTTGGCCTCGTCTGGGCCTTCGCAGTCTCCCTCGGCGACCTCTTTCGTAGGGGTCATAGGCCGACTGCCGGGGGCAGGAGTGCCCGACGCTCCGAGGCTCCCGACCGAGGAGTTCCTTCGTGTCGCGCCGAGTTTCAGAGAATCGGAGCGGACGTGGGTGGGACCGCTACTCAGTCGCTGCACGAGGGCGGGATCGGGTCGGTCCTGGTCCGCTTGCCACTGAGAGAAGTCTCTAGAGCTCCACGAGGCGCGATGAACCCGAGCCGCGCGGGGTAGGCTGGAGACGGAATGTCGCGAACTCATGCTGGAGGTGCGACCTGTCTTTGCTACGTGGCCCGGACCAAGTGCTGGGGTACCAGAAATACGGACCGGGTTCATCTCTGCTATGTAGTCCTCGTCCTCATCCTCGATCTTCGGAGCACGTCGAACCGAGTTGACAGAGAAGTGCGGCTCTTTTGGAAGGTCCGGGAATGCTACCGTGCCGTTGGGTTCTGACTCCGTCTTTGGTTTCGACTTGGGCTTCGGTGGCGGAAGCTCGTCTGTAGCCTTCTGCGCGATGTGTTCGAAGTATCGAATTCGAACGCCCTCTAGCATTTCTGAGCTGAAGTACTCACGGTTCCGGGACAACGACATCCAAGACGAGATTCCGCCGATAATTATCAAAATCATCACCGCAATGGTAAGGAGTCCCTGGATCACAATTATGACAACTCCGATTACGGTAGCCACCATGCGATCGAGGTTGAAATCGGGGAGGAAAGCAATCGAGAGACCAGTTGTTGCCACCCTAGTGATCCCCAGCAACCAAACGGCCAGAGCGGTATTGCGCTGGCCTTCGTACGGATTCAGTGCCGCGATGACGATGAGGGCAAGGATGTCAATGATGAACAGACCGAACAACTGGGCGAACAGGTGAGTCCAAGCAGCTCCGAGGAAACACGCTCGGGCAAGCTGATGTACGAGCCAGAAGGCGAAGAACCACCACCGTGAAAGTCGATAACGTGCAGACAGCCAGCCGAAACGCTTTACCCACGGCTCATCTAGGTGAACGTTCTTCCGATTGGGGTCTTGGTCGACGAAGTGGAAGCGGATAAAAGGTAACGAGCCCGCCGGCTTCTGTGCCAACTCCTTCTCTCTTAATCGACTAAGACGTACTGGCACCACGCAGGGAATAAAACCCAGAATTTTGCCACTGTGGAGTAGGATGCGGTCGGAGTCGATGGATAACTCGCTGGATCGCAGCCGGAAGTGCAACGTGTATACGGACAGGCCGCCTATTCCAACCACCATGATGAAAAAGACGATGGCGGCTATCGCAGTAGGTCCCGCTGGGCCATTGAGCGTGAATTGAAATATGGCTAGCGTGAAAAGCGAAAAGGTAGCGATGAAGAGAGTTCTTAGGACAGAAAGGCCTAAGTAACTTGTCCAGTGAGTACGAAAATACTCGAGGCGATCCTGCTTGATCCACCTCAACTTGGCCAGGACCTCGAGGGAAAATTTAAAGCCCACGAGAAAGAAAATGACTAATCCCAGGGCGATGAGCGACCAGATGAGGCCGACCATGAAAGCATTGAGAGTAGGGATGCCGAGAGCAGAAAGTTCGCCGGCGAAGCCGGTCCAGTCCCCGGGCAACGGCATTCCGGGTTCGACCGGATCTCCGTTCCAATTGTAATCGTAAGGATCGTTCGGGTTATAAGCCTGTCTCTTCTCTAACGCGCCTACAGCCTTATGGGCGGAAGCAGGGGCTTTATGTATAAGTCGGCTTAGGATGTTCGATATGAGGGAACGGCCGTAGATCTGCTGCGTAAGGCCGCCTTGATTGTTGATGATGTTGGAGCCAGCGGCTCCAACCTGACTTCGGTTGCCGCTGACCCCGACAAAGGGGTCGATCGAATGCACAATACTCGAGCTTGGGACCAGGCCAGCTGCCCAGGCGAAATTGCTCCACCAGGCGGGGAGGACGCTGGGCCAGGGTAGGGACAAGGCGCCGGAATAGAATATGGACTGGAAGGTCTCGAATACGACCAGGACGGATAACGAATGGGCGTAATGAGTCCTCATATGGGGTATACTTACCCCGTAGGCTGCGGTTGCGAACGAAGCGATTATGGCGACGACGGTGAAGACGCCTAGGACGGTGCTGACGGACGCCGGCTGCGAAAAGGAATGCCCGTTCCTCATGGCCGCCTGGAAACACCCAATCTCGGTCCGGCTCGAGTTGGCGAAGATCTGGATTCTCGCGAAGCCTTCAATATCGGGGACAGCGTAGGCGATCTGCGGAATGCCGGAAACATGTACCGGACCGATCGGAAATAAGGCGAAGGCTTCGATAGGTCGCGTGGCGTTCAACGGGCATAGACTAGTTCAAGTTAGGTACGAGCACCAACGGAATCGAAGGCTCGCTGGGCTCGGTGAGAGATAGATACCTATTTATGTTTACGTGGCATGGGTCTACCGTCATCGAGAACCGGCTTTCCCCGTAGGCCTCGACAGATATGTATACTAGAGAGACGATTAGCACCAAAGGGATTCGGGGGATGGCAGGACTGGTTGTGCGGCCGTACACATGACATCCTCATTGCGGATATTGGTGGTGCCGTCGAGGTGGAAGAGGATGGTAGAGTTGTCATAGTAGAAGGCAGCGTCGAATTTGGTCACGTTGAGCAGACTCTCCCCCCCGAGACAGTCTCCAAAGTCGCCGGTATACAGGGCAGGCGTTCGATCCAGTGCCAACGTCTGAGTGACGCCGTCCAGACTGGTGCCGGTTATGTATTCTCTGGCGTACGCTGTCGACATCAGGGCGAAGGCTCCGAAAGCCCGGAGCGTCGGCGGGTCAAGCAAGCGGCGGACGAGCATTTTTCGATGCTGGCTACGCCCTAGGAGGGCCATCAACGAGCGGCGGAGAGCGAGAGGAAGAAGCGAGGACGAGGGAGATGTGGCGAAGGACGTCACGAAAGATGCGGCGCGGGGAGCGGCGCGGAGGAAGACGGCTGGCTGGCTGGCTGCTATCTACCAGCGATGTGTTGCGCAGCAGGTGGCACGAGTCGCAGACGGCTAACACGATGGCATCTCCTACTCAGACAGATCACATCGACTTGTCTCGGGCGGCGATGAGCGAGCGGTGTAAGAAGAACATGGCCGGGGCACGGGGGTGGGAGAAGGGAGAAGACGAAGCGTCGGCTCAGACGGATCGCGACGAGTCGCCCACAGACATCGGACAACGACCCGGCCAGCGGCCCACCGTGAACATGCTATAGGCAGAAGACTATAAGACGCCGATGCTTGGCTGTAGGAGGAGGGTTGACGACGATAAAAGAGAGAGGGCTGATGCCGCGGGCGGCCGAACAGGCTGCCCGATGTACCCGCTGGTAACTCGCACAACGATACGAAGTAGCGGGCGCAGCAGATGCCGTACCTCTGCGGCGCTATCTCGCGCCGTCGTGAGCGGACACTTTCGGAAAGGATACTTATGCGGTACCTAGGTGCTGGGCGGGAATACGTCGAAGGCACCCGGCCTGAATTCTGCGGGCCACCCGTCAAGTGTTGCTCTGCATGGCAAACCGACTCGACTGCACTTGCCCAGAGAGCTGGCTCGGCTCAGAGCTACCTAGCCTAGCGCCTGACAGGGACTAGTGGGGGGAGGGGGGTGGTTGGCGGGTAAGGTAGGTCCCCTGGATGTGCCTACAGAGGTATATTAGGCACCTAGAGGTAGGTGGGCAGGGACCTAACCATTGTACCTTACGTGTGTGCCTACACACCTACCGGTAGGTACCTAGATTGAAGTTCAGCTTCAGGCTTAGGCTCAGGTCCCGCCGGCCAAGATCTGAGCTGGCTGTTTTGCCGCCCACTCAATGGTGCCACCTCGCCGCCTAGAAGTGAAGTTCGTACGAGAGACACGAGCAATGCGCATTGCTTCCAGGTACCTGCACGGTGATTGTGCCGCCCGGCTAGAGGCTGCCACTTATGAGTACTTGCCTAGGTATGTGGGTGGCATCGATACCTCGTCTGCCCAGATGCTACTAACCTCACGCAGCAAGGTCGCTGCCTCCGCCGAGCTACGTCGGCACCCATGTGGCTAGTCGGGCACGCCTTCCCGTGATCGTAGGTAGCTCGAGGTAGCCAAAGGTACCTGCTTTCGGTCAAGGGTGAGGAGTCATGTCGGATGTACCTAGGTGGGTACGTTAGGTAGGTACCTACCTAGGTAGGTACCTCGACAACCACACACCACACACCACACAGGGCCCCAATCAGTCTCTGTCACAACTTGTCTTAGCCTCACCTCCATCCAAGTCGCGAACCTGTCCCGCCATGCTTTCCCTACCTCCACTACACACATATACCATGCTCCCTTATACGCATATGTAGGCACCGCCTACTTGCATCCAATAACCCCCTCGCGCACTTCAGCTCCCTTACATCCCCTACCACCCGCCCACCTACCTACCAGCCAACGTACCTCTCTCCCTCCCTCCCCTTCCCGAGGAGAGCCTGGATTCGGCCGGCCTAGACGACCCGGTAAGCCTACGCACGCGCGACGTAAGGCGCGCGAGTACAGAAATCGCTCCGGACGAGCGCGTAGGTAGATAGGTACCTACGCTGTAAGACTCTCTCTCTCTCTCGCACCTCTGTATCGTCCAAGACCGCCGCCCGCGCCCGCGCCCGCGCCAGAAACCAGCCTGAGCACCCTCCCTACCCTTACCCGGCCAGCCCGCCGCCTCCTCGCCCTATCCGCCGTCCCGCCCTTCTCGCATCTCGTCGCGTCGCGGGGGGTGGAGGGGGGGAGGCGGGGGGGGGCGCACCGGTACGGTGAGATAAGCTAAGTAAGTACCTCAGGTCGGCAAGGGGAGGGGAGGGGAGGAGAAGAGAGGAGGCCGGGGAGGAAAAAAAAAAGAGACAAATCGCGATTGTACCCCCATAAATACCCGGTCGACGTAGCCGCGACCCGATTGGCCGATCCGTCCAAATCTCCCCCGCCTTCCGCCCCGTTGGGGGGGCGGGCAGCAACGATCAGCACCTGGGCGAGCCGGGCGTCTGCTTCACAGATCATCATGAACGATCGAGGGAAAAACGAGTAGGCTGGGGCGCTGGTCCTGGGTATATAGAGACTGGTGGTAGCGGTAGTCAGGGTAGTGAATTTAGCTGGTTCAAGCTTGGGAGAAAACTAAGACAGCTCTTAACTAGAACTAAGTAACTAAAACTAATTCCCCAACCCTGTTGGTGGTAGTAAAAGTAGTAGTAGTAGCAATAGTGGTGGCGGCGATGGCAGTCTTGCTTTCGCGCCAGAGAGCATCGCCCAAGAGGGGCAAGTATACCCTGAGAAAGACCAAAAAAAGTATACTAGCAAAACTTTCACTCTTTTCCCCGTAATGCAGATGGAATTAGACGTTAATAAAGACGTGATATCTCCCCAACACTAAACGACGGTAACTCCGTACCTATGCGAGGCGATCATGAACACGTAGCTAAATGACAACCCGGCGAAGGCGGCGATAGCCTGGGAACTCGTTCCCAAGTCTGCTTTCGTTTTCCCGTTTTGCTTGCCCTTTTTCCGAACCGCCCATCTACGTAACGCAGCGACGTCACCAATTTGCTCGCTCGCTCGCTCGCTCGCCCGTCCGCCCGCACCGAATAAAAAAGTATGAAAGGGATAAAAAAGGCCTGAGGGGTATTTCGTATGGCGACGACGGAGGAAGTGGCATAGTTCCAAGTCACCCACCTCCGCTCTGCCAAAATAAAGCCGACATCAAGTCGAGAGCAGAGGCGGCCCCGCTCAGTTTTCCTCGTCATCCTCCTCGATAGGCGCTGGGGTCCTCCTCTCGTTCCTCCGCTTGGGGCGTCTATGTCTCGAGCTCGAAATGTTGCTAGCAGAATCTTCGGGGGCCAAGTCAAAGTCGTCACCACCCCAGTCGCTCTCGCTCGCAACTCCGTCGTCCTCGCTGATGGCCCACGGAGGCCTCTCGGAGCCTTGCGAGTTGCCCGATAGCTGGGGCAGGACATCGATCTTTCCGGCGCGGCGGTGCTGCTTGCTCAGGAGCAGACCGTTATTGCGCTGGCGCAGCGAGTTCCGCACAGACTCGGCGTGCTCGTGAAGCCTCTCGAATGCGTCCTCGAGGGCTTCCATACCTTGGTAGATCTCCCTCTCTACCTCGGCTAGGACGGCCATCTCGGCCTCCTCGTCGTGGGACACGGGCTGGCGGTTGTAACCGGGTGCGACGGACGAGGATAGCGAGACGAAGGAAGCCGGCGTCGCGCCACGGGAGTACACCCCGGAGAAAGGCGTCGTGCTACGAGACACGCTGAAGCCTGGCGTGTAGCGCATTCCCGCGCCGGGACCGCGGGACGGTGGGGGGGAGCTAAAACCATTCGCGGGCGTAGCACCTCTGGACAGTGGATTCTCGGGGGTGGGTGTGATCGTATCGTCGGCATCCGCTCCGGACCAGAGGAAGCCGTCAAAGCGGCCCGATATGAGTATCTCCCACTCCTGGGGGTTGATATCCGTGATCGTCGCGAGAAGATCGTGATGGAACGGGTTCTTCACGAGGAACACGGCCGTCTCCGAGTCTCGAGGGGCTTGAGACAGGCGGTAGAGTCGCTGGAGCGCGAGGCCCGTCTTGACCATGAAATCCGTCCGAGGTTTGCGCAGGGGTGTGGGCGCTCGCAGAGCAGGTTGCAGTTCCTTCGAGCCAGACAACAGCGCGTTGTAATATGGCCGTTCTTCCTGGTTCAGGTTGGTCAGGATGGCAAAGGTTAGCGTCTCATCGTCAATCTCCGACGGTGCCGGCGCCGGCGCCTCCGCGCAGTTGGTCATCCACTTATCGACTGCAGACCTAACCTTCTTGGACTGCCGCAGGTAGTGGTCCCTAAACTCCTCCGCGATATCAGGATCCAGCTTGACGGGGGACCTCGGCCTAGGAGGCATGTCCGCAACAGTCTCAATCGCGTTCGCACCTACGGACGCCATGTCGAATGGGGGCCACGGCGGCATCTCTACTCTACCACCGACCCGTTCTAGGACCTCGCCCCAGCCCAATCCTCGATGCTCCTCCGGCGTCTTTTCGCACATGACGCATGCACAACCCTCCACAGGGAGGTCTCGCGAAAAGACGTCTTCTAGTCGATCGAGTAACCGACGCGCTACCGACTTATGGCCCGTCGCCACTGCCACCGAGCCCTGTTTCTGAAGGACTAGCTTGTATTGATCTAGTAGGTTGAAAAAAGGAGCAAAAAAGGCGTCCGGCCCGGCAAGGGGCTGACTTGAGCCTCGCATCCCGCTCTGGCGTGGAATCACGGCCAGGAAGTGTCGGGGGACAGGATGCGGTAACCCGCCGTTCTGGAGAAGATAGTCGACGCGCGGTACTTCATGAATATCTAGCGAGAGAGGAGGCGGCGGCGGCGGTGGGGGCGGCGCGTAATCGGGTGCTGGCGTTGCTGCCGCAGGCGTAGGGCGCTCAGGCTGCTCCTCATATTTGGCATTTTGGTGGGCTTTCTCATTCGGAAAAACATGCGACGGGGGAAATTGCGGTGTAACGGTAGGAGTTTTCGGCGAAGAATCCTGTACGGACTCGGGCGAATCTTGGGCCTCGATTGGGCTGGGAATCCTGGGGGTTCTTGATGAAGCCGAACGCTTCGGTGCGGAGGGCGTGGCTGTTGATGACGCCCTCACGCTTTTAAAGCCGCTCAAGTTAGAGGCATCATCGTTGGCCGTGTATATAGATGGTGGCGGGTTTGCATTGGGGGATTTGATGGTGGTTGCCTGACTGGAGGCTCTGGACAGCTTGGATTTGTTATCGTGCTTCGAACTGGATCTGGAGATGCCCGACGTCCTCGATCTCGGCCTATCCGATCCGTGCTCCTCTCTTAACCTTGCGGCGGACGTCTTGCTGCGTCGTACCTTGTCTCCCGACACATCTGTTTCGGGCGGGCTGGGAGGGCGGTCGTCTTTCTGCGAGCTCTTCCGATTCGCCGAGCCACCTACGGACTTGGACCTCCTCCTACCTGCACCGAGGTCTGTCGGCTCGGGGGTAGGAGGATCAGGGCGACGGGCGGACGCGTCTACATCCTCAGAGATATGGACGGCTTCCTTGCTATGGGCTTTGCTGAAAGTAGGGTATGGCAAGCTGATTCTACTGCCGGAGATGGACGTCTTGGCGAATTCGGGCACTAGGTCGTTCATTGACGATGATTTCTTCTCGAGCTCCTTCTCCTTGTCTTTCTCTTCCTTGTTCCGGTGGCGGCGGTGTGAGGGGGAAAGCGCATCGACCTCGGAGGCGGTTTTATGCTTGGAGCGAGTCGAATGGGATTTGTGGTGGTGGTGCCCGTCTCGGTCTCCTTTACGTTCTCTGTCCTTGTCCTTGTCCCGATCCCGCTCGTTCTTGCTGCGCCGGTGTTCTCGTGAGCGGTCTTGGAGGTCGGACTCTCGAGAACCCATTGTGGAGGGACTAAGCAAGCGAGCCCGACCAGGGGCTGGCTGCCAGTTCTAGTTGGACGGGAGGGGAAGCGAATGGCAAAATCGGCAGTGGAGGACAAGAAGGTGCCTCGGCGGTGTGTGATACGATACAATTCCAAAGCGGGACGGGTTCAACCTATTCCCTTCGGAATTGCGATCGTCAGCTCACGAGTTTGCGCAATGCCGAATGGGCGAGGAGAGCAGAGGAGAGAGCGGGAGCAAGAGGATACGGGAGGAGAAAAAGTGGTGAAAGCAGCAGAAACTGCATCGCCAGAGAGATGTGTGCAGACGGTGGAATGGTGACTGTGGAAAGGTGATGGCGGCTGTTGGGTCTCGATGCGCTACGCAGCGGCTTTTGATTCGACAGCTGCTCCCCTACGTACCGGGACTCCCATGCATCGGCTGGGTACTTGTCCCGGTACAACGAGACAATGCCCATTCAAGTACCCAGACAGCAGCTGGTGCCCGGCTCAGACAGGAGACTATGTCTGCCGCTACCTCGAGTATCGCCACCGCCGTGTACCCTCAGGGCGCCACGTGGGTAGAGATGGGGCAGCCACGGCCGCAGGTAGGTATCGTGTACATACAAAAATAGACCCGTTGCGAGTCATCGGCAACCCAGCTTTCATTCCTTGCATCTCTGCGTCTCTCTCTTCTCGCCTTCAAGGTTGTTAATAAGAGGTACCTGTAGGTAGGTATGTAGGTAGGTAGGTAGGTAGGTATATTATTATTGTATATTATCGTTGCTCCAGACGGTGCGAGTAGTATGCCCTCAAACAAAGGTAGGTCCCCCCCCCCTTTCTCGATTCTCCCTCCCGCAACTTCACCAATCCTCTCGAGGAATCCATCTGCTGTGGTGGCTGGGCTACGTGGCTCTGGCTCAAACAAGGCGGGTCTCCATCTGCGATGGAGTCGAGATGCAGGTCTGGTTGGAGATTCTCTCAAGTCAAAACATGTCTACCTATGCAGATACACACGTATTTCCCCCTTAACTTCCCGTCGGCTATTATGTGTTACCTACACACTTAACACACCTACCGCCGAATACCTCCTATGTGTGGTTTATATCGACTAGCTTCATCGTCATCTGCCCTAACTCGCTTGTGTACGTCGATAATGTTTACCCATTATTCTACGTACACAGTAGGTTGGGCACCTATTCGATGGTATTCTTTGCGTCCTTTTTTACGATAGTCTGCTAAGGGAGTTCGGCTATTACGTAGGGCATGTTCGTATGCCCAGCTCGGGCCTCCGCCACCCTGCATCAAGCGGAGTATCACCAGATCGGCTTCCTGCAAATAAGATCGGGTTGGAGGGGGGGGAGCCTAACTAGGGGGGCCAGTCTCGCTATCAGATCGTTATCGTGGTTATAGTCAAGCTGTTTTCTCCTCAGGTAGCCATGTACATAGGTATCGCCATCCGTCCCAAAGACGGCGACCGTTTGAATACTCAGGGCCAAAGGCGAGGCATACCGGGCATTCTCATCTGAAAGATGATTTTTTTTTGACCTTTTAATCTCGAACGCCATACATACATGTATATATGGTAGGCACTTCATACTCTAAGGCCGACTTTTGGGTTTCTAGCACATATCGGCATCGTTCGTTTGTTCACTGGAGCCCCAGGACTCGAAGTTAACATCTCCGGTAAATCTAGGCCGTCTTCTGTTATTTTCCTTCTAAACCCAACCCAACTCATAGCCGGTCTAGTAACCCACGACTCTCCAGCAGGAGTACGATCTGATGTACAATGGATCGTACCGTCTGCTTCTCGCAGTCGACTACCAGATCTGGCTTTGAAGGAGCCTCGTACGGGTCGTCAACCCCAGTGAAGCCCTTGATTTCTCCAGCGCGGGCTTTGGCGTAGATTCCTCGCTTGTCCGTCTTTTCGCAATGTTCCAATGGTGTCGCCACGTGGACGAGGTAGAAGTCGCCGTACTTCTCGACGGCCTCCTTAGCAGCCTCTCGGTCCTGGTTGAACGGCGCAATGGGGGCAGCGATAACGGCAGCACCAGACCTGGTTAACTCAGCCGCCACGAAGGCGATCCGCGCAATATTTTTGCTACGATCTTCTTTGCTGAATCCCAGCTCAGATGATAGCTCATGCCTCACCGTCTCACCAAGAAGCATCGAAACTGATCTTCCACCTTGCTGGTTAAGGGTAACCTGTAAAGCCCTCGCGATCTGGTCCTTGCCACTGTTTGTGTACCCCGTCAAGAAGACTGTGAACCCTTGAGCTGCCCGCGGTGGATGCGACTCACGCAACACTTTGACGACCTCAGGATACGAAAACCATTCGGGGATATCCCGGCCACTCCTCAGTCTCGAGCGCAGCTCGGTGCCGGAAATGTTTAGCGTCCGAGCATCTTTCGGGATTTCATCGACGGGGGCATACTCGTCTTTATCGGGCAGGTAGGTCATCATCTGGAACGGCACGACCTCGATGCCAAGCTCATCGCGGTATTTCTCTACCGCGTACTGGGCATCGTAGGGTCCGTAGAAGTCGACACCCTGGCTGTTCTTTCCCGGGCCAGCGTGGTCGCGACCGACGATAAAGTGAGTTGCGCCGTGATTCTTGCGGATGATGGCGTGCCAGATGGCTTCACGGGGGCCACCCATTCGCATAGCCAACGGGAGCAAGCCCAAGACCGCCATGCCATTAGGGTATCTTGGCAAGAGCGCCTTGTAGACGCGTACTCTGGTGAAATGGTCAATGTCTCCAGGTTTGGTCAAGCCCACGACCGGGTGGATGAGCACGTTGGCATAGTGTGAGCGGGCAGCGCGGACCGTCAACTCTCGGTGCGCGCGGTGCATAGGATTTCTCGTCTGGAAGGCGACGACTCGACTCCAACCAAGCTTGTCGAAATGCAATCGAAGCTCGGCCGGCGTATCTACGCGAGACCCCCGATTAGCTCTAACGGCACGACGACTCAGGGCTAAAGGCTGGACTTACATCGGAGGTCGACAAAGTCATAATGCTGCAAGCGGTTGACCGCATCTACTTTACCTCCTACGTAAAACTCGGCGGCGGTCCTGAAGAGGTATTTAATGGCTGGGTGGGCCTCGTCGTCGCTCCCGAAGACCTCCTTAGCCTCGCGGACCCTAGAGTGCTCACCTGGGTTAGTGACGCGGATTGTGCAATTCTTGGCCGACAGGGATGCGGTTCGTACTTGTCGGGTTTGTAAATATCATCCACCGTCAGAATGGCAAGACTCCTGTCGTCACGCAGGTCACGCAGGGTCACACGGACGCCCGGCTTGAGGCCCAGGTCTTGGATCGTCTCCCCAGACAAGTCTAGAGTGATCGGTATGCTGAACAAAACGCCATCAGACAGCCTGTTTTCTTTTACGACACTGGGAGTCAGGGTTAGCTGAGAGTGCGACTACTGGCGTCGCCCTGTGGTAGCATACCCGTTATAATCGGCCTCATTCATGAAACCTAGGGATTCGTTTGTAAGCTTCGACTTTCATACGTTGGAGAATCCAGCCAGGACGAAATATCTCATACCAACCACAGCACATGTGAGTACACATGGCTGTGGTAGGATTGTGGGATACTCCACCAAGCTCCTCCCAAGGAGATGAGAACGTCAAGGACGGCATTGGAGAGACAGGCGCGCATACACACCTTCGAGGGGCGAGAAACCGCCATTGAGGATCAATTCGAGGTCACAGAGCTGCCTCTCGGTCAAAGTGATAGCAGGAAGGCGCTCGGCCTCGGCCTCCAGCTCTGCCTGTCTCGGAAGGTCTCGTGCGATGAGATCCTTGAGGACACCACCGTGAGGAGAGTTCGCCATAGCTCTCGAGATGTAGCTTGCAAGGAAGACCCGGCCCAAGGAAATAACAGCGGAGTGTCGGACAACGTGCTGGCGAGCGGAGTGGTGCAGAGGGGAAGGGAAGAAAGGAGAAAACTCCCAGAATCCGGCTCTAGGAAGGGATTATATAAGGACAGCAGAGCCACCGACAGTCATTCAAGCGTATCAGCTGAAAAGCGCGCCAGACTAGGCGTACGTGATTTGACGGATAGGCTCGATACTTTTACAGTACCTGCGCATATGACGCCTTAAGCTACCTGCCTCCTAACCCACCTTGGCCGCTGGCCACATCTGGGCAGGTCGGTAGCCTGCCTGCTTGCTTACTCAAGTATCCAATCGACAAGCGCGGGCTTTACGGCAGCCGTCGACGCCGGCCCTCTCGTCCTATGCAGAGACGGAGGTTGTGTGGAGGTTGAGAGTGGTGAGCGGTAGTGGGGGGGTTAGTGTGGGGGGGGGGAGCATGCTACGGAGTAGAGGGGAAGAGACGAGACAGAATCGAAATGCAGTGGTATTTAGCCTCGATGACGTGCTCAGGAACCCAGCGACAGCCGCCGCCAAAATAAGTGGCACTGTCGGTTCTCGTCCGTCCCCGGGCCGTCTCGACCGTATCTGACAAGCCGGGAAGTAGAAAAAAAGAGATTGTGCCTAGGCGGCTCTCGGGGACGTCATCACCCTTATGATGATGCCTTATTCATTCGCGTCGGCCTACCTTCCTTAGGCGGTAGGTTTTGAGCTAGGCACGCATTCGCACGCACGTTAACCTCGCCAAACCCAGGTTACGAAGCGGTTCGTTTCGGGAAAACTATGCCTATAAATAAGAGAGGGACACAGCCCTTGCTTCTACCTACCTAGCAACTCGGGAGAGAGCGAATACAACTCAGGGATACCCATGGCCATAACAGGCCCAGGTAGATTCCTCGCCAGATCTTACCCCGCATGTACTGCTTAGATGCCTGTATACCTAAATCACATGAAAATACCCTTACCTGGGTAACATTTTCTTCCTCGACACAACTAGAGGGGTTATAGAGGGGTGCCTGATACGACAACAAATCACAACAAGCGCGCTGCGCTGCTTACGTCGTCAACATTTACATGCTACGACGTAAAGCCATGACTTAAAGGCGCCGGTGTATCTAGATCTATATTTAGTGTATCCGCCTACCTCTTAATATGAAGACAGGGCCAACGTCCGGCTAGGTATCTTCCTCGTTTACGGCTCACAGCACGTGGGTTCGGTCTAAAGGCCACCGCACACATTCGTCCTACGACCTCGAGGTCCAGCTAACGTAGTCAAATGCTAGACCAAGAATAAAGTCGAGGACAATAACAAGTAAAACTAAAATCAATTAGGACAGTATGTCATTACAGAATTACCTAAACCCCTTCTATCCTCTCCATTTCTGCCGAGAAGCAAACAACGTAACCGAGCACGTATTTCATACAAGCTTCCAATTCGCGTACAAACAAATATGCCCGTCAAGATGCTCAGACACCACGAGCATGGGGAAAAGGGGAGGGAGGGAAGCCGTGATACAGTGAGTACCACGTCTTCCTCTAGTCTCGACTTTTGACTAGTGTCCTTCTTATTACTGCCTCCATCTACAAAGACGTCCTAGATGTATAGAGGCTGGTCAAAGGTAGCGTCGACATCTGCAGTACCCCGCGCTGCAAGCCTGCTGGACGCTTGATCTGCTGGTGAAGTGTGCCAATGGTCCGTATCAGGCATGGGCGGTGGCAGCTCTGCCACTAAGGATGGGCTTGGTGTCGGTGAGATATCAGAAGCATGTGCCGTAGTAGGAACCTCGCTAGACAAAGCAGTTATCGTCGACGTTCGGAAAGTAGTCAGACAGCTTTCACTTGACATATTTTCTGTGAGATTAATCAGCACCCATCGTTTGAATCTGCCTGTAGGGCCCTAGGTGACCTACCGGATGGCATTCCTGTACTAGATGACTCTATCGGGGGACCTGTGCTTTCGGATCTAGTATGCGGTGTAGCCGAATCTAAACATGAAGTTGGACTTTCGGTAATAGTATCGTCACACGAGACGGCGGTAGCTTCCATGCTCGACACGAGAGTCAAGGTGGTTGTGGGAATGAATTCGGTTTCTGTACATGTGACACTAATGGTCGCAACGGGAATCTCGCTCTCCGTACATGTATCGGGTTCCTGGGAGGTAGAAGGCTCCTCGGTACAGGTATCAGATTTATGCGAAGTAGTAGTAGTAGGGTACGTCTCGGTACAGGTATCGGACTTGGGAGTAGGAGGAGTAGTGGCAGGATACGTCTCGGTACAGGTATCGGATGTATGAGTGGGGGGGGTAGCAGTAGGGTACGTCTCAGTACAGGTTTCCGAATAGGACGCCGAGGTAGCAGACCCAGGGAACGACGTAGACGTGGCGTTGGGAGGGGTTCCCTGCCCACTTGAGATGCTGGATAACGTTGCCTCGGTTGCAGATATACCTGACGAGGCTGGAGTACTTATTGGTATGCTCAAATTCGACATAGCAGATGATGTTGAATAAGAAACTGTTGTCGAGTTCGTCAGCGTGCTCGGGGGGTTAGGCGCCGTGGTGAAAGAAATTGGGCCCGGCGCGGTGGATACTCGGCTCCCCGTCAATCCGGATAGGCTGGGCGCCGTGGTGTTGGACAATGGGAACGGGGCAGAGGCGCTGGTAGTACTACCGACAACAGGTCCCCCAGTCGATAGAATAGGACCGCCCGTAGGTCCAGATAGCGAGAGCGTAGAATTCGATACTGGGTAAGGGGATGAAGAGGTAGTAACTGCCGGGTTGCCTTCCGAGGTGCGTGTGGGAATCCCGGTCGAATTAACAGTGGTAGCAGTTGTGCCCGTACCCAAGGGAGTTGTGCCCGTTATTCCTGTCTGCCCGGTGGCTGGTATTGTCGAATTTGGAAAGGGGAACGGAGGAACTGTTTTGCTGCTTAAATAGCCTGTTGAACTCGCAAAAGTGAACGGATTAGACCCCGACGTTGTGGAGGTTGTAGATTGACTCGGTAATGGACCACTCGAGCTCCACGTAAATCCCGGCTGCACTGTCGAGTTTGGCATTGGGTAAGGGGGCGATGGTGAGTTATGAGTAGCACTGATTTCACCTACAGTGCTAGATACGGTACCGACAATACTACTAGTTCCTACAGTGCCAAACGTCCCAAAAGCTAGCGAAGTCCGCGACGTTGTTGAGTTGCCCAAAGGGAACGGCGCGAGCGTGCTTGAAGTCGAAACGGAGTCGTTCGTCGACAACACGGGGGGGAATGTCGTCGCTGTGGACGCCACAGTTTGAGCTGGTGCTCCAGTAATGAAGGTACTATTGAGAAATGGAAACGGTATTGTCAGTGGTAAAGGCACACTACTCGGTATCACACCAGATCTATTCGTGTCGCTTGTCGAGGCCACGGGACCAGCGCTACTCGGGAATTCCGGCCCCGGCGGGTTGACTGGCAGCGAGGTAGTAGTGGTATAGAGAGAACCTGGCGTATTGTGAGAAGAGACGGTGATGGAGGATTCGGTCAGGTCGACGCTGCTCGATGACAAGATAGTCGCAACACTCCCGGTTATAGGGGCCACGCCAGAAGTCGAAGACGTGACTGGATTCGGAATGACGACTGTAGTAGCAAATGCCCCCGGAGATGAGGTAAACATCACGATAGGCCCATCTGCGCTCGCGCCTGTTTCTTGAGTACCCGTGGTCTGGGAAGTTGAACTGGGAGTAACGCTCGTTGACGTGGATGGGTCTACAGTTAGTTCCGAAGGCTGGGAAGTATGATCCGGCGATGAAGAGGCTAATACATAATTAGTGGATGTTTCTATAAATGTTAGTATCGTGCCGGCACCATACCTACTAGCTCGGTCGAGCTATTTGCGAAGCTTGATGTCTGACTTGCGCCAAGGACGCCTGGCCAGGCTCTACTGAGATCGGGTTGACCCACGACAGGCAAGGTTGGATCCAGAGTCTCGGGGACGGAAAGAGAAGGGCGAGGCGGTCCATATTCACCGAGCGTGAAGGCGGGAAAGTCGTTTGCAACGTGGCTGAGATGAGACTGTCCGGAGAGTGCAGACTCGGCCGGCTTTACTGCTCTTTCAGAGAGAGAACGGGCCGGGGGGACAGTATGTCCTCTCGCCGGAGTCGCTAGGGTTCCCCGAAGACAGGCGAGCACAACGACCACGGACGCTATGTCAGTGGCGAGGGTTGATAGCCTCATCGTATTTGACGTGATTGGGGAGATGGCTGCGAGGAGAGGGGGAAGGCCGAAGATAGAGGGAGGGTGAGAAAGGGAGTGAATCAGCGACGGAGGGAGGAGAAAGTGGTAATAGGCAGAGGAGGATGAGAGGGACAGGAGACGCCGGGGTAAAAGTAGGTGGACAGGTGGACGAATGGGTCGAGAGGAGAAAACAAGTCAAGTTGTTGTTAGCTTATAGGGGAAGGGCAACGGCAGCAGGGACGGAAGGAAGGAAGGAAGGAAGGAAGGGTAGACGAATGCACGGCTACTTGCGTTAGAGCTCGGACCTGGGTCGGCGGTGCTACTTCTGCTGCTGCTCGGGAAGAAAGGGGAGGGCATCGCCACGAGGAGGTACCTACCTAGGTAGGTAGGTATGTACTGGGGAGTCGAATGAAGTCATCCGCTGCTTCTAACCGGCCCAGCAACGGAAGGAGAGCCCCTTTTCACGATACCAACGTACCTACAGGTATTATCTTAGGTAGAGGTAAGTACATAACAATACAGGTACCTACCTACATAACACTTGATTATAGGTACCTCTAATACCTTAGGTGCCTACCTGCCTCCTAAACCCACATTCAACATCGGTACCTAGGTCCTTAGGTAGGCACCTCTTCGAGGCGTTGCGAAGAGGCATTCAAGGATCCAAGGCAGGTGCTTTCTCATAGCAAGAGGAAGCAGGTACCTAAGGCATAGGTAGGTAGGTATATGTCGGTACACATTAGCAGGTCTGCAAGAGACCTGATATTAGTAGGAGATGCCATCGGACTTGTCTTATCACGCAGGACGAGGAAGAAATACGTCGCCATGTGTCGTGTGTTTCAACAACGACTCCCCTCCGCTGAGGGGTGGCCTTCGCTGAGGCTACGGTCACATAGTCTCCGTACCTCCCCAGAGCCCTTTCGAACTCGTGCCTAGATTCGGTACCGAAGAACCATCAGCGATCCGGAATTGCTGCCTCAGACACTGTGTTGCTTCCGTGTCGTACCCCTACAGGACAGTTACACCGCGTGGTGCCTCTCATCTTGCAGTGATTTCGTATGGCATGTGTCAAAACGCCCTGGGTGCTGGCAGGAGCCGTTCCCTGGGCGATGGAGAGACGGGAGAACCCACACGTCGGGGAAGAAGATTAGACGAGGTTGTCTGTGTTAAGCTGCAAGGAGCTGTACAGGACGGTAGATGGTAGTCGCGGTTAGCCGTTGGACAGATTGCCCTGCCGAGACCGGGTTAGCGAGTTCGCGAGAATTCTCGTACTAGACTGGTAAGTGCCCGGTATAGAGGCGGGAAAGGATTGATCAACGAAGCGGCCCCTCTCTCAGGGGCGGCCGGCGGCGGCAGCCAGCCCCCGGCAGCGCTCATCTACATGCTAACACGCCTCCTCCAGAAGCCTCGCCGCATCCGCTCCCGCGGGCTCGCTCCACCGCGTTTCGCGAAAAGCAAACCTGCAGCTCACTGACGGTAGAGACTCCTCCCTCAGACACATCTCGATCTCGACTGGCACGATCTCAGGCAGTTCCGGGAGGTCGGCGCACTCCCCGCTGTGCTCTTCTCAGACAACTCGGCCTCGGCCTCCACCTTAGCTCCGCGCGGAAACATAACCCTAAGGTAGGACAAGATGTGTGAAAACGAGACCGAGTCTTATTAGGGGCGACAAACACATCGCAGATGGCACCAGCACCAAGATGCAGCCCGGTTATGCACTTGACGTGCAGGATCTTGGGGCTACATAATCTCGGGACGTGGCCCCTGCATGGATCTCGTGTGACGCTGGTCTGCCCTCCTTGCAGTCTCGCGCAAATTGCTGGCCGCTATTACTTCGGCTCGTCGTGTGTTCCCAGCCCCGGACCCCATCCGCTCGTCGTGAAGTAACCCCTAATAGATACCACCGACAATATAGGCGTGCCCACTGGCGCTTTAGTTTCCCGCTTCTCTCTTTATAAAGGGGAAACTTGCGATCTACGCAACCAGCTAGTCAATTTGGCAGAGCGGACGTCTGCTTCGTGGCCTGTTTGTTAATAGCTATCGTTACAACGCTTAATTAGGTACTCGGCGAATCTGAGCGATAGGTGTGGTATGTATGTCCACTTACACCCACTAGGCCAACTCCGACTCAATCTGCTAACCAGAGAGGAAGAGGCAAAAGAGGGCAAGTTGAACTATTGGTACCGTCAATGGGATAATGCGTGCCTATTTATTAGGTAGGTAGGTGGATTTTAACTATTGGGCTTCTCTGTTTCCGCCCTCCTCCCTCCCCCCCCCCCCCCTCTCTCTCTGCATAGGGAGGATGGAACTCATTGACTAGGTCCCAGTTAATCTGACGAATGTGGAAGACCGGGGCGATATCACGACCAAGTGCCTAGGTAGAAGTCGGTTAAGATGTCCACTTAAATGTTCCGCAGGAGAATTTAAGCTTAACGTCCCGCCCCATTTCGGACAGGGACAGGGGGTAATGGGTAGGTAGGTAAGGAGAAAGGACCGAGGGTGGAGCGGAGGGCACGAGCCCTGACTGTGCGCGGCAAGCTGGATTGTAATGCTGGCCGGGGTATACGAGCTGGGCAGAAGCATCCCAGTGGAAGGCGATGTCAACCAGGAGATACGTATGCGGTCTCGAGGCTAGGCTCCACACTGGAACATCGGCTGGGTACGCTGCTCTGTTAGAGAACTAGAAGGCGACGACATACTAGCTACTAGGAGCTTGTATCTCTCCTTCATAGTTCTATCTTCCGAGAGGCTATATATAACGACCTCGGACCGAAAAGTAAAAGACCGATAGCAGGCCGCCGTATATCCCTCTCTGCAGGCTACGGTTCACCTTCCGAAGCAGAGCACCTACTAAAGTGTACCTACTAGAGGTGGTTGAGTGATTTTCACAGGTGCCATAGCTTGCTAATCTCACCCTTACTGGACTTACCTAGTTGGGCCTCATACTTAGAGCCAGCTCCGATCGTGCCATGTGAAAATAGAGACGCCTGTATATCTTGTAGGTCATATAAGCTTAGGTAGGGTAGGATTCCGTACGTGACGAATCCTTATACGTTCGGTGTTGCGCTCAATAAGAGACTATCGTAAGTTGGTTCACCTTCTCCTGACACCGTCGTAGTTGCATCGGGTAGCGAGCGTCGAGGAAGCCCGTTTTCTTTTAACTCGGTACTGTGTCCCGTGAGTTAAGTTGTCATGTCTATACTTGGCCATACATCAAATGTTTAAAGCAACACTCGATTATCAGATGGCGCAACAAGCAGCAAAGACTCGATGGGTGTAATTTTTTACTCGTAGTAATCGAAGACAGATATGCGGGGTATAATTATTCCTGTCTTGGCCGGTAAGCTGGCTATAACGCGGCTTCTACGACTCAACAATTCAAAACCTAGGGGCGAAACTGAATCGCGAGCTAATCGGATACGCTTCTTTCCTTCTCATGGGATCCAAGTGCCCCCCGTCCCCTGCCTCAACCTTGAAGGGTTCGATAGTATGTATACCATGCGCCTATACTGGCATAGCAATCCTGTTATTCCCAACTGACGGCCGTATTCCATCATACTCCCCCAAACAGTAACCAGTGCATATAATAAACCCGCATCGCTATAGTGTGGCCGACCACCAGCGATATCACGTAGAAGCAGATCACGCGAGCGAGGTAATCATCACCTGTCGCGGTTACCGGCGATTTCTGATGCTTCCCTGGGCCGGGATGAGAACCCGGCTCGTAGACTGTTCCGGAGCGCATTAATCCAAGACTCATGGCGCGAGCGGCGAGGGGAAGATGATATGCCTTGCTCGACGTCGGGGTCGTCCGCCTGCCCGAAAGGGGAGTCGTGGGATGGGGAATTAGTTGCCTGTGCCACCACGTCATCGTCGTCGCTGTCATCCTGGTACGGCTCGTATCGTGGGCTAGATGGCATCCCGCGAGCTAGAGATCGAACAACATCGCCTTTGCAGATGGGGCAGGTTCGCCGTCGGGTTATTAACCATGGGGTTCTGGCACCGGTTAGTATCATACGTTCGCCGAGCTGACAGATATAAACTCACATGCACTCCACATGGAACTCGTGCCCGCAAGGCAGGCTCATAACTTGACTAACACCGTCTACGTACTCTTCGAGGCACACGACGCACTCAACCTGTCGACCCATGTATTTCTTCCACTCGCTTGATGTATTTGTGTTGCGCTTCTCGTGCTCCGCGCGCGACGGAGTCTTTGGGGTTGACGAGGAGGAAGATTCGGCGGGTGGGGAATCGCCTGCAGACGGGACGCCGGTAGTGGTCCGTGACCGCGGCCTGGTTTTCGGCATTCTTTGCTGGCTTTGAAGCAGTGGCGTTGTAGGAGACGAACTGGTGGGGGATGGCACTCTGGATGTGTGGCTCGGGGTAGACGCTACAGTATGATACGTGCGGACTGGGAGTCGTTCTACGACGGATTTCGGGGCTCTCCATCTTCGCCGTCGAATGCGCGCCCGTAGAATGAGCAGGGCATACACTACCGTGAGTGTGATGAGTGGGCTGATGACCAGAACCAAGAGCGTGTCGAAGAATGGAGTAGCACCGCTTGAGGGGGTGATGACGACCCAGAGGCCCTCCCGTTTCGCAGGGGGTTTGGGTTTTCCAATGTTGGGCGTGTCGGTAGCTTGAGGCTGGGCTGCCGCCTCGCGGAACTCGGCGCCGTCGTCATCCCCGAATATCTTGGATATGAGTCCCCCGGTATTCGAAGTGGTCTTTTTCCCTTTGGCGGCGCCTGTAGAATCAATTCCTTTGGCGGGAATTCCGCCCGCGGAGTACTCCCCGCTACTAGGGGTCACTCTACCACTCGTTTGCCCGTTGGCATTCTGCTTTTTTCCATCGGAAACGCCGGTGTCTGAGGCCGGATCGGCCTTGGAGTTTGGTTTGGAAGGCTTGCCATTCTCCTTTGTAGATTCGAGTACCTCATCGTTCTGGTCGGGAGAGCGGAGCAGGTCCGGGTCTCGCCAGTCTTCCACGCCTATCTGAAAGTGATCATTCGGAGCTTTCCTGGATTTCTGCTTCGAAGTACCATCTGAGCCGGCTTTCGAGGCGCGTTCGAGGCTGCTTTTGATGAGCTTGTCTTTCTCATCGGAAAAGTCCTCTACGACCACCCAATCTAGCTGACCGCTGCTGGGCGGACGACTTCCGCTAGCAGCTAAATTCGTGCCAGGGCTTGAGCCCAAGCCGAAAAGTCGGGAGAACCAGCCGGGCCCTGGCCCCGACGCTTCATCGGCCGACGGGGGGTGACTTTTAGCTATTGGTGCCTTCGAACTCTTAACCCTCGCGCTAATTTTTGATGGCGGGGTTGAGATAGCAGCCTCTCTTGCCTTCTTATTCTTCCGGGCCTTGTCGGATTGCTGTGCTTTCAGGGAGGGCTTGCCGTTCTCGTCGATTATATCCTCGATGAAGCTTCCGGGTTGCATCATGAGGGAAAGCAAATAGGCGGTCGTACGAGACGTAAAGATGGAGGGGATGGTGACGTTGGAGGTATCTCCGTGGGCGTACATCTGGATCAACGGACCGCCTCTTTGGTTGTCGCCAACGATGAGGGCAATAGCACCTCGCCGTTGCGCCCACTTCACCTTCTCGAGAAAGCCACATCCTCCGCGGCTCAGCAGGACGATCTTGCCCGCGATCTCAGCTCCCTCCTGAATGGACTGGATATCGGCATGTTTGGAGGCAGAAGAGCCGAGAGTGTCACCCTGCGACTTGGCTGACTGATCGAGACGCTGGTGGAGGTAGTCGTCGGTGCCATCGTCGACGGGCTTGGCTTTGGCTTTGGGTTCGGGCTCGGAGACTGAGGTTCGGTCGACTAGGGAGCCCTTGTTGGGATCGCTCCGTTTCTGATTCTTAATCTGGCTTGCAGGAGTGACAGACTTGAATTTGTGCTGGATTTCCTTCATAGATGTCTTCAAAACGGCATTCGAATTGCCGTCATTCCATCCGGGGACATCACTGCATCCCAGCTCTCCTTCGCCCTCTCCGTCTTGCATAGACTCCTCGGTAAAGCCGCTGCCGATCCACAGCTGGCCATCTAAGCCTTTGTTAGGCAGTGGGGGCCCGAAAGCGGCCGGCCTCGCCGCGAAGGAGGTGCTATTGTCATCGGCTATAGTGATGATAGCATTGGGGGGGAAGAGGGTGAAGGGCGACGAAAAGGAGAAAAGGGATCCGTAGCTGGTCCTGGCCGCAGGTTGAGCGGGGGATGCGACGGAAGAGCGGCCAGCTGATGTTACCGCGCGGCATAGGAGGAAGAGACAAGCGGCGAAGAAGAGAACGAGGATGACGATTCTCGGTGGTCGCATGTTTATGAAGACGTGAGAGGAGACGAGGGGTGGTATTTTGTTAATATAGCTGGCAATTCAGCTTCGTGACTGCGTAGAGGACCATCCGTAGGAGTAGCTAGAATGCAGATGCCGGGAGGAACTGGTAAAGACTGGTGCCGGCAAGAAAATACGGACGCAAAAAAAAGGTCTTGGAGACCAAGGAGAAGAAGGGCGTGGTGACGGTGGGGAGGAAGAGGGGCACTGAATCAATAACGCGGTACAGAAACACGCAGGACGGGCTCGACGGCACAGAAAGGAAAAGGAATCGATGGATTAGAGGAGATGTAGCAAAGGCTTTGAAAAGACGGCCGAATGGAAAGATGGCCAAAGTAGAGGCCGGAGCTTGGACAAGGCTTGGGCCGGCGACAGCAATGAATACTCTAACATGGTAATAATACATCTAGATGGGAAAGTTGGAGTGCGTAACTGCGGAGTTGACGGCAACGACCTGCTGCTCCGCGACTTTCTCCCTGACGCTATTTCCTCGGCGGTACTCCGTAGTAGGAGGTAGGTACATATGGTACCTGCGGTGCGAGCAGTTCATGCGGCAAGGAGGGTGCCGATACAAGGTAAAAGCACCGAAGGCGTGTACCTACCTAGGTACCTCCTACACAGCGTCGTAAATCTAACTTTACGAAGGACGTACCCAGGTAGATCCAGGTATCTGACTTGGGCACACTACGGCCTTGGGTACCTCCACGCTACATATTGAAATGCGGCAGACTCAGGTGATGAAGTCAAGGCGGTTTCCGCAGGCCTCCAGAGCCTATCCAGAGTCATTCTTAGTCGGGTTCTGCGACTTCTTGGCTCTTCTAAATTGGCATGCTCGATCCGTGATCAGGCTAGCGGGTGCGGTACCTGTTCGGTACCTCCTATGGATTCCGTTACGAAGCCACGGGACCTACATGTGTATACGTGTGGGCATGACGCTAGATTAGGTACCTCTTACGTACCGTTTCTACCTACCTAAGATACGTCCTAAGGTACCTAGGTGCCTACGTTAGGCAGGTCCTTAGGCAGGTCTATCGGAGGCATATAGGCATCACGACTCCACATGAAAAAAAAAAAAAATGTAGGTATCTGGAAGGAAACCCAATTAATTCGAAATGGTGTGAACATGCCGGAAAGTCTACACTGAGCCTTGACTACCTAGGTACTTACCTATTGTGTTCCAATGAGGTACCTACCTCTCTGCCCAGCTCCCAGTCTCGGGTGCTTATCTTATCTGCAGGTTGATGCGAATTGCCTTAGGTACACAGACACACATGTAACATACACAGGTAACATAAGTGTGTGTTCTGCGCCCTCGGGTGGAGCTGGCCCCTTTCCGCCGTATATCTCCTGGCAGGTATTTTTGCTTGGGGGTTTCCTCAGGGCTGGCCTCAAGCTACCCCGGCCGGCCGGCGCCGCGGAGGGCGGTTCTCCAGCACCTGCTTAATGTACATACCCACCTACCTGGTATCTATGAAAGGTACCATATGCTAACGTGGTTCTCTGCCAGGTACCTTCCTCTAGTGTTGGAGCTACGAGGAGGTACATGCGTAGCTGTGCACCCGAGTCAACTTGGGTCCGAGAAGGGGAATGAGATCATCGATCACACGAGCGAACACGCGATAGCGGTTTGCGGAATCCAGCTAGGGCCTTCAATATTATCAACCCCCTACCTCCTAGCCCCCAAGATACGGTACAGACATCGTAGGTGTCGTAGTCCCCCAGGCAGACGATCCGCTGCGGCAAAGGCCCGCCCGGGCAGGCTATAATGTGCTGAGTATCCTGTCTGCTACGTACGCCTCCTGTCCCGTCCCGTGCCCAAAGCACCAAATCACGGGAACCTTATGCCAGCCTCACCGCCGTCTTCGGTCGTCGTCAACTTTGATTTGGTGGCGCCGTTGAATCTGGTTCCCGATTTGGTCCCCTAACAACGGGTAATAGGCACGTCCTCTTTGTCTTGGTGATGAAATGCTCAAGTCGCAACAAATCTTTGGTCTTGAGCTTTCTATTCCGTATGATTCTGCATCCCCACTACTACTTCCCTGCGGACGTTGTAGTCAATTTGCAACGTCCACTGCCTTGTTCGATCGAATATGCGATTCGACAGAGGACGGGCCCTCGAATGCATCTACTTAAGATCTTCCTTTCCGCCAACGCCATGCCGTGGTGTGTCGTGCCATGCTGTGTAATATAATTCGACCCAACGTCCGATGAGGGGATCTCTGAATGCTGCAAGAAAAATGAGGGCTACCCGTTTCGATGCTTTTCGTCGTAAAGACGCTACGCGGCCCCGGAATTTTTCAACTGGGCTTACTTCTTCTTCCATTGGGCCTTCAAGGATACGGACCCGTCTTTGTTGACAACTTTACCGCGATCCCACTCCCTCAACCCTCCGGGCTTGTTCCATCGGACCTCCGCTTCGTCCTTTGGACCACTCTGCTTCCATTTGTCGATCTGTGCCTCGGTGAAGCCGGCAGAGCGCAGTCTTTCTGCCCCTTGCTTCTTCCATTTCTGATGGTCACGGAACACTTCCGCTGCGTCATCCCAATCGTCTCCGTTTCCTAGATCGGGTATGGTATCCTTTTTAGGGTCGTAATCGGGGGCGAAGCGGTTGTCTATGCCAGACGTGGTAGAGTTAACACCACGACCTCGTCGTTTAATAGTAGACTTAATTGCTGGCATAGGCCCAATGACAGCATCTAGAGGGTCCGAGTCTGATGCTTCCGTGGATGAAGTGGATTTATGTCGGTTGCTTTTGGAGTGTTTTGATTGCTGTTTGTTGTCGTAAGAGTCGCCTTTGCGGCGAGACGAGCGGTCCCGGTGCTTGCGACTTCGGGATTCGGGCACGACACCGCTCTCCTCGCGCCCCTGTTCTCGGTGAGATGTCTGTCGACGTGCTCCGCTCGTCTCTGCTGGGCGACTCTTATGGCCAGTCTTCCTCTTCTTGACATCGGGGCTCTCAGGTGCGGAAGTCTTTCGTCGCCGGCGAGAGCTTCCCTCAACATCGGGCCCAGCAGAATCCGAGGCATTGCCGGCAGACTCGTCCGCCTTCACAGTCTTGCGTTTCTTAGATGGCCCGCCAATTATAGCGGCGATGTCGCCCAGCATGCGCTTTCGGGTGTCGCGGGGCCCCGGCTTAGACTTTCGTAACTTGCGCTCCTCCTCCCGACGCTTCTGCTCCTCCGCATGCTCAAGGTCGCGTAGTTTTGCTTGCGACTCGGCGTTTTCTTTAGCCAGGAGCGCACGATTGTGGCTGTTGGTGTCGCGGATTATATTGTTGAGGAACCTAGTGTTGGGCTTGGGCTGATTTGCAGGGCGTCTGACGGAAGCACCCGTTAGAAGTCGGCGGTCCGAATTCTGGGAGTAGGACAGAGGGCGGGAAGTGCCGAAGGTGCTTACTTGGTGGACCCGAACGCGTCGAGGCCCATGGAAGAGTACTTCAGCGAGCAATCGTTGGCTTCTTTGGCTAGAAGCTCTGCGACGTAATCGTCCGTAAGTAGGTCTTTGGGGGGCATCTTCAACGACAGAGATGGGGAATGGTGAGGGGGAGAGGGAGGGAAAGAAAAAAAAAAAGACCCGAAGTCTGAAGGACGGACCGGACCTAGATGGGACAGGAAAAGCGTGGAGATGGGTGTAAAAACCATCAAATCATTTCAGCGAGCCAACCAACTAGCCAGCCAGCCAGTCGGCGGGGTGAACGACTTAACACAATGTTGAAATAGGCAGAATAATCTGCAGATGTTTAGGTTAGGTCAGCAGCTGCCACACGGCAACAAAGGCGATAAGCGATTATGAAAACATATGTGGGGAAGACAGAATCTGAGCTTGCAGCTGGCCTTATCTCAGCCCCATGATTCTGCCGCCATTCACCGCAGTCAGATAAGGACTTGCGTTCTCATCTTCTAATCTTCTATCGGATTACCGCACTTTTCCGTTTCTGGACAGAGGTAAACAGGCAACTCCGAGAGCGTGGTGCTTATATCAATGCAAGAACAAATTCCGACTCGCTGCCATTTGAAATCCCCCTTTCTCGTCAAGAAGTCATATCGGTGGCTACACAACTAAGCGTCTGCACTGTATCCCCCGTCATAACGCCCTTGGGTCTTTAGCGCAAGATACTCGCGAGGCGTGATCGCTTGCGATGGCGCCTCCTAGAGCAGAGGATGTCCTGGCTAGACTGCAGTCCCTCAGCGATGATCAGGAAATCTCCATCTTGAAGCTTAGCGAGCCTATAGTTGTAGCAGTGACGCAGTTGCAGGATCCCCACCAGCGAACATCAGACATCTCCACCTCCTCCCTCGACGCGACGACGCCGTCCTCCCTAGAAGCCGATCTCACCCATTATCGGGAGCTCTTCGCCAAGCTTCGGTTCAGCTACGTCGAGCAAGTCACCAAGGAGAAGTTCATCCGCGCCATCGTAGGCGACCCGCCTCTCATCGTCACCCCGCAAGAAAATGCGGATCTCGAGAAGGAGAATCTGGAGGCGAAAGCGACGCTTAAAGCGCTAAAGACGGAGGTCGCCGGCATGGTCGCCGACCTCGAGAGCAAGGCGCGTGAATTGAGCCGGAAGTACGAGAAAGTGAAGGTCGAGAAGGTCAAGTTAGGGGAGCTCCCCGGCAAGATCAGGGACCTCGAGAATGCGGTCGCCGAGTTGAGGGCGACGCGGGCGACGGGGTCGAGCCCGAACCCCGAGTTGAACTTACCGCTGGGCAAGACATTGGATCTCGTCGAGTCGAAGAAGCGCCAGAGGGCGGAGCTGGACCGGCAATTAGAGCAGTTGCAGAGCCAAGTCCCGAGGAAGAAGAAGGAACTCGAGCGACTGCAGGCCGAATTGCAGCCTCTGGAGACGAAGCGGCAGAACAGCATGGCCGCAGCAAAAGAGGCCAAGAGGCGGAAAGAGGCCGCGCTCGGCGGCGTCGAGGACGATCTCGAAGAGAGAGGCCGCTTTTTCCGAGCCTCGGAGGCGACCTTACAACAGATGTTGGATATCGGAGGTTGAGCACCATCGCTGTTGTTTAGTGCTCATGAACGAGGGAGAGGGGCGGATGAGGGGTGTATGCTTCGAGACATACGATTTGGCCCTACTAGGGCATTTTGATACCCGTGTATTGCGACGAGGCACGACACACTGGCGACAATGGCGCAGGCTGGCTAGAGGATACGCGGAAATATTTACCCTATTTCGGCGAAGCAAGAGAGGTGGTGACGAAGTGTGACGTGTGAAAAAATTGATAGGCTCTTTAGAAGCACTACGAGGCATCCCTAAAGAATCCATTTGGGTCTTCATATCCTCTCGGAGACCCGGGATTTCCTAATGGTGGGATATGATCTACGGGAGAGTCTAGGTAGAATCGGAGATGAGACGAACGGCATGGGGTAACCCACCTCATATTTCATCTACAAGTCGACGAACCAGGTGCCGGATTTAACACGGCCCCTAATACGAATGGAGTATCCCGACGCACGAGCTCGCTCTATCGCGGTTAAGCATTGATGGCGTCCTGCCTGCAAATCTGAACGAGGAGCTGCGTATATATGATTCGGACGATCTGGCCAAGTACACAAAAGAGAATACGGCAACGAAATATTTCTCGTGGCATCCTCTACCACTCCTCTATACCATAGGTTTCTATCGACCCCGTCACCTCTTGGATGCCCCGGGGGCCGTGAGCGACTTCGTCGAAAGGACAGTTGGACGGCGGAATCCGCGCTTCGATTACGCATCGGCCCTGATGAGATCGGCCGCCTACACGACGTCGTCAGTTAGCTCCCGGGCCTCACAATCGACATTAGCCGCGCGGGCTTGGGGTCAAGCACGCACCTTCTCGGCGATGGCGTACACGGTCTGGCAGGTGTTGGCCCCGGGCAGGACGGACATGACGCTGGCGTCGACGACGCGCAGGCGGCGGACGCCGTAGACGCGGAGGCCCTCGTCAACTACGCCGCCGAGCGCACGCGGCAGCATCGCGCAGGTGCCGGCCGGGTGGAACTCGGAGGGGCTGAGGTTCCGGGCGAGGAAGCCGGCGAGGTCCGCCGGCGCGTCGACCGAGTCGGGCGGCTGCACCTGGCGCGGCGCGTACTCCCGCAGCCGCGTCTCGAAGAAGTAGCGCCTCGTGAAGCGCAGCATCTCGACCAGGATGTCGACGTCCACCCCGTTGCTCAGCGCCCGGTAGTCCACCACCGGCTCCGCCCCGAACGGGTCCGTCGTGTTGATGTTGACCGTGCCCCGGCTCAGCGGGTGCAAGTCCACGAGCGTCCCCGACGATCCGGCGCCAGTTAGGACGTGGTTGCTACGGTATGGGAACGCGAATCAGCAACCGCGGATACTCCGGATGGCGCCGGCGGAAATATAAAACAGCGATATGTGATTAGGAGAAGTCCCTTACTAGAACGCGGTATTCGAGGAGCGGATCGACGCTGCCATGTCCTTCATCTGTGCGCTGTATCCTACAATGTAGATATTAGCAGGATTCGTTGATGCTTATAATTGTCCCTCCTCTTTTTGGCTCCGAAACCACACGTCTCTTTCGAGTTCGACTTATATATAAACGACATACCAGCAATAACTGTCGGGTCTGTGTCGGGAGGTAACTGGGCTGCGTGATCCTGAGTTTCCAATTTGGTCGCTATGCTTTCGAATCTGTCGGGAGAGATGACTGGCATGCCTAACCAGGCCGCGGCGTTTCCGATGCCCATGGAGTATGGCCCTATATCGGCTCGGGATCAGTCCGCGTATCCTTTGCGAACTCGTGATGCTCTCTGGACTTACCCGTCTTGTTGACTCTCCATACTTCCTGGGCCCACTCAATAAAATTCCGGTTCCCGAACATGTCCGTCGGGCTCGGATGGACCGTGAAATTTCCGACTGAGGCACCCGTCTTTAGCTCTCTAGGTAGTCTTGCTGCACAAGTGGGCGAAGGATACACTCACGTATAATTTGCATGAACATCATCGGGTGGTCCTGGAAGTTCTGGCCGACGCCGGGCAGATCGACTGTCGTGTTGATACCCGCAGCCTCGAGGAGCTTTCTCGGTCCGATGCCGCTGCGCTGTAACAGCTGAGGAGAGTGAACCGCACCAGCTGACACAATAACCTCTCGCGTGGCCTTGACAGTGGTGAGCTGGGTAACATTACCGATCGTTTGCCGAAAGACGACTCCCGTAGCCGCGCCATCCTCAAGCAGAATCTTTGTCACATGGGACTCTGTGATGACCTCGTGGTTCGTCCGATTGATCTCGTCGTAGTGCCCGGTTCTGGCATATGACCTCTGGACTCTGTTGGGGTCCATGAACGTGGGAAACCAGTACACGCCTGCCCTGCCTGCGCCGCTGTCGGGTGGGAACTCAACCCCTGGTATGTCCTGGAAGGCTTCGATCTGTGTAGCTTCACCACAGGTTAGTGGGGTATATTATCGACGCCATGTGCTTGGTCTCTCACTTAACCCGGGCCATTGGAATGACGGCCACCCTGCGTAGACGCCGGAGGTATTGCCCCAAAACGAAGTATCGTAGGTGATATTGGTGGCCTCCGCGACAGTTACTTCAGGGGGCACGAAGTTCAGGGCCTCCTCAAGATTAATGGACAGGCACTCGGCACAGAGACTCATTCACAACATACCTTCTTCAGATACGGTAACAGACCCTCCCAAGACCAAGTGGAGTTGGAACTGAAGAATTTACCCCATCGGTCATAATCCTCCGATGTTCCTCGGACGGTCATCATCGCGTTGATAGCTGAGCTGCCGCCGACTAAGTTTCCCGCCAGCACCGCCGTCGTGCGGTTCTGCAGGTTGACTTGAGGAACTGAATTGATGTGGTACGACCATGTTGGCCCTATAGCAGCAGTGCCGGAGTAAACCTGGTCAATTCTAGGGGAATCGACTTCGAATATACGTCAGCGGTTTAACAGATCACAGACTCTTCACCGCTCCTGTGCCTTACCTAGCTTTCCATTCTCCACGACCAGAGCAGTAGCTGGAGTTGGGTACCACCGTAAGTGTCATTATACTCACAACCGGCGACAGGACCGGCGTCGCAACTCACTCTTCCCGTCCGCCGTGAGGCGATCAGCTAAGGTCAAGCCGGCTGTCCCGGCTCCGATGATCACATAATCGTACGATAGCTTCACTTGTCCCCAGCCGTTGAGGTATCTTCGATGAAGTTCTGGCCAGCGATGCGCCTGACCAAAAGGCTCGGCTACGGCAAGTAGCAAAGTTGCCAGCACCCCAAACCTAACGGAGGGAGCCAAAGCCATGATAGGATTCCGGTCCTGGACGGCGAGGAAGCAACGAGTAGGCTTGCCCGTCGTGGCAGCGGGTTCTATTTATGCGTTTCTATCCTTCCCCGCGGCTCATTAGGCCGGCTCCTCGACCGAATAGCTCGTACACGAGACGCTCCATTCTGACGAGGAGAAGGCAATATACATCAGCATACGGACGAGCATGGGTAGAACATCTTTCCAGGAAAAGACTTCCTTAGGCCCGGGGGGAGGGGGGGGGGGGGGGGGGGGACGGTGATAGGTCTCCCTTACCCATGCTCAGAAGGACTCTTTCATTGCACTTTGCTTGTTGAGTGTAGCGTTGCATATTGGAGTTGGTTGGGGTCGTAAGCCTCAACCCCTCGGGAAACTTCGCGAAAGAGGGCAGATCCCCCCTCAAAACGTGGTATAAATACGGCTCATCCAAGACATGCGGGAGCGACTGCGGGGTTGGAATATTGATCGAACGGCCAGTTCTCGAGACCGAATCCCAAAGTATGTGTCAATATCCCGGGATAGTTCCTGAGAGGAATTAGCCGCCGTGTATACAAGGATGTGCCAGCTCCAGAAAGATGCAACGTAAGCGCTGCTCTCCCCACTACACGGGCATGTACTATTATTCTATTCATTCGTTCCCCGTACTCACTCGTCAGCATGGGAGTCCAGCCGGTGGCGGGCACTTTGACGGACCACACCTCGTATGGTTGTTATGAGATAGCCGAGATATCCCTGCACCGCCGTGCTTCCGGTGCAATGTTGGGCGTTGTATTAGCAGGTGCCCGATCGTTCATGGGGGCGGATATGTCGGTGTGCTCCCTCGGGAACCCCCTCGGGGAGTCACAACGTTATAAGCATGGGCTCGATAGATACGCAATTTGGAGGGCGAGCGTGTTGCGATGGTGATCTAGAAGTGGCCACCCTCTGGCGCCGCATGCCAACCCCAACTCTTTCGGCGGCCGTTCTTCCCACGCCTGCCCTACATCGTTCACTCTGGAAAAGGGCGTCCTCGTTCTCGGCCAGATTTGGTTGCGGGATTGACTTCATTCCCCCGTCTCCCGTTAGGTCAAGCCCAGATGTGGCATGTTTCTTTATCGTGAACTAGATATTATGTTCTGTACCGGGGATTTTAACGGGTTGGGGTTCTAAGTGACTGCTTCAAGGCTCGTTGCCCGGATAATAGCGGGATTTTGAGTGGCTTCACATAATATCGATATTACGTACCTATCGAGCCGCCGGCGGTATCGCCACCGCCACCACCACGACGCTGTCGACCACGTACCTCCCCGAAATAGCCTCACGGGCAGCAATACAAGCTATGCATTCCTAGTAATTCGGTCCGGGATCGCCAGAACAACCTGTCTTTAATATCCTGTTACGTGGAGAGCTACCTATACATGGCTTCCTACTTCTTCTCTGGTTGCTCGCTTACCTAACCTAGCTTCCAGCTCGCTTACATAACATAGCTCATAGCTCCTATTATCTATATATAGGTAGCTTATATCTCCTTTGCCCATTCCCTTCCTTCTTAGATATTTAGTCAATTTACCTTCTTCTTCCTACATTCCGTTGCTCCTAGCAGAGCAACCTCAGTGCCTACGTAGCTCTCCCGATCTACGTAATATATCCCATTTCCCCCCTTGCGTTTTTGGGGTGTCTCACCTTCTGTCTCTTGTCTTTCCCATTCATTTTGGGTTTCATCATTGGTCGTTCGTTTCTGTCCTTTGTCCCTAGTCTTACGAGCTAGGATCATCTCACGCGGTCCGTCCCGTTCCCATTCCCGAGTATCTCTCACTAGTACTGTATCGATAGGTATTGTCATCTATACTCATTTTATCTTGCCACCTGCCAGGAGAGAAAAGCCACTTCAAATTGGCGACATGTCTAGGCAAAGTCTGCGGTGAGGTGCGTTCGACCTCGTAGGCATTATTACGCAGATCGGGAGAGTTACGTAGGAACTGAGGTTGCTCTGCTGGGGGTAACAGAATGTACGAAGAAGATGAATTAACTAACTAACCCACTAGGAAGGAAATGAATAAAGGAGATACGAGCTACCTAGGTATATATAGATAATAAGGAGCTGTAAATTATTTTATATAAGCGAGCTTGGGAGCTAGGTTAGGTAAGCGAGGAACTAGAGAAGGAGTAGGGAACCATGTATATGTGGCTCTCTACGTGACATGTAATATAAGCAGTACCACCTGAAGCTGGGGATATTCGTCTCATATAAGATCCTAAGTATATAAAAAAAATAGCAGAAAAAGCATCATAATACCACAGCAACAACGACTATAGCAACACCATCTATAGCTCTAGTGACGCCGTTAACAGCGTCTATGAATAGCTTTATCCAAAGAACGCCTGCTCAGCAACGGGCAGCAGCGAGGATATTGTCCTATTAGGAGGAAGGCGCTTCAACACCGCACCCAGCTAGCCCCGGCGCAATCAGGCCATATATAGAGCCTCTACCGCAGGAGTACTTAACTCCAAGCACGCCAGCGGCGTCTCCACTGCGGCCGTTGGCGATAGCTTCAATCCTGAGTAGGCTGATAGCGGTCTCCAGTGTACCCAGAGCATCTCAAATGCTGTCAGGGCACTTTCCCCAGTAATTTGGACCGCCATCTACATAGCCGTGGCAATCTCCAGCCTTGGGACCTTAAGCCCCCGTTGGCAACGGCAGGAATAGCTTCCTAGGGCAACCACCACCACCCCCGCCGATCTCACGCTTACAGATGACTTGGAATGGCTTCATGGGGCCGCCGGGAATACCAGGGCCATCTCCAGTGAACCCACAGCACAGAATCGGGGCTACGGTATAGGGGATTATCCTCCTGACTTATGCGTTGGCGCTGGGGCGCGTCTCCCCGTGTAACATATGGTGACGACGCTTATAATACTTTTCTTTCTTGTTGGTTCCGGCAGTCGTGTGTCTGCCTTGTTACAGGACATTGTCACAGCCACAATGCGACCCTATATGCGGCCATTCTACAGCGAATTAGCAAAAACTCTGCTGTAACTTGCAACCAACACGAGCATCTTTCACTGAAATGAAGGGGCTTTTTCCTTGCGGCGGCGAAAGTGTATTAAGTGTGAGACACGAAGACGAGTCCAACCCCCACCCTTGGCGAAGAGGTGTCTGTGCTTCGACATGGTTAACCTGGTTGACTTGGCCTCGGCCAAAGCTATCCTGCTCTGCAACGCATTCCTGCCTTAAATATTCTGCCTAAAGAGGTCTTGCCGGCTGCGTCAGCCCTTTTTAAAAAGGCTGTAACGATCATTTTCACAAGGCCTTGTGATTATAAGATCGGGCTGCCTCTTGTTGATATATTTCGTGCACTCCAATACAACTTATCAGCAAGATCTCGCCCAAGATTACCGGGATCACGTGAGACTCAATCCTCCTATTCAAAGGAAATCGATTACGCTGCTATAAACTTTATTATTGACTGATAAACATAGTGATGGATATGGCAGAAGAGACCGAAGGACGAATAATACGTCTCACATTGGAATACGATGAGCCGACTTCGATTGCCGATGACTTCATACCTTGTTCTAATATCCTCAAAGTCATTTTCAGTCACATTCAGAAACTAGAGAGACCAGGTCCTGGGCATATCGTGAGTACATTGGAGCAGATCTGCTTAGGAAGCCATGGCGTGGCCAGATGCAGTCCCGCGCAGAGTTCATTGCAAGGTCAGCCAAGAAATTAGCACATGGCAAAGGCCCCGAGAATTGTGAATTACCAGCGATTTTACAATCGGAAATAATGGCGCGTATATCGGTTGAGGTCTAATGGTTTGTATCCGAATTACTGAGTTGTTTGACGCATCAAGCTAAATTCAGATCTTATGAATAGCGAAATTTGCAGATCTAGATTCTGGCATTCCGAGCGTAGCACTCTTCCCGAGGCACTAAGTATCGAACATATGGCAGCGATTGAGGAACTACAAGCTAACACGAACGGTCTGCACGTGTAACGCAGGCGCCAGCAATGATGAAAAGTACGTCTCAGACCACCAGGTAGACTTTCACCCGAGAAACTGATAAGATACGACAGTGATGGCCACGAGGCATGTCTTTTGTGGCTAGAAGATTTGCTTGATGATGGCGAGAAGCATACTGGTTCTCAAGTTGAATCAATGCGTGTTACGAAAACTCGACATCAAGCATGCTATATTCAAATACCAAATAAAGAGTTGCTGGAAAGTAGGATAGGATTCATCAGCGATGACATGCCGTTCCTTGTCATTACTTCTGATCCCGAAGAGGGCGGGAACAATATGCCAACAGATCCAAAGTTTAGGGCCTACAGAGCTTGCCAGCTGCTTTCGTCTCAGGAAAGACTACGACAGGGTGCAGGAGAGACAACAGCATGGGAAGCCGGTCCTTTGAGCTGGCAGATCTCACATCAAGGCAGCCTATGGTCAATCACGGCATGTTATTTTGAAGGTCATGACACAGATTCCTGCTGTGCTGTGAGTCGCAAGTCATTACCCTGATATTGTAACCAGCTCACTGAAGGTCATCTCAGCATATAAGCTAGACTACCCCTTCGCGAGCCACCCCTTCACGAGCCGGGTATTTTATATGGGTTTACATACAAACGATTTATCCCCGTAAAAAACCGGGAAAAGATCGGAAAAATCGGAAATTTACTTACGTAATTAATTAGCCTTATTAAATCAACATATGAATTTTTCGAATTTCTTGCTTAGTAATATAAGAAGTTATTTACGATTTAAGGTTTTTTAAAACTATATTAATAGTTTCCTATATAATTTATTAGTAAATCTATTAACTATACTTTATATCGGCTTCTTGACTTATTTTTTTCATAGTAATAAAGTAGGTTTATTACCTAATACTTCATTTTATAAATAGAAAAATGGCTTATATTAAGTAATCTTATTTTTATTCTTTGATTTCGTTTTTATTCAATTTATTATTTTAAAAAAACTACATTTTTAAATAGGTTAAAACTTTTTCAAATTGTACCTATTTTCATAGTAAGAATTCTACCTTTCCGACTGTCCTATTTTTTCATATAAAGAGGTTCTAAAAAAAAACACTAAAAATCAACGTTTTTAAGACTTATTTAATTTAATAAAAATTAGAAAAATAAAAAGAAAAAAGTTTACGTAATCTTAACCATTATTCTATCTATAGTATAAAGGATTAGGTAATGGACCTACTTTATTACCGTGAAAAAAATAGGTTAAGAGGCCGATATAGAGTATAGTTAATAGATTTACTAATAAATTATATAAGAAACTATTAGTATAGTTTCAAAAAACCTTAAATCGTAAATAACTTCTTATATTACTAAGCAAGAAATTCGAAAAATTCATATGTTAATTTAATAAGGCTAATTAATTACGTAAGTAAATTTCCGATTTTTCCGATCTTTTCCCGGTTTTTTACGTGGATAAATCGTTTGTATGTAAACCTATACAAAATACCCGGCTCGTGAAGGGGTGGCTCGTGAAGCGGTAACCTAACTTACTTCCCTCGTGGCAAGGCTGCATCGAATCTGTCGACCACGCACTGCAATTGTTGCTCATTGTCGACTACATTATTGATTGGGGGCGCGAGATATACCGTAAAGCCATAGTCAACAGTCTTTTTAGAGCTTCCGAACTTGAAGCCAAGCCAATGATTCACTCGACCTGGACATCGAGGAGGTTTAACAAATCTGAACCTCAGTCTTCGACAGCACCAAGAACACCCAATACATCGAGAATTGACCCTCTTAAGAAGTATGACAACAGATCTGGGTTCGTTCGAGATGCCGGTTTCGTCAAATCTCTTTTCGCTGCTCTCTATGTGACAGAGGATAACTATGGGATTTTAATGGGATCTTTGGTTCCAAATAAGCGCAAGGCACTAGCTGATTCAATTCTCAAATGCCTAACCGAAGCTTGGCGAGTTTCCAAGGAGGCGCTCGACGCCCTTGAGCTGTCATGGGCAACCAAAAGCCGTAAGGATGCTGATCAGTATCCCAAAGATAAGATTTTCCTGGTTGTCGTAAGTGTCACAGCCTACCTAACAACATCCTGGGAGCCGACTAGGGAACTGGGGTACCTTGCAGTAGCGGAGTCCCTTCTTGACCGTCTGCTAGAGACTGCGAGCCTTCAGCACCATCCTGGGCGTACCCCAACTGGATTCCCCACGGTGGGGGTACCTGCGATGGGGATTTTCACCATGCTCAAGCAATGTACCATTCAGGATACACTGAAAGCATGTGTCGCTCGTAAATGCCGCCAAACTGGAATTGAAGCAATGGTGTGTGGGAAGTCAGAGAATGAGAAACCTCACAACTTTCAGGTTTTTCTATCGGAGATGACGGCAGAGGGGATGAGACATCGACTTGACGTTGTCATCAAGCCAGTGTCAGTGTCAAAAGCGCGGAACATCGTTTTTGAACTATTAAACGGACACACGGTTGAAGTTTCATCGTCTTTATTTCGTGTATCCTCTCTTCTTGAGGAACTTCCACGGCCAGGAGAAGCTCTGAATTATCCCGACCCACCTACAGGAGACGAGTGCATATGGGACCTACCATCTAATCTTCCGGACTTTGAGGAGAAAAACGTGGTGATAGCCACGGCAGCCGATTCAGTCAAGGCTGGTGCAGCTGGAAACGAAATCTGTATCTTCATAATGGATTCGACCATTTTAGAGCATGGACTCCCGCTTGCAACTCTTCTAGACACACATCCAGACTGGCATCTACAAGTGAAGAGGTTCAATCGCAAGCACCGCTGGGCAGCGAGAGATGGAAATCTCAGCGACTTCATCTGCCGAGATCGGTCGATAGAACCTATCCTAGCCGAGTATCGAGAGCATCTGAGAAGCACTGCCTTGGGTAGCGCGTCATTTGACGATGTAGGGTCAACTAATAACAAGGGCTTTTGGGCACCCAAGGAGTTTACCAAAAGCATGACAGTGGTGTCGAATGCCAAAGAAGGTACCAAATTCGACTTCATGGATGTTCTCCAATTTGCAGGGGCCATGCGGCGAGGCCGGATCAGCTCGATGATTTGGAGGAACCCTCCTAAGAACGCCAAGACTGAAGTCACACTCCCTGTGACGTTGGATTCTAAGGGCAATCTATTGCTTCCAAGTAGATCTAAAACTAGCGGAGAGAGAAGGGAGCGTAGTAGTCCAGAAATTCGTTCTGACGAATCAATTCCATCCGGTATTGATGCAAACCCTTCACAACTGCACCAGTAAGAACGGAAGACAGTCTCCGTTCAAGGCATTCAAACAGGCAGGACGGTTGTTTCTGTGGACGCCGAAAATGAGGACGCTGAAGCAATGTCATCGAAGGGCAAGCGGCCTTTATGGGATGGATTACCCGAGCACGACGTTTCAGGACCCTCTAGCAAGCGACTACGCTTGTCTGAGACACATGAGCAACCTGTTGATGCACTGAGTGATGCTGACTTTGATGTGCTTCTAAAAGCAGGCGCGTTTAACTAGTTTTGCAGAGATTTGAGACTCGATAGATGTACTGCCTAGTCGAGCTTGGTCATCTTGAAATGATCAATCCAACCACCTGTATTCATCAAGTTCGTAAGCACATGAGAAGTGACTTTACGGGTACGACGAAGCTCCTAGCCTTCTTTTCACTCCCAGCCATTGCTGCCGCTGCTGTGGCAGCTGGAGTTTGCAACCGTGACAATTGTCTAGGAGGCATGTGTTTCCCCCTCGTCTCGGACGACTCCCAATTGACACTCAATTATAGCTATTATCGCTGATTCGAAACCGACCATACATGGCAGTGCTGATTGCGCAGCCTGTCTGCGGACGACTGTCACGCCGTCGACCTCGTAGGTTTGCCACATCAAATTTTGTTGTAATATTCCCCAAACCTTGCCCTCCAGAACCGCAGACGGCCTGCCGCCTTAACAGGCGCTAAACCACTCCTAAACAGGGCAGGTATAGGGGAGACACCGGGTGTCCTACGCTTATGGTTTAGTTAATTGGTAGTGTTTTGTGGCCGGAGGGGTAGGATGGGCTGGGGGCTTTTCACGAGGGCTTTGATAGGAGTTCGTTTTGGGCGACTCTGACGTTGAAGCTGATATAAGAGTTCTCTTTTCTGCTACTACATGCTGTACGCTATGATTCTATATAATGTCTCGAAGACGCTCTTTTCAGCTCTCTGGCTCTCTTATAACGTTATTTTATTTCGTTTTCTAGGTCATTGTTTACTTCTATTTACGGAACTCTTCTCCTCGCCTGTCATGACTGCTGCTTCTGATAACTACTTGGTGGTAATAGCTTCCTCCTTCTCCTATTTAACTCTTTGTAGTGTAAGATTGTAAGGATATCGTGGCTTGGGTTGCTGCGCAAGGTGAAGAGATAAGAGGGGGTCACCAGTAAATTGCCCCTCGAGCTATAGGTAGGTAGGTAGGTAGTCTACTGCTTGCCTTCCGATCTCCCATAGAGTAGCGGTTAGGCTATGCATACATATACGGTAGGCGTAGTGACCGTAGGCCAGTCGGCGATCGCTCGGAACACGATCGGTCCAGGCCCACTACCCTTCAGTATCGTTACAGCTAGGTCTCGGAAAACTGCTACTATGATATTAGGACAATTATTTGAGCTTTCTAGTTTGAGAAAAAGCCTCCTACGAGAACATATTATTTAAAACATCATTGCCGGTCTCAAATTTTAGGGAAAACCTCGTATGAGAAATATAATATCAAGAATTTTATTTGAAGTCTCTAAGATTAGAATAGACCTCATACAAAAAATGTAAAATGACCCCTCAGCTCGCAAGAAGATCGTCGAAAGACTTCCCTCATAGTCTGAGGCTCTTCTATAGTTTGAGGTTTCTAACTTTACAGACGACCTCATAGGAGGGTTATCAAAAGATTACTAATGATTTCAATATCCTGCTGGATCGCTCTGACAATGCTGTGATACTCTGAGTCTTCACGATGCTGCCACTCTAAACTATGGTACCTGAATTTGGGAGTCCTGTCGTAAGTGCTGTGTTCCTGTAACTAGATACATACTAAGATATGCAGGCTTGAGGCGCGAGTGGGTTAAATTGTTCAGTAAGATAAACAGGGCCATCTTTATACTTGGGATTCGGGCCAAAATTTCTGCGTGAAGCGGGTGCTCTACAAGCACGTACAGCCTCATCGGGATCCAGGCACCGGCACTGAGCACCGGCACTTGTAGACAGCCGATTACACCAGCTTCGGTGCCGCTTAAGCGTTTTCCGTTACCTCTGATGACATATCGAGTCTGCAATGACCGGCGCAGCCATCCACAAGGCCCAGGCAGCGTTGTTGGATGATATCCACCGCCATGGCGTGGTCAATACGGGTATGGCCCTGGAAAATGACCAAGAGCAAAAAGTCGACAAGAGGGCGACGTCTATTAAGGGTCCTTGGCATTTGATAACTTCTTGGCTGCTCGATCCTCACGAATCTTCTCCTTCGTCTCGTCATCCCATAATCGTGATTGGTACTTTTTAGTGCGTTACCGTCGTTTGTGCTGCTGGCTCTGCCGCCGTTTCTCGGCTGCTTCGTGCTGGTATAAACGACGTTGTATAGGACTATTCGCGATGCTCTGTAAGGGAGCCAGATTCTGACAATCTGCCACCCTGTCAGAACAGCCTCTAGCTACCAGGTACAGCAGAACCCGGAGGGCGAAGTATGCATCGTTTCCAGCACAGTGTAACCCAGTGGGTGAACAGCCGAGCTCACGGAGAAGCCCTACCAGTCTAAGAGCGAAATAAGGGAGAACTTGACCAGACATCCTGTATTATGTGTCGAGTGCGGCTACTACGGATTTCTTGAAAGTCCATTCCAAGTTGTCCAAGGCCATTAAATCATGTCTAATATCATGCCCCACGAGGGTAATGTCCCGACCTTTTGGAATGTATGACTCTATCTGTGTAATCATGTCCTTCTTCTGAACCGTGTTTGTCTTCCCAAAGAGAAACCTTTTCGCTGCTTGGTTACAGTATGCTGGTGAGCCCGAAGCAAAGTTGTGTGTCGTTATCATCTCTTCGAGCGGACAGGATTGAACTCGGCCAAGATCTAAAATCTCCAGGCCGACCTGGAAGTTGGGCAAATCTGTGTTGTCCTTGGTGGCGCTGGCGTTCTCAAAGTCGATGGCCATTGGAATGGTATCAGAATGGTTAATCTGCTCGGTCTGATTGTTTAAAAGCCCCAAAAGTCCGAGGGCAATTTGCAATCCATCCCTAGCAATGGTGACGCCTGTTTGGAGATGTGGCGGGGAGGAGCACCGTAGTGAGGGTGACAAGAGGTCGTCTGAGTGGGAATTGCTGGTGACTTATGGAGGCCTTTTTGGAGGTGGACGCGACAGAAAGTTCGCCTGGCCAGTGCTAGAAACCCGTACGGCTTTCTTTATCAGCAGGTTCGCTGAGTCATGGGTGCCCCGGAGCCCTTGGAGCACGAACGTATTATTTTAAGGCCGTCGTTGGGAACAATTTGGTTGTGTGGCACAACACTAATCTATTAATGGGAGAATCCAGGGAATCATCAAGCCCTGGCAAAGCGGTGCTATCAAGTTGTGTACTTACTTGACTTATTTCACTTTTATGATTTCTAGGAGATCTTCTGATAACTTATTAATTTTTAGTCTTGTGAGCTGTCCCCCCTACTGGCAAAGACTCGAGATTATCGAATCAGTTAATAAAACAATTCTCATATAATTGTCTTCGGAGATAGGAGTCAAGGCCTTCCAAGCCGGAGAAAATCAACGGCGAGAAAGTAGGTACTAGATATGCCAGGGTATCTGGAAATGAATCCTTGTAAACTTGGTTCCATTTTTGGCTTTGCGGTATTGACTTTAACCGGGGTAGCAGAAAAGAGCTCTCAAACCACCTCACAGTCAACACACCAAGCGCACCCACCGCATACCCGCTGCATACCCACTGCACAGGTTAAAGCAGAAGCAGCACCGGCCCACTCACGAAGAAGGAAAGGGGCGAGGGCAAGATTCGGGCAGCATTTTATTCTGTATTTCCCGGGGGGTTCTCTGGCAAACCAGCGTGTTCGTAGGAGTGTAGTAAGAAGTTGCGGTCGTAGCATAATGGCAAGACGCGAGACGGGTTATTAAATCACGGGATGGAGACCGCGTTCTAAATCTCCCGAAATCCCAACTTCCGCGTACAGAGCCATATTTGCAGGTGACGAAGGCCGCCTTCTTTCGTTAGATACACTCACGTTAGACGGAATTTTTGCCAAATCCAGCTCATCATACGAAGGCAACGCGCCTGTAAGGACGATAGATCAGTCCTAGATAAAGGGCGAGGGAGAGGGGAGGAGAAGCTCCTCGATCACTTTATATGAGCGGTGCTAATAACTACCCGAGAATCAACTTATCTTACGTAGGTACCTATCTATCCGCCAGCTCCAGCTTCCATGTAAGTAATGTTTCTGTCCAGTGAGTGGAAATCCGAGGTAAGCTGACTGAAATGATGGAAATGTTGCTTTGCTCAAGCTGTCAAGTTCCGTAACTGTCCCTTTTTTTTCTTGTCCTTTGGCCCGGGTATCACGTAGCGTGGCTATTATACACCCGCCTACCTAGCTGTAAGCCAGGTGACCCGCGCCCAGGTCGACGCATTAATATACGCCAGTCCAGTAGGGAGGTGAAGCGAATATAGGAGGTACGTAGGTGGTAATGTCTGGGTTTCTTCGGAGCGCCCGGGCACCCACAAGATCATCCTCACAGAGGCAACCTCCCACCCTCCGGTACCTTAGATACGAGATCAGGTAGGTAGGTACTTACCTGGCCTTCCCCAGGTATCACCCCTACGTCGGGTCTGAAGTATTCTCAGGCTGCCGAAGGCCGACACGTACACACGTACGGAGACAGGTACCCCGGGTACTTTGGTGGGCGGAGTTGCCATTTCACTGCGGGTTAGGTACTGACAAGCCCGCTACCCTTGTGTCACGTACCTAACCTGGGGGAGATAGCCCAGGAGATTAGGTACCTAAGGTAGAGGTAGGTAGGTTTGTTACAATGTTGGGTACTTCGGGTTGACCTCCTACCTTAGGTACCTTTAGAGGTACCTAAGTTAGGAGGTAGGTGGATACCTGATAGGTAACCCAGTCGTTGCGGCTGCTGCCGTTGCCAGTCTGCCCTACCAGGTCTGGAGGTATACGCAGATACCTCAATAAGGGGTATCATAGCTCCCGTCGGCGAGTCGACCAACCCGTGTGCTTGTGGGTCCAACACCTCCGCCTTACACGGTACCTGGCCGGTACCGTACCTGGGATACCTTCCACCCGTGCCTGCCTCGACTCCCTACGAGGGAGGAGTGCTGCTCCTTCCAGCACAACAACGTCCTCTCAGCGGAATCAGTCCGAGGTTACGTACCCTCGTATTCATTCTCGGATCACCTCCCAACCCATCCTCACTCCTCCTGTCCCGCCATCAAGACTACTCTCGGCGCCGCGGTCGAGACGTGCCACTATAAACCCGCCCCCGTCCCGTCTGATCTTTCCCAGGCGCTTACACCTCTCCCTCGTTTGTCCTCTCTCTTGATCTTCGACAGCTCACCACCTCATTTATCTGCTCCCCCCTCCCCCCTCCCCCCTCCCCAACAGTGGCCCTTCTCATAACCCGTCCCTCCTGATATCGAGACCAGACAGACACCTGTAAACCCTTCCCCGTCCGTAATTCCCAGAGACCTTCACCGCGTCCCCCATCTGTCGTCACGGCCTCAGAGCTGGATCTGTCCTTGTCTATCAACAGCCTCCTCACCAACCTGTCCCAAGCCTCGGCAACCCTAATTTGAGCAGGCCTGTGAGATCAACTCTTCGACGTCGAAACGTAAAGTGCACGCGCCGATCGTGTATACGCGCTTCGAGAGACCCGTACCTCTTCTGACTGTAAGCAAATCTCATTCCCTCCCTTCCCCCCCCCCAATCTCCTCGTCTGTCTCTTGCGCCTGCTACCCTCTCTCGTCTCGCCACCCTCCTCCACACGTCATCTTTCTCTTCCTTCTATCTATGTCACCGCGACCTTGTCTCGAGAAATAAACCACACGCACCCGCAACATCTCTCGTGGTATCACGAGGCGCACCGCCAACGTCGTTGAATCCGCAATCACATCGGTATGCCCGAGTGCTGTCCCGTGTGCTTGATCTTGTCTTCCTGCTTCCATCTCCATAGCAACCTTCTGATGCCCCGTCCCCTCCTCTCACACAACCCTCCTAAACAAGACCGGACACCACCCCACTCGTCCCATCTTCTTCCTGCAAAGATCACGATACCCTAGACGTTTCCCTCGTTGTCCGCTGCCGCACTCCCTCACTGCTAACCGCTTACCGACATATCCCTGCATTAGTGGAAATAGCCTAAATCATCCTTTGGAATTCATCATGTCTGGCTTGCGAAAGAAGCAGTCGGTTAGCCTGGCCGTCTCGGCCGACAACTCCCCCTGCAAGTCTCCAAGCTCGAAGTCTGACCAGGGTAAGTCCATCCCCCGTAACCGACCGAGATAGACATTTGTAGATTCGGCCAGGTCTCCCTCATGCTCACCATTGCTGCAGGAGGAGGCGTCCGTCTCGACGCTGTCCTAGATGGCCTCTCCCTTGATGGGTCCCCTTCACGTTCGCCAACCGCGAATATGTGAGTTACTGACTGCATAACGGCCAGTAGTGCCCACTAATCCTGTCAAATAGCTATGAGCCTCTTGGTGCCCGTAATGGCCATGGCTCCCCACGCTTTGGAGGACATCGGCTCCGTGGTGCAAAGTCGCAGTAAGTCGAGCGAGAAATCCATGCGGGATGCCCGTAGCTAATCTTGTACTAGGAACAATATCGGATTTCAGGTCGGAAAGTATGATGACGATAGAAATGTCTTTGGTATCTCGCCCAACGAAGTCCGTGGAGCTTATACACAGGCACCCATGACCGTTGGATCGACCATGCAAGCCGCGTTTCCAGTGTGTCCGGCCCGTACGCCTCTGCGTTCCCGCGCTTCTGAGCTTGGTATCCGATCTCAGGTCGCTGGTATTGATGCCCAAGCTTTTTACCCCGCGACAGCTTGTGTGTTCGTCGCGAAGTAAGTTTTCCACGGATATCCCCCGTAGGAGGAAGGGAGGGAGATCTGACCAGTTGATATGTAGTCTCCCCGAGAACGTTAAAGATTCCCGTCTCGAGGCCGAGGTGACCCGGGCCTTTAGCAAATTCGGTATCGTCTTCGTGAAGATCCGGCGAGACCAGCGCAACATGCCATTCGCGTTTTGTCAATTTACCGTAAGAGGCACTCAAGCCTAACTGCAAGCCCGACTAACTGTAGGAACAGAAGGACGAGGATGCGCATACTGCCATGGCTCAGGGCAAAGGCATCCTTATTGAAGGTCGCCCTTGCCGCACGGAGATGGTTAAAGCTAACCGTAGGTGCTAGAGGGCCGTGTAAGCAGTATTGGCCGATCGTTCTAACCTGATCGTAGGGAGTTTCGTCATATATGACATCGTCGGTCACGGCGTCGATGTCGAAGACGCACGCACTCGGATGTCCACTTACGGACCTCTTAGCAAATGTGAAGAGCTCCATCCCCAACTCCAGCAGGCCTTGGGGACCCCAGGCGGTATCTTGTTCGAGTTCGCCTCGTTCGATCCAAACCGAGATGTCATCACGGTAGGCAGCTCTCACTTCGTGTACCGTTATAAGCCGTATTTCGCTAATATGCCGGTAGGCCTATAAATACCACCCCCAGTACCGGGTGGTCGCGTATGACCTCAAAAAGTCCGCCCAGCCTAAGCCAGACGCCGACGAGATCTGGCTGCAGCGGTATGAGGTTGATCGTCGATCAGTCTTCATAGGTAATCTTCCTATCGACGTTCCTGATATTGAGGACATTTTAAAGGACGTCGCTAGCGGAGTAGGTGACGTAGAGAAAGTGCACGTCATCCAGAAGGACGCTAAAGGAGGTTGGTAGCCCCCGAACAGCAGACCTGCCTGCACAATGGCGCTGATCGAACAACTCATAGGCCATAACAATCCTATTGCGTTTGGTTTTATCGAGTTTTCCCGCCCGGATCTGGCGGAATTGGCCGTCATGCAACTGGTAAGCCACAAATCGGACAGACGGACACTTGGAATGACGTACCAGCTAACGGCGGCGTGCTAGAACGGAATGATCTTGGAGGGATCTTCGGTCCGAGTTGAACGCAAAGCTAGTCGCGAGTCCCAGAACAATCGAGGCACGCCATCCCGTATGATCCTTAATGACGCCCGTAGTCCTGAGGATTATGAGCGTCATCGGGTCCGAAATATTCCGACAGGAGACAAGGCTGCCGAGCCCAGGACTCCTGTGCGTGGACGTACAGGAGAGGATTCACTGCCCCCGACCAGTGCGTCCAAGAGTGACGGAACGGCCGCATCCGGTGGCCGCAGAGATACAGCCCAGGCACAGACGTACCATACGTATGCGCCGTACGGAGCTCGGCCCTATGCCAGCCCGACGTATGTGCCACCATATGATCCTCACATCAACACAGGAGGGTTTCCGGTCACACCGCAGGGCACTCCGGGCATGCTCAGTCCTTACGGTCCCAATGCCTTCTACAGCACACCGTACTCGTGGATGACGCCGTACCTTCAGGACCCAAACTTTTCGCAGGTGAACTTTTATCACCCATATTCGCATGCGTCAGAGCCCCGTTCCGTTGGAGACTTTAGTGTAACGGGCGCGTTGTCCACTCCCACCCGAGGCAGCACTCGTCAAGATAAGCCTCGCAATGGTGATGATGCCCACCAGGAGGCTTAGCTCATGGAGTCGACTGAAGGCATCCGCTCGTCATCTCGCTAATACCGAGGGTACGATTCGTCATCCGTCATCCCATTCATCGCGAGAGGAGAGAAGAAACAACCGGACGACAAGTCTCTCTCCATACCCGGCGGACGCTGTGGTGCTCGCATTTGCTCCTTGTTTTGGCGTTTAGGAACCCGAAAACCAAATCTTTTTACCCTGGCCACGACGCACCATTAGCTACTCATCGGCCCGAACCTTTGCTTCCCTGTTGTTATTGTTGTTGTTGTCATTGTTGTTCTTCCTCTGTCGTTTTCCAACTTCTCTCATCTTCCGTACTCGGGCAGGGTCCACGATAGTTCCACTCGGCCCGGCATGATGTGTGCTCTTTGGCCAAATTGGCCCTCTTTGTACCAAGGCTTTATTTCGTACCTTTGCTAATCGAGACCCTATTACCTCTACACTGTTATCTGCAACTGGAGGGTCAGATGGAAGGACTTCCAACCCCACTGCCAATGACGCATATTAAAGGGGATAAGGGGTCTAAGAACTCACAATTACTGGTAGAGACTATTCCTCTCGGATAGGATTTGTTTTCGATGGTAATTAGTGAGAGACGTGATTGTTGTTATAAGAGGGTCAGGGCATCCAGAAATCCGGAAGCCTGAGAGAATATCTATTGTTCCGACGGTCGCTTGGTAGGTAGGTCAGAGGCATACCAGCTCCGGGCTACTCAAGTTGCAATTCCAGGTTTACGGGTCTGTATATCGCAGGATGGCCCGACGATGGAGTAAGGTTACGGCTAACCAGAAGCATATGCATCCCCTATCCCCCCCGGCACTGCCAGAGGGCATAGTTGAGGTTCTGCCAGACGCTAATATTAGCATTTGCCTTTCTACCTCATGACGTGCATTGAAACATTAGGGGGGGGATCGTGTAGCTACTATGTCTGGAAAGCAACATAGAAGAAGTATCATGGCATACCTTTCGAAGGGCTGCACATACGCAAACCGGCGTACATGCGGTAACTAATAACTCAGACCTGTTTTCTATCAGCTTGCAGGACTATCAGCGTACCAGATCTGTAAAGAGAGAAAAAGCAGTGATGAGTTTACAGATTGGACACAGCTAAGCGCAGCCATTGTGCGAAGCAATGCTACATCTCGTGCCAGGCGTACCACGAGAACATAGTGATCACACGTGAACGACAGGGTGTGGCAGGAAGGGAAGCACAGGGGTTAACGAAAAATTTTTATCATGAAAGGATAATCTTTGGAGTTCGGCTTCACCGCAGAGGGGAGCAGGTTGATGGAGCGAGATGGCACGAGATGGAACTTACTAGAGACAGTGCAGACAGGACACCCAGATAAGGAGGCACAGTCTGGGCCAGTACGGCGGCAGCGAGACAACGATCCGGAATGACGAGAGCTCCCATCTCACATACAGTGGGACACAGAGTTGGCGACGAAGTTTGTTGATGGGGAAAAGGGACGAGTCCCTGCTTGTTCGAGACTGTTAGCAGAACGGCTGGATCTTGGAGTCTCCGCGTTCGGGGGCCAAGATGAAAAGAAAGATCTGAGGTTGCAGCGAAAGGGAGGAAATGCCACCCGCTTAAAAAATAGCAGTGAGGCGAGATGCGGGGGGAGGGGGTATGTAAATGGGTGCGTGCATGTGTGTGTGTGTGGCGATGGAGGAGCGCGTTGATGAGGATGGCAGCGTCAAGGAGGGCGAGAAGGAAGACGGGAGTGGCAGAAAACGGCGCCGTCAGGGAAGCTTCCCTTGCGCCTGCTGCTTCTGCTATTGCTGTCAGAGAGGCACGGCGGTTGCTCCTAGCATTTGAAGCATTTCCATAAGGGGCGAAAGGGGGCAGAGGAGAGTTGGCAGGTTGTTACGGTGAAAGCACGTAGCAGGATCAGAGAATAAACAAACAGCACAATGCAACTACCTAACCTCTGGAACGGCGCAAGATAAACGCACCAGGCTATGTGAGAGAGAGAGTCGCTACCCTGGTAGCCTGGGTTACCTACATACCTAAGTAGGGATGATATACGAAGTTGTGTCATGTAACCTACAGCATCTGCCGTATACAGGTTACATATATGCGGTTACCCAAAATCACGGCCCCAGATGTTGTAGCCTGACAGGCACCAAGGAGTAAGGGCCACGGGGAGAGACAACTACCTGTTCTCTGTGTCAGATCTTTTGTGAATGGCTGAGAAAAAGGGGCGAGGGTAGGCATAATTGGAGTACCGTAAGACAAGGGATACCAGGTAAGTAAATAAGCAAGTAGAAAACTGCCCAAGGACAAGTACCTAACGCAGTACTCCGTTATATATATTGAACCCCTCGGATGTAGTCCCGAGTAAGCAGAGCCCGGAGCCGTCCAGGGGACCTGTTGTCAGGGGCAGCACACGAAGCTCACCGCGATCCCACGGCACATACATACATATATAAGCCAAGTTGCAGCCACCCCCCTTCACCCTCACTTCCACACCAGCTACATACTGGATTACTACAATGCCAATTTATAGGTGATCACAGGCTGCATCTTTCAGCGAGCAATACGCTTCGCGCGATCACAATCGGCATGAGCATGGGTATTGGTCATAGCGACCTTTCCAGACACACAATTTCAATAACATGAATATGGAAATAACTAGAGCTGCAGTAGATGCCTACCAGCTCCCCGGAGAACGGCCATTTGCACAAGTCCAGGTACCATGGCTGGTAGTCGTCCGTCCTCAGATCACGTGACCCACGACAACTTGGGCCAGCCAGGCGATATTCCCAACCCATTCGAATTCCAAACAAGAGTAGCTGTCGAGTATTTCGTACTATAATCCGTCCAGATCCCTAGTGACGCCGAGTATGCGGAAAAGGACACGCTCTGCAATCTGACAGGCTGGCTTGGACAATGCAACCAGAGGGACGTTCTGATACCCGATTCTAGTCGAGTGAGAATGCAATAGCAACGCAACCATGCTGATAAAACTGGCGATGGAGAAGACGCTTATGCTCGCACGCGTCTCCTTCCGGATCTTGATCTTGCGCTGGGTGAAATGGTAGCAGGTGGTTAGTATGGTGGCTATGCCGATCCAAGCGGGCAGCAGGAGCCCAGGCTCTTCCGAAGCGCCGGTCAGGTAGACGGTCCACGAAGTCAAGTAGGCGAATGCGCAACTGACAGTGAGCAGACGGACCACCGTCGCCTGCGGCGTATAGTTGATGAGCCAGCGGGACATGAGGCAGTCGGTGAAGAAGAAGGCGAGATATGCCGAGGCGCCACACTGTTCAACAGGGGGGAGGGGGACAAGGGGGAACCCCAGTTAGCTACCGGATACGAGTAATGCTGGGCACGTTCGGGTATTCGGAACGGACGAGGCGACATACCCAGATAATGGCCAGGGCCGTCTCGGTCAGTCTCAGGGTGGAGGTAGCAGCATCACGGCCACGGTCTCGTTCGCGAGCCTGGTGACGGAGCAAATCGGCGACCAGAAAGCGTAGGGCAAAACGCAGGCCCCAGCACACGGGGGGCACGACAGAGAGCAGGCGACAAACGGAGAGGGTGTGATGCCAGCGTTTGGGGACGCCAAGCGCGACAGCAACACGAGGCTGCAGCAGAGAGACAGCTACGACAGGAGCCGGGGGCTTCTCGCGGGCGCCATTGCTGGAGGAAGAGAGCGTTGGATCGGGCATTCAAGGGACGTCCCGAAAGATTGACAGGCTCGGGGGCGGGATTCCTGGTCGCTCCTACGGCCGGCTCGAGGTCTGCTGCTGGGGTTCGTCGTCCTGGTCCGTTGCTCGCTGTCGGGCGCAGTTGGCCATAGGCGGTGGCTAGAGAAGAGAGCGGGGGGGAGGACGAGGAGGAGGAGAAGAGGAAGAAGAAGAAGGAGAGAGAGACAGAGAACCGGCGAGAGAAGAGGCAGACGAGGCGTGGGAAAAGGAGGAGAGGCCCGACGGGACGGACAAAGGCAATTTAAAAATGTCGGCGTCGCACATTAGCAACGACCGTGCCGGCAGGTACACGAGGGATTCGCACCTAATCTAGGCGCAGAAGCTCGGAGAGGAGAGAGGATGTAGAGGGTACCTGAGACAGGGCCCGGCGGTGGGACGGCAATGGAAGGTGGGAGGAAGAGGCGTGGTAAAGGAAATTCAATCGCGGGCAGAGATCAGACGGGTCGGACCTTGTCGACAGGTTAGGCAGGTTTCTGTCCACGCACGGGGCTGCATCTGCGTCCGGCAGGGTTAGATAAGTAGGTAGCTGAGGGCTCGAGAACCCGAGCGAGCTGGCTCGAAAACGCAGCCGGTCCAAGGTGAGGATCTGCCGCGTCCGCTGGCAGAGAGAGTCCGACGGGTTTACAGTAATGGGCGATGTGGTCTGTGAGGTCATATTACTAGATAGGGCTCCCTCGCTCGCCCTTTGGTAGGCACCACGTATACCTATAGGTAAGGTATACGTAGGCACCGAGGTATGTACCTAATGTAGACATCTACAGGTACGTCAGAGGTACCTAGATAGGTAGATAAATTACCTAGGTAGGTATGTACCTACGTACCTTATCTCCCGAGTATAATATATCCGGTACCTAACACCTCTACGGGGGCTGCTCGCCCTTTTCCGGGTTAGGCGGCCAGCCCGTCTAGCCTGATAGCGCTGCGTAGGTATTTTAGGAGCCACCGTCTAACCCAGACCAGTCGAGGAGACTGCACAGGTATATTATAGGAGGTACTGCCTCCCTATGCACGATACCGGGTACCTGAGGGCGGCAGGGCCAGTGGATGCCAGCGCCGGACCTCCCACCACGAACGGATGTGTTGTACCTAGGCAAATACCTAGTAGGTACCTACCTACCTAACCTAAGGCCGGCTGCGAGGCCCCTGGATCTGATGGACGCCACGCCCAGGTTCCAGGGCCAGGTGTACGATATGCATTAGGTACCTGCCTTACCCACCTAGGTACCTACGTAGGCACATGCAAATGCATTGGTAAGGTGCAAACCTGAGCAGCGCCGCTTTTGGCCGGAGCACAACCAGAGCCGAGCCTGAATTCAGCATAGCGAAGAGTGGCCCCGGTCTTGCATAAATATTAGGTATGCGTTTATGCTCCGTAAAACGGCTCCCAACCTAGGTATGTGAGCGTATTCCAGTGGGTGTCCGTAACGAACGGCTCTATTTCCAGTCTCGGACTGACGACGAATTGAAAGCCAGACGTCCCGTCGCCCAAGGCGCACCCACTACTACTTTGCATATTATCATTAGTACGGTACACATGGGCAAGTGACATAATAGCGTGTCGGGTAGAAGGCAGTAGCACTTATGGAATTACATGGGAACTTACGGAGATAGGGACTTCCTAATTGATAAAGAATCACAATATCTATAAAAGAAGTAGTAGCTTCCTAGGTCGACAGGATAACTTTTAGAATGCAGGCACGAGCTAGTTGAATGTCGTTCGTATATTTACTGGCTTCACTACCGGCTTCACACTTGACCCCTTCTACACCAACTGTGTTCATCAGGCTATCTGCTTTCTTACCTTGAAACCTGGTACTTCGTCTCTCACCGGAAATTCCCTTCTCTGGACTCCGAGTTCTACTACCTTGAAACCTGGTACGAACGAGGTTTCGGAGGTTTCTTAGTCGGCCAAATCCTCTTGTCATCCGACAGTACACACAGCACACCAAGCCAGGCCCGAACACCGAAGTGAAAGAACGCCCAAATATCGATGCCAGGATTGTCTGGAACGGGTTTGAAGACAAAATCGTCCGTATCTTGTGCGATGACTATTTCGCAGCTACTTTCTACAATGGATCCGCGCCCATCGATCAATAGTGAGACACGGGTCTCCGAGCTCACCTACAGTACTAACGATCAGTTTGAGCATACGATCTTAAGCCAAGGAAGCGTCTCCGCGGGAACTTTAACACGTGGAAAAGCAGGTCCATGAGGAATCTCAAGGTAAATATGCCGCTTCGCTTACATGCCTACCTAGGTGAATACCGGTATGCTAATGGTTATTAGGACCACGTGAAAGTAATTATGGAAGATGGGAAGACCGTCATTTCAACGACGCGCTTGCCGGTATTACTGCAAGGACGCACAATCTCCCTCATCGGCTTCGATTGGACCGAGGAATCAGATTCTACCTTGACGAACATCATTGCATCCAGCCGAATTGGCAACTTGTCCGGGCATTGCCAAGCGGAAGTTGCGACTACAACAAACCTCTCCTGGTCGGCGACACCAAGCTTGGATCGAAATGGAGAGTTGATCCTCACCTGATGGTCGACAAGCATCAAGGGAACGCCGGGACAAGACCACAACTCGACCAGCTCCGGTTGACATGTCGTCGGATCCTCCCGAGCCAGCAACTCAACTGATGTAGTGGTGCGGTGGGACTAGCCCTTGCATTAGGGGTTCGGATGAGTATTTGTATGGGTCTCGCACACATATTTGCACCATCCAGACCTCAACCTGTATTCTACACTTTAGATCACCGTATAGGTTGAACACGTTCATTTCTCAATATGCCTTCCCAAAGCACTCGTGCGTTCTTGTTGCTGCGTTCTTGTTGCTCCTAGCTACCATCTACAGCTGTTACAGCTGTTATCCTGCTTGATCGGCACTGGGCCAGCTGTCTGTAGCTGGGCTGCTCTTGTTCCTATCCGCTTCCCCTATAGCGTGCCCACGCTGTTCCTCCTCATTGATGTTAAGCTTTTTCGTACACCAGCGAAGACGCAGCCGCAGACCGTGCTTTCGCTAACCTCGAGTACCACATCACTCCTTGGGGCAACGCATCGGAGGATGTGCCAACAATGATTATAAATATGCGGTTGGTAATGGGTAATAATGAGTTTTGCAACTTCACTACTGGTTTGAAGAAATCTGGGCGCAAGGAAGATTGGCAAGTCCTCGATCAGCCAGACGAGCACAGGCAATATGGGAGGCTCTCTGACAGCGCGGATGAAGTGGAAGATGATGAAGGGGAAGATGATGAAGAGGACGAGGTGACGGGCGAGGCAGGCGGCAGCCAGGAATCCCAGACTTGAGGATTACACCACCAGCTCTTCCCAGGCCATCTTCCCCTTCATCCCACACAAATTTGACACTTACTTTCTACCACCATCAATACCGGCCAAGATTGTTCCCAGTTGAAAGGTGATCCAACATCACGTGGCTTAGATCACCGAAGATGAAGGGATCCAACAGTATTCGACACACCTATCTACCTAACCAGTACCATCGACAACCCCTGTTCCCAGGCGGCGACGCTACTAGGTGGCGTGTGATGGAGTGTGGAGAAACGATGGATTCGTTCTATTCATGGAGAGTTCCCAGCGGGACGGAACCCAATAAGAGCGCGGCCCTGTGCAGACGATATCAAGCGCCCACAATCCCTATCAACCCCGGTTTTGCGAGGAACCCTTTGCTTGGCGGCAGCCTTCCTATGACCTAAAGGCACCTGTATTCTTCAGGACGCATATCTGCACCTCCGTGAATCAATTATCCGGAAGGGCGGCTAAGAGTCTAGAAACTTAGACTGGTTTCCGCCTACCCCCCCCCTAAAACATATTCTGTCTTAGTGCGTTGATGGCGGATATTTCAATTGTGCTAAATCTCCTCTGCATACGATAGACTCCGTCTCGAAAACTGCATCGTCATGCTGCTGGGCGACTTCTCCAATAAAAGATCCAGTTTCTATATATTGGCGTTACTTAATATCTGCTCCGTCCACTTCCAGCCTCTAGCTAGAACCAGCCGACCTTATCCTAAGCGTAGGTCCACCCGAAACGGCCCCTGACCTACAGATAAGGTGTAATTCCACATATCTTCCGTCTTGATCTTTGTATTTTGTCTTGCAGGACCGGCCATGTAAACAAATATACGCCTTCCACTCGGACACAGAACAAAACGGCTTCAGACGCATAGAAGCAGCAAGGCTCGAGTCCCACAAGTAGAAAGGACAGAAGCCTGGGAGTAAAATAGTTTCGGCCTTCTGCCAATTTAGTTCTATTGGTGGGCAGTCCTCCTTGCTTTAGATGGGATGAGCAGTCCTGCTCCTAGGCGTCGCGGTCATTTAACCAAAGATTGCAGAAAAACCCAGAATTCCACAAATGATGACTGCCTTTTCTTGCCTTGGTAGACGTGGAGTTGTGACCTAGTTATCTGGTAAGATTTCGTGTGTAAGATATAGAATAGTGTATTTACGGGGTTTTTTCCCCCTTCCGGCATGAGCAATGGGTCTCGTCGAGCCCATGGCTCTCAACCTCTGAGTCGCTTTCGTAAAGAGCGAGTAAAGCCTCTATTGCTTTCTTTCCTTTCTGACTCTGGAGCTTTGCCGGGATGAGCAAAAGGTCTGCTAGTCGCGGGCGGCAAGGAGGAACGGGGCGAAGTCGTGAAAATGCCGGCGGGTGTCATTATTTCCGTGGCCGGCAAGTCGTAGTCTCTGCGTGTCTCTCGAAATGCAGTCTCCGTACCCACCGTCGGAAAGAATGCACTCCTGTAGGTTTCCCCGTCGCGCGCTGTGTTGGCGTTTCGCTAACGCGTCGGTACAGCCAACCAGCGGTATCACCGGAGATGCGCGCGCGGTTTTCGCTGTGATCGACTTTCACGATGGCAGTTCTAGGTTGACTGTCGCCTTATCGAGTACAGCGGGTTCGAATTTAACACCGTGAGCTTAGCCCCTCAAGTCCGGATAGTAAACATACATATATTTGTCAGGCCCTCTGCCCGAAAGCAGTGCAGAGTAGGGGGATCGGGAAACGCAGCTCTAATGCACAGTTCCCACAGCTCTTTGCTAAAGAATAAAAGAGACGGGGATGGCTTGGACCGTCAAACTCATGGACCGTTTATGTGTAGAAATTACCGTTTTTCAATTCTTGCATAAAATCATTCATAAATAAGATACCTAGCTAGTGGCACGTGACTGTATAGTATCTGATGGCGAGGTGAGCGGAGACCTGATAAAGCGGCCGGGGCGCTAATCCGAATCTGTCGCCCGCCTAAAATTCTGGTAATAAAATTTGTAATCCCCTATGGTATTTACCTAATTCGGTTAGGCACCTCCCCTAAGCGGGCAAGCACCTTAAGCACCTCCCCGCCTCACTAAACTTTTCGCTCTCTCTCGGCTTTTCCCGCCCGGCTGCCGGCATCTCGAGACAACTGCAAAACCCCTCCATAGAGCTCCTCCACAGAGCTCCTCTTATCGGCAGCGCATTCCGGAGCACACGGCCGCACCACCACCACCACCTCAACTCGCGTTCCGTATAACAGACGTCCGTCGTAGTAGGCCGGCCGGCGCACGCACACGACAGAGCCATGGCCGCCGGCGTACTGCGTCTATCGCGACCATGGCTGGCTTCCTCGAGGCTATCGTTCCCCGTCCGCTTCTGCCCTAGCCTCCACTGCAGCGCGAGCAGCATCACGGCGACGCGATGTTATAGCGCCGCGCCGAAGAGGAACCGCGCAAAGCCGCCGTCGCGAATCACCGTATCCGGCCAAAAGGAACGTTTCGTGCAGATAGAGGCCAACATGACCCTGCTATTACCTCGTGAGCGCACCCCCCTTAACCTCCCTCTAGTCAGCCACCTTGGGGGAGCGCCTCTTCCACGTCCGCCGGCGAGGTAGTATACGTGGCTAACCGCATCTCTCGCTTTCCCCCCCCCTTCTTCCCCTGCCAGTTACCCTCGTGGCCCCTCCCATCTGGCGGTATCCGCGTGAGCCAACCAAGTTCTTCCACATGCTGTGGCTGAACCTGAAGGCGCGCTTCCAGACGCTGGCGATGATCGTCTCCGTAAAGGTGGTGTCGCAGCCCAAGCTGCTGCTGAGCCGGCCCCGTTTTCGGTTCGGCCTGTCGGCTGCCGTGCCCGCGGCGAAGGCGCTGCACAGCCGCATGTCCGAGGCCCTCGCCGTCGGCGACAAGGAGACCCTGCGCAGCATCTGCACTCCGGAGCTGTTCCGCACCCTCGCCGCCACCATCGACTCGCGGCCCCCCGGGGTCCGCGCCGAATGGCAGCTCGCGCACTACGACATGGCCTGGCGCTACCCCCGCGTCGCCGACTGGCGCGTCTCGTTCCAACCCCTCCGCGACGGCGGCAACAAGCTCATCAAGCAGGTCGTCGTCAGCATCGCGAGCACCCAGCGCATCACGCGCTACGACGATTCCCGCGGCGGCGTCCGCATCGCCGGCAGCGACCGCATCCGCCCTCGTATGGTCGAGCACCTCGTCCTCCAGGCCACCGTCGACCGGGCCACGTACCAGAGTTCCCCCTGGAAGATCTGGGGCACCCTCCCCGAGATGACTTACGAGAGCTACCGCGCCGAGCTCGAGAACGTGGAGTCCCTCGTAGCCAGCCGGGCGGATGACGCCTAGCGGATATAAAAGCTAACGGCACCCCCCCCGGTTACGCAGGCACGGGGCCAGAGGTAAGGAGGAAGGGAAGAGGAGAGGGGAGAGAGGAAAATTTCAAAGTACCGACCGAGCGAGGAAAGCAATCGGGAAAAGTTAACAATAATGTATTATGCTTGTATGAGAACCGGATAGGACTAGGTGTTTGAGGAACGGCAGCACAGCTTTGGGCTCATTTCAGACATCAACTACCCTCTTGCCTCCCTTGCCCGTGTGCCCGATCGCTATTCCACGACCCCTTCCCCTCGTTCTTAAGGCGGCTTTACGTTACAAATGAACCCCTTATACCGCCGTTGCCCAACGAAAGCCACACCCCTATAATCAAGCCTAGGAACCGGCTATATAAACCGGACCTCCTTTACACATCCACGCGGTCTAGCATGACTCTAATCATATTTTCATCCCCAGCCGGCCGAGCACCGACCCACCAACTACCCAAGATAATGTATACTTCAGCCACTAACTAGGTTTCTTAATCGCGATCCCCGGACAAAGCTACTAACTGTCGCCCCCTTCGTGATATAGGTAGGCGAGACAGCGCCTCGGACGCGCCACGACGAACGACGAAAAGCTCCCCTGCCCCCTGGCCTTTCTTCTTCTTTGCACACTACGTCGCAAGTTCGACAGGAGATGGTCGCAACACAGTTTAGCGCCAGACGGAGAGATATCAAATTGGCACAGACGATGCTAGGGCGAATGGGTACTAGCTGATCGAGATGCCCAACCGTAGAAACCAATCGTCGCCGGCAGTAATGAGAACCTGAGCGCGCGCACGGCTTCGGCAGAAATGGCTCCTCTCGTATTGATACCCAACTTGCCCTCCTCTCTCCCCGCCCGTCCCATCCACATATCCTCTCCTCTTTTTTCCGTACCGTTCACGGCTTAAACCCCCTCACGACGCATGCCACCGACCTCCTACTCCGCTCGCCTAACCGCATTGTCCTCCGAGACCGGAGGGGGGTTTTTTTTCCCTAAAAGAATTTCCCTGTGATCTTCGAGGTTATGGCCTCTTCCTCCGCGTCAGCCGAGATGTCGGATTCCTCCTGGGGCACGTCGATGGGGTAATCGAGAGCGTCAAAACGGGTTCCCCTCGCCTTCGACATGGCGAATTGCACCGTCAACCTCGCCGCTAGGGCGCCGAATCCCCACAGCAGCCCACCAACGGGCGCAGCGATGAAAGCTCCGAAGGCGCCCCAATCGCCGCTATACAGCCCTTGCTGTAGGAGGATGAGCTCCCCGCCCAGCTGGGCGTCACCGTAGTAGATGGTCCCAAAGATGAATACGGTCAGGACCCCGCCCAATCCACCGACCACAACTTCAAAGCCCCGCCACCAGTAGAAGCGCTCGGACAGCCCGAGCACGAGGACCGGAATCGTGGCAGCCGAGAGGAGGTCGGATATCAGGTAGATCTGCAGTATGCTTGGCGCCTCGAGCGCGAGAACGACTACGGGGATGATGACCAACACCACCGCGCCGCGAATCCACCAGATGTTGAGGCGGTTGCGGAAGACGTCGTTCGAGGCGGAGGACACCATGGCAGACTGCAAGCTGTCAAATGCCGCCGTGCTGAGACAGACCGCCATGACTATGACGATACCCACGACCCAGTTAGGCAATTGCTCGAGCAATAGGAAGAAGGCGACCGAGCCGTCCTCCATCGGCGGATCCCCGGGAAAAGCTCCCGACCATACGGCAATCAGACCTGTGCACCCTACCAAGGTCAAGACGATCAGGATGACGATCATGGCGGACGAGATGCCGATCCAGAGGTCCTTGTCTGTTTTGGAAGCGAAGGCGCGCAGCCAATAGTTGGCGAGGAAGAAGTCGTTGGTCAGTATGGCGACGGGCAGGATATAGACGATCTGCCATCCGATAAGACTCGGGTTGAGCAATCCAGAATCGGCGATTAACTCGGGTCGGATCTCCGTTCTTGCGCCGATGGTGATGGTGGCGATGAGGATCAGACAGCAGATCATGGCTCCTTGAATATTGTCGGTAAGGAAGGAGATTTTGAACCCGCCCAGCGCTAGGTGCACGGTACGATGAGCAAATCGAAAAACAGCGGCGGGAGGGATCCGACCTACAGGTGTAGATAGTCGTCACGATGCACTCGACGATGACGACAGGCAGGCCATCCAGCCCCGTCAGCGCGCCGACGACCTGGCCGATCGCAGACAGCTCGGCAACCATGTACAGAAATAGGGTAAGCAGAGTCAAGGCGCCCAGGTAGAGGGCGGCGAGGGCGCCGTATCGCTGCCTCGTCCACTCGGTGAGCACGAACCCTTCAGGACACTTCCTGCGGATGATCGGGGTGAGGGCAGCGAAGATCAGCAGCGGGCAGGCAGAAGAAAGGGCGTAGACGATGACGCCCTGCAGGCCGGCAAGGGTAGCCAACTGGGGGTACGAGAAGAGGATTCCCGAGCCCATCGCTGAGAGAGTTACCCGAAAAGGGGGGTAGGGGTTAGTATAGGCGGACATATAAGAAAAGGGGGGGGGATCGGAGCGGCAGCACGTTTCCCACGCAAGCATTAACTTGATCGAGTAATTACGGTACAATCTCAGCTTCATTTCCACAGAACCGCGAGGGATCTCCTCGCAGGCACCCGGGGGGAGGGGTAGGCCCGCGAGGTTGGATCCGGCCGCGGCTGCTTCAACTCAGCGCCCGTAGTGAGCCGCAATCTACCCACCCCGGCAACAGCCCTAGTAGGTAAGGACTGCGCCGGGGAAGGAGACGTGTTGTGTATGAAACCTACTTGTCAGTTGTACAACGCCCGCGCTCACGTCTCATGACGCCAACAACTTGCCGCCGGGTTGACTGGGCATACGTGCCCGCGCATGCCGCTGCCCGAGAAGGATACCGGGTGCAGAATGGTAAAGAGGTGCTACCGCTCTTGATCCCCGAGCGAAACAGGGGGACGGGGGGTCGGCCTAAGCACCGAGGCGACTCTCCTACTCACCAGCGGCGATGAAATTCAGGGCCAGGGGGAGGGCTGTCGGGGATGTGTGTATAGTCAGCATCTGCCGCTGCGGAAGAAAGGGGGGAGGGGGGGGGGGGGGGGGGGGGGAGAAGGACGAGGGCGGCACAACGATTAGCGACAAGCCACCGACGACGCGCCCGGCCCCCCCCCCCCCCTCTCTCGTCTGGCAAGTTCTAACCCGTCTGAGACCTGTTCCCGGCGAGGAACTCAGCCTTGGGCTGGTTCCGCATCTTCCAAGCGAGGCCCGTTCCCAGCAACCTGCCGACGCACACACAGTCAGCGCAACGTGTACGCTACACAAAAAAAAAAAAATTTCCCGGATACGGCGTGTATCCCCAAGCAGGTGAGCAACGGACAGGAAGGCGCCATAGGTAACGTATATGACGGCATTCGATGCCTCGAACGACGGCTTGCCCATCGCGGTCGCGAAAAAAAAGGGGGGGGGGGGGCCTTGCGGCGGCGGCGGATAGGCAAAGTAAGTAAAACGAGTCTCCCAAAGATGCGACGCTCGCTGTGCGCAGAGCAGACGGGGGGGTGAACTGTGCTGGTCCGAAAGAGAGAGAGAGGGAGTAAGCTACCCAAAAAGATAGGTACACCTGTTCTCGGAAAAACCGGCTAAGGTAGGTTGCAGGAGAGGCAGCAGAAGAAGGAGGAGAAGGGGGGGAATAGAATCACGAGAGGCGAGGAGAAAAAAAAATCTCTCGCTCGAGGTAAAATACATGGTAGTCCCGTGTCCGGCCTAGGGCGTCCTCAGCTAGCTTCCCGATCGAGTTTACTGCCCTGCGCAGCGACACGACAAGGGGAGCGGAGGTGGGGGGCAGGCAGAGGCACGACGCGCACAAGAGAGAGAGAGAGGCCGGGACGGACGGCGGGTTGCCCGAAGGTACCTGCGAAGTCGAGATAAAGTTACAGCTACTGCACCAGCCCCGAACGTACCTACGACGTACCTGCCCACGCATAGCCGCACGGGCCACTAGTTCAAAACTCGCTCACGCGTTCCGCCAACGACCAAGGCAAGGCGGCCTGCAGCACATGGCCCCCCCTCCTTGCTCCTGACGGCGGCAGCGTTTCCGTGCCGCTGCTCCGTCTGCGCGCGCGCAAAAATAGGGCACACGCGCACGCATTACGTGCGTGCTCGCACCATGCATCGCCGTACGCCTGCAGGACCCAGCAGCCTCTAGACCGGGCGCGCCAGTCGTGCGCGAACATACGATGCGATGCGATGCGATGCGATGCGATACGGCAACGGGACACACACACACACACACACACACGCCCCAATACGAGGCCTGGCAGCGAGCAGGTCTACGCCAGAAGACGGAAGAAGCAGAGCAGCAACAAACCAAAAAATCGTATGAATTCGTGATTGGATCCTTCCGACAGCAGACGGACAGACGGCATGGTCCGGTCGGTGTTTTTTTTGTCCTTCCAGCTCCAACTCCGGGCGAGCCCGCCCCCCGTTTCAAAAGCGTGACCAGCAGTACATAATGTATCTCTCTCTCTCTCTCTCTCCAGAATACAAGAAGAAAAAAGGCCCGCAGCTCGGTTAGCTTTCCGTCCCGCGCTTCGTACATCATCTTCCGACGCCCTTCTCGCGCGTGCATTAAGAACAAAAAAAAAAGGCAGACGCAGCAGCAGCAAACAAACACCAGGTTGCCGCAGAAGAAGAAGAAAAAGACCCGGCGGCTGGCGCAACTCCGTGGCATAACCGCACCGGCTCCGAGTGTAAGTCCGCGATTCTACTAAACCATTGGTTGTACAGAGGACGGCAGGATGAGAAGAAGAAGAAGAAGAAGAAGAAGAACAAGGTATATCAAATAAACAAATAAACACAAATCGTCCGTCGTGGTGGTTGTTGTGGTGGGAAGTTGTACATGCTATAAAACAGTAGCGGCGTACGCGTGACCCGGGCCCGCGCCTAAGCTATATCGCCCGAGCTTATTGCGTGCTGGCCGTGAGGTTGCGCAGCGCGGTCGGCCCCTGAAAGCCGATGTCGGGGGGCGGGACGGCGTGCAGCTCCATGTCCTGGCCGTCGCCGGGCGCGCGGTGGCCCTTGCGCCGGCTGCGGCGCTCCCCGAGCCGCTGGTCCCCCTCCTCGAAGCGGTGCCGGAAGCGGTAGTACGTCGGCGGCCGCGGCCGGCACAGCACCACGAGCCAGTTCTTCAGCATGCTGCCCTGCGTGAAGGCCCGGTACCGGTCCTTCTTGAGGAACTTGTGCGAGTTGAGGAACTCCCGCGTCGTCTCGCCCCGCGCCATCAGGAAGAGGTGGTACCCCATCAGCGCCGCCGGGTACAGCGCGCCCAGCACCCCGTAGATCGCCATCGCGAACGGGACGCGGAAGTGGTCCGCCGCCGCCCCAAACGAGACGCCCTCGAGGCGGGAGAACACCGCCACCTGGGCCAGCGACGCGCCGACCAGGAAGAGGGAGAGGAGCGTGACCGACGTCAGAAAGGTGAAGAAGTATCGGTAGTTGCGCCTCCCGACGCAGTTGTTGATCCACACGCAGTGGTGATCCTGGGTCTCGACGCAGTTGTCGCACAGCCGACAGTGGTGGGTTCGGGGCGGCCGCCAGATGTTGCAAGTCCTACAATACTTAGTTGGCACTTCCATCGCCGCCGTCGCCGACTCGGCCGATTTGATCAGGGTCCAGTCGTTGGTCGGCGGGGCCAACCGCAACGGGTCCTCGTTCTCATCCACCGGGGGGAAGTGGTGAAGATTGCGCGGGAGGATCTACAAGTTCCGAGTCAGCATTTTTCCCCATCTGCACATCGTCGCGCGGTGAAAGTTTTTCTACTCACCCCAGGATCCGTGCCCGACGCGTGAAGGAAAGAAGAGGTACATATGTAAAACAGGTAAGCGAACAATATAGGGACCGCGGGCGAAACGTGATGCCATAAGTAGGGCGCAGAGAACGCGAAGAAGAGAATGGCTGGTATGACGAATAAGCATCCGGTCGCGATGTTGATGGGTCGATGCCGGGTGTTTTGAAGGCGGCCGCCTATGCAGAACACGGTGTTGCCCTCGAAATACTCGTGGTTATGACCGAGGCCTGTCGTCTTCTCCCTAGCCACTTTGGCCTGGGCAACGGGGGTGTTGGTGGCCGAAGGGGTAAGCTGGGGCGAGGAGCCGCCGGAGGAAAGCTTCTCTGCGCCGTGCGTGTTGCGATTCGTGGGGGTGCCTGTGGATTCGCGCATGCCGGAGAAGAAAAGGTTAGATCGAAAGGACCTTGACGACTTGATGGGGCTTGGTAGATTCCCACCGGACTTGTGAGTCTTGTCAACATCCAGGTTCAGGCCAAGCTCCTCGGCCTTCTTTCGCTGCAGCGGGCGCACGCTGTCGCTGACGCTATCAGCTAGATGGTGGCCGCGGGTCGGGCTCGTGGTAGACGTGATACGATCGTACGGCTCCGTCACCTCGGTACCCCGAGAGGGGGGCGGTGGCATGTCGCCGTCATCGGTTATACGATGGGCGAAATGGGCGACGGGTCTAGAGGTGCTGGCGCCCTGGGGTAGAATGTGAGACTGGTCGTCATCCGGGATGTCTCCGATGCTCGATCGATTTTCGATGGTAGCAGCGCCAGAGCGCGACGCGCCTCGCTGGGCCTGTAACTTCTGGGAGCTCATAGGGTGGAAGAAGGCATGCGAAGCCAGAGGAACATGGCTCCGGCTCGTGGAACTGACCGGGCGTCCGCTTCCAATACTACCGCTTAGACTCCCTCTCTGCAGGGCCTTCCTCATAGACGTCGTCTGCGACCAGCCGCCGCGGGAGGAAGACATGCCGGTCCTCGCAGTCCCAGGCCGGGAATCGGTCGCGCGAAGACTCCGCCGCTGGCTCGCCGCGGTCTTGGTATTTTCTTGCAGGGCGCCGTCACCGTCTTCGGACGCAATGTCGGTCATTCGAGACGAGATTATACTCGGAGGGCCCGCGGCGAATTTGGGGCTGGGGAAGCTGTCGGTGTCATCGCCGGGTGAGGTCGGCCTTGCCCGATTTGATGCCATTTTCGAGGATACGGAGATTCCATGCGACCGCGTCGGTAGGAGATGTTAACCTGGCAAGAACCTGAATTCGGATCACGTCGGCATACGCGAAGGGCCAGAATGTACGTATAATGGCAATTGCGGTGGCATGCACTATGAGAATAACGGATACTTGTGTGTGTGTGTGTGTGTGTGTGTATCGGTCGACCTGGCGAGGGGAGGAGGGACAGGGAGAGGAAAGGAAGGCGGGTGGTTGATCGTTGGTTTGTTCGTCCGTCGGCGGTAGGAAAGATTAGGAAATTGGAGAGAATGTCGATTTTTTTTGTCCTTGTTTTTTCTTTTTTTTTTCTTCTTCTTCTTCTTAGGCTGTCGACCACATCCGCACAGCAGGTATCATAAAAGTCGATAGGGTAGAGACCGTCGGACTGGAGGTGAGGAGAAGGGAAAATCAAATGAGGGACAGTCGAACGGCGTCGAACTGGAGGTTGTGCGGGTGAGGTTCGCGGTCGTCGCGAAATGAGACGATTCACCAGGACCAGGCTAGGTCGAGAAGATCAATCTGGCAAGGGACAGGGCCTGCTGGGGAAATAACAACGAGGTTCAGATGGTAGATGAAAAGGGGTCCGCGCTCAGGGTTTAAGCACAGACGGATAGACGGAGAGAGGCGGAGCAGGTACCTATCCGCCTAGAGTACGAGGCAGGGTACCTTACCTGCCCGCCTTCGCCGATGCATAGTAATAACACGCATAACAATCACATCAGTGCTCTGAGTAGTGCTGCGGGTAATCACGAATCATCCCGTAAGGGGACGGCATATGAATACGGTATACAGGTATGCGGTACCCGAGAACCTCCTTAGGTACCTCTCCTTACCTTGCCTTAGGTGAGGTACCTGGCCTACCTACCTGTGACCTGTCGTCGCAGCGGCGTCATCTTACAGGTAATTATGGCATGTTGGCGCATGGACCTACCTATAACTACTCGCAATGCGATTCAGATACGGCATGTACCTACCTGACGATCAGGTACCTACCTACGGCGGATATCCCAGGTACCTCCGCTTCGTGGCACGGACACCTCCGACGCCACGCAAAATCTTATTGCTGGCCTATGAATACCTAGCAGGTAGGTAGCAAAAGGCAACTGACTCATAGGTACCAGGAGCCGTACCAGGGTAAGTACTGCCCACTAGCACCGCCTTACCAGCATAGACCTCCGACGTTGCTCCGTGCGGCGTAGTGGGAAATATTGTACGCCTTACATCTAAGGCATTGAGAAAACTCCCACTCCGGCTCTCACTCGACCCAACTGGCCAATAGCGGATGCCCTCTCTCGCAACGGGTTATCGTACCACCTCGACGCTTCCTCCCACTAATCTTCCCCCCCCCCCCTCCAGACGCCCGAACCGCCGCCAGAGCGCAACGAGCACCAAGGACTTGGAATAGAAACCACAACCGCAAACACCGTCCGCCATGGCCTCCCTGATCGCCCGCCGGGCCTTCTCCCAGAGGGCCTTCTCCACCACCGTCCGGCGCCTGGCCGCCGACGCCGACGCCGCGCTCAAGAACGAGACGAAGCGCAATCCCGAGCTGATGGTGCGTAGCGCCCCGACGCCGGCGACGGCTCCGCTCCCCCGAGGCACGCTGCTAACCCGTTTCCCCCTGCCTGCTCCCGCGGCTGTCTAGATCCTCGGCGGCGTCATGGTCCTAGCCCTGGGCGGCGCCGGTCTCTACTTCGGTACGGGTTCTCTTCTTCTTCGTCGTCGTTCTTCGCCTTCCCCTCCCCCCCTTCCCTCCCCCCTCCGCTCTCGCCTTGCGCCGCGAACCTCCCCCCCTAGCTAACCATGCCGCCGCGTCTAGGTCGCTCGCCCACCGGGTCGACGTCCGAGGAACCCGTCGGCCTCGCCAAGTCCGGCATGCCGTGGGAGACGGGCGCCACCGAGGGCAAGTACCGCTACCACCCCGGCGGCGACCCGCAAGCCGCTCCCAAGGACGCCCCCAGCGCCGTCAACGTCGTCATCGTCCCCAACGTCAACCTGCCCAAGGTAACGCACCCCCGAAATCCGTCCCGCGTCCTAGGCGAAGAGTCCCGCGACCTGCGCTAACACCCGTGTGCAGCACCTGCACGAGAAATACAACAAATGGGGCAAGGATGGCTACTGAAGGGTTGTCGCTTAGAGCCTGGCCGCTGTAGAGGACGCGACGAATTTGTTGTTGTACATAGCTGAAATCAAGCATCGAGGCGGCATTACGGAAATCGTTGGGGTCGAAAAAAAAAAACTGTCTGCTCATGACAGTCTCTAGAGGGGTTTACTCGATTACTTGTCGATCTATCTAATTGCGTGGCGACGCGTGCACAATAACCGGCCGGCTCATTTGGACAGGACGTCATTCGTTAGTTACGGGAACTAAGGTAACCATATCGGCAATCTTGAGAGATTATCGCCGGTTCTCCGAACATGTGATGAACCGCTGGAAGAACCGCCGTCACTGTATCCCTCCCATACCCCATCCTATCTCGTATATACCTGTATTTTACGACCCCCAGCGCGGTGATACCGACAGCCTAGATCCACGTGTACGGAAATGGTAGAGTTCTTCTCTGCAGGGCAAGCAGTACCTACCGCGGCTTCATGTTGTTAACATGTCTACTTCCTCTTTCGTGAAGCCAAACAGATACAGCAAGTCGACCAAGCTGTCGCCGTTGAGTCGCGCACCAGCTTCCAACTGCACCCTCGGCTTAGCGTTCCAAGCTACCCCCAACCCTGCCGCGTCGAGCATTAAGAGGTCGTTAGCACCGTCGCCGACCGCGACGACCTGGTCTAGGGAAATGCCTTCCTGCTTAGCGATCTGCAGCAGGAGCTCCTTCTTCCGCTCCTTGCCCACGATAGTCCCCTCTACCTCGCCGGTCAGGCGCCCCGAGTCGTCGATGACGACCTCGTTCGCGTGGGCATGGTCGATTCCCAGCTCGACAGCCAGCCACCCCGTCAGGGGCCGGAAGCCGCCAGACAGCACCGCCGTCGTGACGCCCAACCTCTTGAGAGCCTTGAGCAGCTGGGGCACTCCCGTCGTGACCTCCAGGGCCGGCCGCAGCTGCTCGAATATCGTGGCTGGAAGTCCCCTCAGCAGCGCGACCCGTTCCCGAAACGCGGCGTCGAACTCTAGCTCTCCCAGCATGGCGCGATGGGTTATCTGGGCGACCTTGGCAGCCAAATCTGGCGGGTCCGCGATGGCCGCCGCGAGCAAGTCAATCACCTCCTGCGTAATCAAGGTGCTATCCATGTCGAAGACCACCAGGCGCGGATAACGCCGCCAGAGGGTATCCCGCTGCAGCGCGACGTCGACGTTCCACTCGCGCTCGAAGCGATAGATCAGCTCGTGCTTCCGAAGGTCTGCCAGCGAGAGGTAGTCGGGGGACGGAGCCGGGGATAAGGTCAGCTCGACCACCAGAGGGTGGTCCGGGTCGTCGAGGCAACGGTGCGACGAGGTGGCTTCGGTGACGCCTTGGGGCAAGGGAAACGAGGACATGAGATGGAGGAAGGACGTGATGCATAGCGGAGAGATGTACGAGCCGTACAGGCGATCCAGAGATTCGGGTTCTGCCGTAGCCGGTGGCTCCAAGGGAAAGGACTCGATGTCGGTGGTGGGGGCTAAGTTCGCGGGAATATCGGAGTCGGAGGAGACCAGCCTCGGGGAGGCACTGGCGCGGGAGGCGAGCGCCGAGGCGGATTTGTAGACGAGGGTGGCCACGAGCCGGTCGGACCTGGTGCCCCGCGGCGGAGCGCAATTCGGATGGGTGAAGTCGTGGCTGACGCCTTCGAGGATCCTCGGCGGCTCGTCCTTGGAGGGCACGCCGTTGAAAGGGCTGAAGGGCTGCGCAGGGGATAGCTTGGCGCCTTGTAGATCTTCGACGACGGTATCGATGCCGAAATGGTTGTCCGGGTGTTTCGGAGGCCGATACTGCTGGTGCTCTTTGAGATAGGAGCTGGTCCTCATCGAGGACAACTGCGGTCGACCCGAGACATTCTTGGTGGGGCTGTCCTCGCCGGCCATGCTGGGAGAAGGAAGAATTGATGGGGAATAGAAGTTGTACGGGGAACAATTGCTCGGGGGAAGCGCAATCGGGCGCGAGGCTGTCTGATTTTTTCTTCTGTCTCGGCGTGTACGAGGATACTTGGATGACAGGTGGACAGAAGTGACACCTTCGGAGGTCGGATCTCACACCAGCCCTCTCTGGAGAGAAAAGCAGTACAGGCCTCCTCCATGGTGTACTCTCTAAGCTGTTAGTACCCAAGGGGGAGTAAAGGTTTTACAGAAGATATGTGACGTGTAACATTAAGAACACACCAATTGATAAGGAACTAGGTAATTAATAGATTAATTCAATGGTGGGGGGGTTTTTTTTTTCTTGTACGCCGAGCCTTTCGTATACCTACCTACCTGCCTTCTCGTTCTAATGTCAACATATAATAAATTTGTCATATAATAAAGACGTTGGATAAATTTGCCGCTGTTCGTTTGTTATTACTTAATTTCGCCTTACTAGTCGGCCGTTGCCGACATGAGAGGGGTTGGGCTGATGTGGGATATTCACTAGAGGCAACGCAGCCCACAGCACGCTCCACTCTGTCATTTGAGCTCAATATCTCGTGAATGCCCGGACGGTCCAACATGCCAACCTACCTCCCGTCTTATGATGCGTCCTGTTTCTCCGGTTTCCGATCGCTTGTCGCCGTGGGAGGTCAAATTATCCGGCTAAGACGCCGAGTCCGAGAGCAGTAACACCGACGCTGCGAGACGGAGCAGCAGTCGGGCTACGTAAAGCCCGGTGACCGAATATATCGAATCCTGCCGCGACCTGTTTTCGCCAAGTTCGCTAAGAAGAAAGTGTTAAATCATGAAGAGGAACAGCGTGGACTCGCTGTTGGAAGCGCCGTACACTGAAACACCACAGCTGCCAACAGCTGGCCCGGGGTGCCGATCGACAGGAACAACAGCTACAACGGCAGTGCGATAGGTAACTGTATCTAGCCGTGGGCCAGTTGTGGATTGCAGCTGGGTGAAGTAGGAAACAATAAGGATATGAAGGCGAGATCAACGATCTGGCGTAAAACGGGTGTGTAACTGTCTGGCTGTGTACCTACGTGTTTTGTGTGATGTAAGAAGGAAGGTGGAAATATGTGCGCACGATCCATATAAATATAGGTATGCCTACCTTAATAGTCACACCTGATAGACTTTGTTGTCCAAATCCGTTTCTGGCGTGGAGCTTGAGCTGGCGCTGCTTTAACCTGAGTAAAAGGTGATCTAGGGGTGAGCCAGGGTGATCAAGGCCTAAGCTGACTGCCTATGATCGACTGACTTAAAAACTGTGAAGGTGGAATTTAGTAATAGTGTATACAGAACGTGTACGTAGTAGGTTCTATAAAAGCTACTATTTATAATGCATTGAAGGCTGACCCAAGGAGCTGCGGCTGCCTGGGTCCTGAACCATGGCGAAGGTCGCATGAAGTTGAAGAAGGACAATGTAAATTTAAAGTCGTATTAGTAGTAGGGTGATAGGTTCGCAAGTAGCCCGTCGGAGGGACGGGGAGGTTAAGGTGATTTAAGGTGATTTAAGGTGATGCTCACTGAGCAAGGGTGATCAAAGCCCGAGCAAGAGCGGCGCTGCTGGCTAACTAGCCTGGGCCACCCCTGGTCCAGTTTTCGTGGTAGACTGCCTAGGTAGGTATCGTAAACCCTACAGGGGCTCGTCCTACCACTATAATAAGAAAGACTTGGAATTCTCCCAACGTGTTAGCTAGAAGACCTGGTGAGGTTGGCCATTAAGCGCCTTGGTGTCAAGAAGGCGAGAACAGGACACCGCTTAGGTAGGTATATCATCCAGTATAATGCCCTCCGTACGCGTACCTCGTAGCATCTTCGTCCTGGTCTTGATCCAATGAATAGGTATATACAAAGGCGTGATTGAGTAGCCTACCTGGTACTCGACCCGGGAACGAAGAGACAGGGCTGCCATCCCAGTATTCCGATAGGCCATCGACAATTGCGGGGAAGGACACCAAAACCTCAGAAAAATCTCACTTTCAAGGTAGTGCTAATCGTCACTCTGCTAAGCATGCCGAGTAGCTAGCTCTCTTTCTTAGAAGAGCAGTTCGAGGAGACCTTGGATACTCGTGTTGGGTGGCAAAGTGACGCGGCTGTCGGCCCCGATATACCGTGGAAGCGGCTCTTTGGCCATTGCAACATCACGACCCCGTCCCGAGACCCGGGCTCGCTAGACTACCGACGTAACGTGGTTTATTCGCCTTTACTACCTGTTTCGCGACGCGCCGAGAACCGCCTACGTCTTCGCGATCCGTTTTGGGTAGCACGACACGGGCTCCGGTGTCACGGCTGGGTGATCGACGTGTAAGTAGGTAGGTAGGCAGTTGAGAGGCCAGCTATGGGGGGACGTTAGGAGCGGGCACAAATCAGCGAGACCAGTGCAATCCAGTTGCTGATATCCTCTTGCTTTTCAGCGGTGGCGTCCCGAGCCTTGCATTTTGAGCAAAGCATTGCGATCAATGGGATGATTCACTTCATCACGTAAGTACCGCCCCGAGCACCAGAGATGAATTCGTACATGGTCGCCACCAGACCCCTAGGCGATGACCTCAACACCAACAAGTGATCGACCGGTCACCTATAGGCAGTACGTAAGGGATACCTACGGAGTGGCGTTGTCGTCGCGGGTGGCCATTATGCACAGATGTAGGTGCGTAGGTAGGTACCTACATTACCCGGCGCGGATCTGATGTCAGCTATGCGAGGACATATATACCTCACCCACCTGCAGTGATACGTATGCGTATGTGTACCGCAAGCTGTCGGGACGGGCAACGCGCAACAAAAAGGCGACGGGGGCCACCCGGGCCACCCGGCATCCGGCCAATCAGTGCGCCGACAGCGCGGTTGCGACTACACTAGCGCCGATGTCGTGATCGGAGTCTGAAATGTCCCAAGATCCAAGGCACGCCGCCGTGCCCACGGTCTACCGTCCTTGGGGCCACAGTCCATGGGGCAGTCCACGGGGCCGCCTGTAATATCCCACCTGGGCACATCGCGCAATCGTTCCTAACCCCATTCTCCCGCCTCTCCCCCGTCCCCTCTGCCCGGCTTGCTTGTGCTAAAAGGCTGCCGAGAACCGGATTAGTCATGGCGTGAAGCCATCGAGTCTCGCCTCGAGACGCTGGCACCTCCTGTAGCCAGCTGTAGCCAGGCATGGGGAGCGAGATATAGACAGTTGGCGTTGCTACTTGGTGCGGCGGCAGCAATGAGCAGCGCCTAACCCACTGCCAAGCTGGTTTCCCCGAAGCACCGACTGGGGCAGCACTTATTGAGCGACACGCTCTCTTCCCCCTTCTCCTCTTGCTGCCACTAATCAGCAGACAACCATACCCATACCCATCCCCACACTCATCCTATTTCGGCTGGCTTTTCTCTCTCTCCTTCTCCTTCTCCCTCTCCCTCTCTCTCTGGCCTTGTTTTTTTTTTGGCCCTCTTCCCCTCGTCTTCGTCATCCCCAGGTCCTTCCACGATCAAGCCTCGCCCTCTTCTGACCATTAGTCTCTTGGCTGGGAAATATCGTCACGATGGATGCCCCGTTGTACACGTCCTCGAATTCGTCGGGCACTTCCTCGCCCCGTCTCCGGTCCAAACACTCGCCTCCCGCACCGGACGCCGAATCGGGATATGTCTCAGCCACATCGTCAACGGCCGGGTCTTCGGGAGGGCTGCCTCGAGTGACCCTCACGCCGCCGCACGTCGCACACCTCAACCGGGAGTTGGAAAAGATGACGGCGATGGACCGGCTTCGCTTCGTCAAGATCTGCTTCCCCAACCTGTACCAATCCACCGCCTTCGGCCTCACCGGCCTAGTGTCCACAGATATGCTCTCCAAGATCGAGGAGGAGTCCCCAAGTTCTTCTCCCGTCCACCTCATTTTCCTCGACACGCTGTACCACTTTGAGGAAACCCACGCTCTCGTCGAGCGAGTCAAGGAGCGGTACCCGAACATCCGCATCCACACCTACAAGCCGCATGGCGCCAACACGGTTGCCGAGTTCGAGGCGAAGTACGGCGAGAAACTGTACGAAACGTCGCCGGATGAGTACGACTGGACCGCCAAGGTTGAGCCGCTGCAGAGGGCTTACGTGGAGCTGAACGTAGCCGCCGTCTTCACCGGCCGGAGGCGCTCCCAAGGAGGCGAACGGGACAAGATCGGCGTTCTCGAAGTGGACGAGGAGAGCGGAGTCGTCAAGATCAACCCCTTAGTCGACTGGTCCTTCGGCCAGGTACAAGCGTATATCACGGAGAACCGGGTTCCGTATAACGAGCTGCTGGACAGGGGATACAAGTCCGTCGGCGACTGGCACTCGACGTCACCGGTCGCGGCGGGAGAGGACGAGCGAGCAGGTCGATGGAAGGGCCAGGCCAAGACGGAGTGTGGTATCCACAGCAAGAAGTCGCGCTACGCGCAGTACCTCGAAGAAATGGGGCGGAAAGCAGAGGAAGAGAGGCTCACGGCGGCATTAGAGAAGATAGAGAAGGAGCAGGAGGCCGCATGATGATTTCGGGGGGACCGACGACGAGACCCCGTTACCAGGCCCGGCACACGAGGGGCGCCTGAGTAGGGCTCCCGGGAAAATTAAGGATGGAAAGGCATATCAACGGCGTTGGCGTTCGGGCGCATAATAGAGGCACCCCGAGGATTTGGCTCGAAGGGGTCTCTGATGCCCACCACATGGTGGGGATTAGGCTAGGTTGACGGATAGAAGGACGGATCCGCTTACCTACTTTATACCTTACCTACCTAGCATTCAGGTTTTTTTTATACCACCGCACTCTCTGACCTTTGCGCATGCTCTCATAACGGAACGAGACCCGGTCGACCGTCGCGATAGCGTGACACAGCAAATAGGCAGCTCTGCGCGCGCGCGAAGTTGAGGTTCTAGAGATGGGAGCGGACGGAAGGACAACGGCGGGGAGAGGAGGAGGAAGTCGAAGTCAATTGGAACGTACGTTCACGTAGAGTTAGCAAGTTTGGACGATCCCCGCTTACCTAATGGGCTCGTATTTTAGTCTCCTATCCCCGCGGGCTAGAGACGGCTGCGAATTGGCGCGTTCGACCCGGAAAAACTAGACGGAGGGTTTATACGATAACATACGTACCGACCTACCTACCTCTGGCAGTGCGGGGGGAGCGCTCGCGCCACGGGAACGAACACGGGAGCTGGTCGCCGCGAAGGGGGAGAAGAGCCGGGCTACGGCGACGCTGGGGGGTATTTTACGTCAGGGGAGGCGTGCGCGCAGCTATCTGCGCTCGGAGCAGAACGGCGCCGGCCAATGGAGCAGCGAGGGCGGCAAATGCGTCGCGGCGGAGTGCGTCGCGCTCGGCTCGGAACTAAAGTGTTTAACGCTATACTGCCTCTGCTATCCTGCGTGCCCACAGTTGGGGGCAGGGAGGAGGAGGAGGGGGACGGTGACGGCGATGGTGGTACTGATGAATTGGATCCCGTCCCTAACCAAGGTAACATACGCGCATATCTATACACACATACATGTATACCCCCATCTAGACGTAGCTGCCCTGCCGCCTACCCCCCCCCCCCCCCCCCCCCCCCGCCAAAAAAAGAACCAGCACCCCCAAACTGCCGCGCGCCACCGGTGTTGGCGCACCGAGAGGCGGGGCGAGGTCGTAGGCTAGGGTCGTTAATATACATTCTACATCCGTGAAGGAACGCCGTCAACCACCCCTCCTCGTCGTCTCCTCTCGTCTCTTCTCTTCCTCCCCCCCCGTCACAAGGGAGCCCAAATAAATGCCGAACCAACAAAACGTCGGTCGCCCGCGCCTCTTAGCCGTGAAGTGTCTACTGCTGCCCTTCCAAGGGTGCGCCGATCGATATATCTAGGGCTTCGCTCGCGTTCGCGTTCACGTTCGCATCCGCGCTCTCGCCCTCCCCCGTCACCTCTCCCGCGCCCGCGCCCGCGCCCGCGCCCGTACTCTCCAGAGCCGGCGGCTCAGGCTCCGTCGCTAGCTCTGGTTCCAGCGCCAGCGCCAGCTCCAGCTCCGGTCCCGGCCCCGGCCCCGGTTCGTCCTGCTCGCCCTGTCGGTCCAGCGCCGCCTCGAGCCCGCTGAATAGGTCTGGACTCCCGGGATCGTTCCCCTCTACCCTTCCGGGCGTCGCTGCGCCGGCTGGCTCGGGGATCGGTATGGGATCGGCCGCCGTCGCCGTAACCATCGCTGTGGCCTCGTCCGGGACTTCGCCCGACGCTTGTTGCTGGTGGTGCGGCGGTGGCGGGTTTAGGTTCGTGGCCGCCGCATCCGTAGCCGTCGCCCCGGATACGCCCTCCTCTGCGCTTTCCCGGTGGCCCAGATCTTGACCCAGATCGTTCACCAGGTCCTGACCCAAGTCCGGACCCAGGTCCTCGCCCAGATCTTGACCTATGTCTTGGTCTTGGCTCCGGTACTCTTCTGTTGCCGCTTGCTGCTCGAAGTTCAGCGTTTCCGACACGACTCCGGGCGATATGTCAAAGGTAAGGTCCGCGGGGATATCCTCGATATGCGTCGTCGTCGACGTTGCTGTCGGATCCGCAGTTGGCAATGCGTCGATAAAAGGGACAGCTGTCTGCTGATGCGATTCACTATCAATCTCCACGGAGATTAGTGGCTGGCGGTTAGAATCGACTGCCAGCCCATCTTCCACTATCTCGTCAGGGGGCAACCCGCCGGAGATATCCCACATTTCCACATCCTCGGCAGGCTTGGCTGGACTCGGGGCCGTTGGCAGAGAAAACACATCGTCGGGTCCGGATACCACCGGAACTGGATCGGGGAGTGTCTCCGGTAGTGTCTCGACCGTGGTAGCACCCTCCAAAGGTTCTAGCTCCCTCGATATATCTTTTGGCGCGGAATCGGTTGGCGAATTAGCGGTTACGACGTTCTTAAGCGGACTTCCTTCAAAATGTGCGTGGGATTGGGTGAGGGGTAGGTCGAGAGTGCTGGGTCCGAGCACGAGCCCATCTCCAGTTGAGACGTCGGCGGCGGTTTCTTCCGTGACGGACAGCCCAGGTTGGTCAGCAGCAGAAGCAGTAGGTGTAGCTTCTACCGCGTTGTCGCCGCCCACTTCGCTCTCGGCCCGGAAGCCCGAGCCGCTCTCGCCGTCCACATCACTATCTTCGCCGTCTTCACCGTCGTCGCCGTCATCATCCCCATCATCCACGTCGTCGTCGTCAGCCATCTCGACATCCTGACTCTTAATTTCTGGCTGGTCGCCTGATGGTTTGACGCCCTAAGAACGGTCAGCGCCCCTGGAAGAGAGAGTACTGAGACTCGAGACAACCTACGTTCTGCTCCATGCTGCTTGGCTTGGCGCCTTCTGGGGCGGCGCCAGCGCCGGAACTCGGTGCGCCATGTCGCGTAGTAGCCGGGAGTGGTAGCTTCTTCTTCCGTCCCCGGCCGGGGCCTTTAGGTTTCCTCTTAGGTGGCGGGGGCCGCCTCCGCGCGGAGGGGGATGCCTCTACGGGCATGGCGGGCTCGGGTGCTGGCACGACCGTGGTCGATATGATCTCGCCCTCTACATGCTGCCCTTCGTTCAACGTGACCTCCTGCGTGTATGGATTCCCGGCAGCATCGATGCGGCGAACGGTGGCTCGCATCACAGTTGGGCCAGACGACGCCCCGGCCGGGAGGTCCGAGGACAACGTAACGATGCCCTTCCTCCGCTTAGCTAGATGAGAAACGCCGGGACCCTCGGCGTTGCGGGCAATCTGCTTCCAGACCCTCACTTGGAAGCCCTTGGTGCTCGGGTCTTCCTCTTTCTTTTCCGGCTTCTCTGGTATGGCAGCATCGGCGTCGACCTCCTCTTCTTCGGTAGGCAGCGGGCGCTTGTATAGCCGGCCAGAGCGAGCCGCCCTCAGTAACTCTTGCGTGTGCGTAGGCAGTAGGTGCGAATCCTTGGGCATGCCGTGCGGCAGTTCGATGGCCCATACGTCGTTCTTCTGCGTCGCGTCTGCAGGCAACGGCGGCGCAATGCTGACCCATTCCTGGCGCCATTGCCTCACGGGCAGGCCTAGAACACAGATTTAGACATTGCGCTTTCTCCAGCGTCGCAGGCGGGAGGGGGTTGGTATACCCTCGAAATCGTCGTGCTCGACATACCCGCTGCGATTCCCGCGTCGGGTTTGGGTGTTCTGGCGGAACTATAATTCGCACACTGTCAGCCCACTACGGCGACTCCACTAGGCAGAATATTCATACATTTGGGGCCATTGAGACGGCCGGCGGGTAGTTTTATCCCCTAGGTTGGATCGGGGGTGTCGACGGCTTCCAAATGAAATATCGAAGAATCAACCATCCAAGGGAATCCAGACGTGCCGAAGAAGAAAAAACGTATACCGTATGCTAGACTTTTCGAATAAATCCAAGAAGGATGCACGTCGCAACGGGGTTTCGCGGAATGGGTTCGATAGTCTAACAAAGGCTTGGGGGGGGAGAGATTGAGTGCGAAATGTCGCGACGACGCGATGAGCCGGCATGGCAAGGTAATCAGAGAGGCGGGCGGACGGGAAACCCATGAATTGTACATAAAGTACAGATATTTTAACCCATGCATGGTCCCATCTTACCAAGTGTCCAATCAAGGTTAGGAGACTAATACATTGAGGTACCGGACATACACATATAGGTGCATAACACCGCATTTCTGCATGTTACAAGGTACCTAAGTCTGCCCTTATAAGGCGCCTATACTAGGCACCTCCTGGAGGTAGGTAAGAGGTACGTCCTAACCCACCTTAGGTACGGTACTCAGGCAGGTAAGAGGTTGTAATGACCTCAGGGTCTGCCACTGGCGCATTACATCAAGCAGCCTTACGGTACCTACGGGCATATGTTGGTATCTAAGCTTAGGTACCTGTTTATACCTCCGATGGAAACGTATTGTGCCCAAGGTGCCTACCTTAGGTACGTACCTAGGCAGGTATGTACCCACGCCTACCAGGATATATACCCCCCCTATGACAGATTCACCCCCCGACCTGCTTCAGGTCACTCATGGACATTAGACATCCACCCATGCCGACAGATTTGCCTACCTAACAAAATTCAGAAAGACCGTCTACAAACGAGACGAAAACTCATAGATTCTAGTTCCTGGAGCGTTTAAAAACAAGGCATGAGTTGAAAAAATTTTGTTTTTTTTTAGGGGGGCAAGGGTTCTTCTTTCGCACGTTGCGTAAGCATGGGAGGTACTTGGCGGCTTCGAGCCCGTTGGCCATACCCCAACCGCGCAGACGTCACCCGCCAGCCAGACCTCCGTCTATATCCGTCCGTCCATTAGAAAAAAAAAAGCCAGAACCTAGTCCTAGTCCATCCTACTCGTTTCTCGAGATGAGGAGCCCCTCCGTTTGTAGGGCGCCCTGCAACGTAGAGGGGATCCGTTCGTGGCAAGCGGTCGAGTTCAACGGCGTGCTTTTGGTGTACAGTGGTATATAGTAGTACAGGGCAAGTATTTCTTGTTCTCAGGAGGCGCACAATATGACCGTCTGGGGGGGTGGGATGGCGCGTAAAAACTCGGAGAGGCACCGTGCTCTCGAGCGATATCGTGGCGGGTCTAGGGCATCAATCCCACCTACGACGGATTAGCACACGCCCACAAATGTCGTCGCCGCGAATACCGCATCTACTCACCCCGTGTCTTTCGATCGCGTGCTATCTCTATCTCCCGAATTTTCAGTCTGCTTGCTCCGCTGCTGGTAACACGCTGTAAGCAAGTAGGTACTTTTCCCCCTTCTTCCTCCTCCTCTTATCATTCGAACTAGGAACAACGTACCGACGTGCCACGCTCGACTACTAATCGATCTGTCTGGTAGAATTGACTGATAGTTGTCTGGCGCTGCGCAAAAAAAAAAAAATTTGGCGTTAGCGAAGCGGTTCTTCCTGCGGCACGGAACGGCACGCCGCCGCGCTGCCTGTAATTTGTTCCACCACCGGCGGTGACGAGGCAGCAAGATAGGTTACCTTCATCATCTGCAACTCTTTGAGGCCCTTCTGAAGGAGGGTTTGTATCTCCCTGGGGTCCTGCACACCCATGTTCTCTCGGAAGGCGTCTTTCGTCCGCCGCTTCGCGTACTCTCTGAAATTGTAGGCCTGAAACTGCTCGCCTTGACGCAGAAGCTGCCGATACTAGATAGTTGGAGAGAAAGGGTTAGCCTCGACTCGCCTGACTACGTAGGAATGAGGATCGCCAGAGAGGCTGCCTCACCAAGGACCGTGCCTGCTGTGGCAAGTCGCCCTTGAGGGCGGGGACGACAGACATGTCTATCGATACGCGCGAAACGTCGAGGGTCGGGGAAACTCGTTCGGGGACGGGGAGAGAGGAGGATGGGACAGAGAATGAAATGACTTGGCGAAGAGGCTAATGCTGGCCTCCAGGGGCGCGGGGGCGGCTGAGACGGGGAGGGGGGGCGAGAGGTAGAGGAAGAGATGATGCAACATGTGATAAAATGTCGCTTGTAGTAATGTCGCGCGGTAGAGAGAGAGTCCCGATCGCCTATCGATGCAGCCTGTTCTCGTTTTTGCTCGGCCAAAAATACAATCGGCGCCGAGCACGGACGAGTTCCGAGATCTTGTGCTCAAAATCCAAAAAAGGCCGCCTCGGAGTTACCACGGCCAAGACGGCATTTACTCGTTACGGTTGTACCAACTCCTAGAGCCACCTCCCGTCCGTCGCAGCCCGCTACCTTGCCTTAGGTAGGTAGGTATGTAGCAGCAGCATTCGCCTCTACGCATTGTTCTCACTTAGCAGCGTCCATACTTGTTGCATTGCCCTAGGCTACCTAGGTAGGTACGGACATCCCTGGTGATGTGTCTAATGTGTGCAATCCAGGCGACCTGTTGTGCACGCCTCGAGCACGAGGTGCATCCTTATGAGGTACGTGGGTAGGTAGGTAGGTATGTACATTAGGGGGCGGGTAGTTGGTAGGGAGGGCCTGCTCTAGGACCTCAGCACGTTAGGTACGTGGGTAGATAAGAGGTACCAGACGGTTAGGTAAGAGGTAGGTAGGTACCGGTATGCCTTGGAGGTTGGGTACCTACCTACCTACCTCCTAACCTGAGCCACATACCGACGCTATATTGGCAAGACGCAGACATAACGCGGTTTTGAGGTCGCCGCGGAGGAACCGAGCAGCCTCATGTAAGGATGGAATCGCTTCGGGTGCCAGGGTTTCGTATCTACGTACCCTTATTTCGCCGTAGCGCCCGTCTTGCGCTGCCACTCCGCCATAGCGTGGTCAAGAGTCACCAGGTGCTCCTCGATGTCCCTGGCTCGGTATCGCGTCCGATCCTCGGGGTCGAATTCGAGCTGGGTCTCGTCGCCGACGCCTTGTCGCATGTTTTTCCACTCGAGAAGATGGATGTCGTCTCTATGACGTTGGAAACTATCGTCGAAACAGCGCGGCGAACAGAAGACGGACGGGATACGGAAATTCAAAACACATTCCCGACATAAAACCAAGGTGCTTCTGGCATCTTCCATGTCCACGTCGTCATCCTGGAGGCGAACGCAGTCCTGACCGGACGCGCATTCATGTGCCTCGTCGATATGCGGCTCCTGCAGCTGGTTAGGGACCGGGAGGGCGAGCTAAGAACGGAAAAGGGGGTGGATAGGAAGCGGATGGAGGGGAGGAGAAGTGTGGCTTACGAAGCGCTTATCTTCGCACTCCTGCGAACAGAATACCATGGGCTCGACGTGGATTTCGCAGCGTTCACTCAATATTTGACAGAGGGGACAGGTGCTAAAGTCTTGCGGGTCAGGGTCCTTCGAACAGACAGAACATGGCGGAAGGTGGTATGGCTCGCTAGGGGGGGATGCCGCGACTCTGGCTTTCTCCTGCCGAGCCTTGTCTCGCTTGGCCTTGTCGAGTTCGTGGGCGGCTTTAGCTCTCTTGAGCTCTTCAAGCTGTTCGTGGAGGGCCCGCTTCTGATCGCAGTCGCTCTTGGCCAAATCGCGGTCGCGGACTATCGCGTTGATGACGTCCGCAATTGGCGTCCCGTCGCGGATCATGTCGATATAGTTCTTCGATTTCGCGCCGCTCGAGGGGTCGCTGCCGAGCCGGAAGAAGGCGTCGATATAAGCATCGATTCGCGCCTGCGGTGACTTTACGAGCTTCCACCGTTCCATAAACCTATCGAAAACTTCTTCGTCCCCAGCAGCGCCGTCGTTAAGGGCTGCTCTCAATTCCGACGCCAGCTGGTCAGAAGAGATGCTCCGGTCACTGATCTTCTGCTGCAGGAGCCGTGCTTCAGAGGGGGACTTGGCGGCCATCTGAAGTCCCAGACTTTTGGCTTTGTCCCGATACCACTCTTTCTTCTCGTCGAGTATGCGCTGTTCTATGGTCTTGAGGTCAACCTCGAAGTTGTGAGCCCTCGAGAACATGGTATCCAGCTCGAGAAGAAACGGCCGCCGACCCGAGAACCATTCCCTCGAAGCCGAGTTGAGATATCGGTCTCGCACTCGGTTTAGGAGGCGCGTCCAGCAATCCGGACATTCGATAGGATGTTTCTTGCCGTGATCCTCGATGCAAGACGCCTTGATGACTTTCACATCATCGGCGCAAAGCTGATGCTCCTTCTGAAGGGTGATAACTTCATCCCACGGCTCCAACATGTCGCCCCCTCGACCATGCGGTCGTAAAATTTCAATTCTTCCAGGGCGTGGCTCGATTTACGAAATGCCGTCTAGTCCCCCCCGCCGTCCTATGGTATACCTGGGCAACGCGTTGTAGGAGAGGACCCAGTGCCGAGCGCGTTAGGCGCTCGTTAAACCCCGTAGATGAACAGGGTTCCCCTAGACTTTATGTCTATATGTATGGGCAATCGACCGGATATAAATAACGATGGCGGGAGATACCTATTGACGTGAATACATAGGTAGACGCTCAAATACCTAAGTACGTCATATGCGTCCCAAAAGTGCTTGAAACCGTAAGAATGGATGGAGTGTAGGCGTCCGGACAGATATGGATGTAGATGGTAGGTAGGTAGGCAACTTACAAGGTAGAGCCTATCTGAGGGCGAAGAAGTCGAAGCAACAAAACATTACATTACACATATATGATATTATACCGTAGTACACCTTGAATAGCAATCCAATCAAATCAAGTTACACTTATGCCTACATACCTATATAAGAAGATATGCGTTAAAAGGTATATTACAAGATCGGGTGTCTCCGTACCTTAAATTACCTAGGTCGATATATTTAGACGCAGTAAACAATTCGAGAACATCCATTCATTTACGCCCTCGCCAGGATTCTCCACTGCCTAGCAAAAGTCAAACGTTCCGTTCATCACAGACCGAGTGCTCTCTTCAACACCGGCACCACTCGATAGCCATGGTCAGTCACCACCCAACCTACACCCGAGTCGGATAGCAGGCACTGACAAGCAGAGCACAGGCGGACAAGTTGCGCACGCAGCAGGAGCTCGAGCGGCTCCAAGCCAAGTACGTCGGCACCGGCCACCCGGACACGACCTCGTGGGAGTGGAGGACGAACGTGGCGCGCGACACGTACTCGAGCATCGTCGGCCACCCCCCCCACCTGTCCTACATCTCCCTCGCCCAGAACGAGCCCGCCGCCAAAGTCCGAGCCCAGCTGCTGCGGAAGATGATACAGCCCTGCGGCCCGCCGCCCCCCCGAGAGGGCGAGGAGCCCGTGCTGCAGCAGCGGCCAACGTAACAAGCTAAGCCTCCCGATGCGCCAGCTAGGTAGGAAGACTCCGGCCTTGAGTATATCAAATACCGAGAGGAGTGTTCCGACATGGGCTGAGGCGACCAACATGCGACGGACGGGTCCGGGTCCCCTTCTCCTACAACCAATAATACATTAGGCGTCACCATACGCGGTAGGAGGGAGGATGAATTTCAATATGGGGCTACCTCATCATATGTAGTGTTGCCGGCATGTCGCGACGATATTTAAAGTCATCACAGGCCTTGTCTGTGGGCGCCACATCACTCCAGCCGTTAGGGCACCGCAGGGCACAAGTCACTGCAAGCATGTTTTTGAACGGATCTACATCAATACCGTTGGGGGCGATAAAGACTAAATGGCCCGTTCATCCTCCTTATCGCTTGTTACGGATGTCAAGCGGGATTTACCTGAGCACGAATGAAAAGGGGGGGGGGGGGGTGGTGGGGTTTTCTTCGCTCTGTGGGATATGATTTTATTATCGCCTGCCGTCATCCCGGAAGCTACTTGTAGGGTTTAACAACCTCGAATGCACAGTGAACAACCTCATTCCTCGGGGGTGCTATTGCCGACGTGATTCCGGCTGGTCTCGTGGACGCCCAGGCTCCTCTGAAGTCTCTTGTCGAAGTCGTCCGGCAGCTCGCCCCAAACCTCAGTGACGACGGCGGCGATGCTCTCGTGCGGCACTTCCACTCGCCCGCGAGGCCCGACACACCAAGTCACGGTGTCCTCGTCCCCGTCGCTCCTCTCGACGACCTTGTCGACGTAGCCCTGCCGGACCAGCTTCTGTAGGACGTTGTCTGTCTTATCTATCGGCAGGTTCTGGCCGGCGTTCAGGCGGGTCAGGTAGCGCCTCAGCTTCGTGTCGCTCAGCTCCCCCCCGTTCAACACGACGAGCGAGATGACCATGGTGTAGAAGCCGACGTATGCCGCCTCTTCGGCCGTGCTCGGTATGCGCGACGGGCTGATGATAGCCTGCGATTTGTATTCTCGGGGTAGGGTCGAGACCAGGATGTACTGTCGGGAGGATGCGACGCTCTGAGAAGCAGCTTTCCTGGCGTTTGCCTCTGCAGCCACCGACGGGGTTAGGGAGTCGAATCGTAAGCAGGCTGGGGACGGGGCAGTCTTGTGGTTCCTCACTCTGCTTCTCTTTGAGCGTGCGCTTTTCCTTGACCGGCAATTCGACCATCTCCATGCCGAAGACCCTCTGGAGCTGAGCCTGGGCCCCTTCGAAAACTCGCTTAAAGGATCTTGGATTGTTGCCCAGGACTGTAGGCGTCCGAGGTCGCACGTTAGCATCACGTGTCCTCCGCAGAAGTGCCGGGGATGCTTGATCTACATACCTTTATCTCTAATACCATCCCTCCTAATGGGCATCCTCGCGTACTCACAGGCTAATGCGTACCGCACGAGCTTCTTAACCACCTGGTCTTCCGCATCACGAGCCCCCCTCTCCATGTCGACATCGCCGGTCTGGTCCTCCTCGGAGGCGTCGGAGGCGTCAGATTGGTCGTTGCGCCGCGACTGGCGACGTCCGTCGGCTTCGTCGGCTTCGCCATGGTTGGCAGTCCTCCGACGGCCCTGAGTCTGAGGGGGCGCCATGTCGCATTCGTATGGAGTTAGCGGGCTGGTAGCCGGCCGAGCGCTCTCGTCTCAATAGCTGAAGGTCTATAGGTATATAGCATGAGTCTAATAGGTGAGGTGAAAGATCTTGTCCATTTGGAGGGAGGAGGAGTTGCTGAATAGAGCTGTCATCTAGGTAGGTAGGTAGAGGTGGGCATAGGAGGTATAGATGTAGGTACGTAGCGGTTGCGGGTCGCCCGGTCCAACGCATCAGCGCGCGTCCCGTTGTCTCTCCACGCGTAGAACTAGGGTACTTCAGTGTACTTACCCACATAACGTAGGCCACCATACCCGGGTAGGTACCTGAGAGGTAATCAGGCGCCCGCGCTGGGTGCGCCGCCTTACATAACCCTGCACTTTTCGCTAAATCCTCCCCCTTACCCCTCCTTACGTAATCGTTCTGGTGCACCAACCAACCTATCGCAATCCCAATTGAAAGGCTTTTTTTTTTTGCGATTGCACTTCCAACCCCCCCCCCCCCCCCCCCCACCTTGTAGTTCTGATTTTTCTCCCCTAGCAAATCTTCGCTGGTGCTAGTCCTGTAATAATAGGAATTCGATCCCAATCTCGGGGCAATTCCCTCAGGATACACGTACTGCCAATTGGTCCAACGTTGAGCGCATTACCCGGGGCGGAAAGGAACCCTCGTTCCTCTCAATCCCCATCTTCATGATTACTTCAGGCGCGCCCGGCGTCTGCTATCGGTGCCGGTTGCGCCGCCTTCGTCCGCCTCCTCAGTCTTTCCTGACAGCATCAAGTCGCGCCTTGGGTGGCCGGCCACCCATTCTCAGAAGCTTCTCCAACTCGTCGACTGCGCGCTCCTACGGCGGTCCTAATCCCTTCGACGAAGATTATAATGAGAAACCGAGAATCGTGAGGTATGATGGCAAGAAACATGTCTCCCGCGATCGCCTGCTCGAAGAACGTTCCGCGCGCCTCAACTCCAATATGCTTGGGAAGCCAGCGTACGCCATCGTCATGCGGGACAGAGGTATTCGTAACAGGAGGCAACCCTCCCCAGTTCCTGACGATGATGTCTACGCCCCCGAGCCCACGAGTATCGGAGACCTGCTCAACAACCGAGGGAGGAGGATGACCGCCGAAGAGGTCCGTGACAGCATCAACAGCCTTAGGCCCATAGGAGAGACCGCTATGTCTGAGAGTGCATTTCGAAAGCTACAAGAGTCGCTGGCCAACGGCTTCTTAACTGTACATCTCCAAGACTATTTGGCCTATCACAAGAGAAATACTCTCCCATATCAGCGCCTGTTAGTGGGCGAAGAGATAGCGGAAACGGGAGAGAAGAAGCCGGCGGGAAAAAAAATCGAAGCTGAGCAGGAGGAGGAGAGGAAGGAGGGGAGGAAGGAGGAGAGGGAGGAGGAGGAGGAGGAAGAGGATGTATGGAACGAAGATTGGATGCATGATCAGACGGTGCATGAGGAGAAGGAGCGGAAGAATAAGGAGTGGGAGGAGATGGAGGCGGAGGAGGTGGAGCAGGATGCGATGGAGCTGGCTGAGATCAAGCGATTGGACCGGGGACGGAAGAAGCATGAGAAACTCAGGGAGGATAATAAGTATGAGGTAGACCGATATGGCTGGGTCAAGATAATGACCCCGTGGGTGCCGTTGGGCCCCTGGAGCAAACCTGGCTCAGACACAACCGATTTCACGATTTTGGGGTACGTTGACACCTCGGCGCATCCCAAGGACAAGCTCGCCGTCAGAATCATGCGCGAATGCTGGGATCTTTCGATCCAAGAGCTTGACGGCGGACTCGGCGACACCAGAGTGAGAATCCGAACCCGCGATTTCCAACTCCTGCAGCGTACGTTGACGATCTCCCCTTCCTTCTGACGGTGAATTTGCTAACAACTCCTATCAGGTGGCGCCAAGCGATGGGTGACATTCTTGGGCAAAGGGTTGCTGGACCCTGGCGAGAGGATGGAAATCTTCAACACGACGAGGATACTCCGCCTAGTGACGACAAAGCCGAAAGCCGCCGTCATGCTTAAGGATCTGAACGAAACATTTAAGCAGGTTAATTCAAGGCACTTCCCGGTCAAGCTCATAAGAGACAAAAAATTCGACGATGAAATATTGGAAGAGGTTGCACGAATTACAAATACATATATCCGGCAGACTCCAAATTCCGAACGGGTTGGTGACGAGTTTCCGATCAAACTGCTTCTGTCTGCGTGCTTACCTTTTCCCTCATAGGTCGAGGTCACTTGGATCCATATCAAGACGCGCGAGGATCGAGGTCTGGTAGGCTTGGAAGATTTACGACACGTCGTCTTCCGCCTGCTACTCCGTGCCTACGGTCCGACACGGGCGACGTGTCTGCTCTCTAGGGCAAACACGGACACAACGACGGGCGGCCATCTGGTTGCAGACTTGGTCGGCAAGGAAAGGCTACCATGGAACCACAGAATGTTGCGCATGTGTCGCTTCATGTTCCCGCTGTCGTCCAAGGACGGTACCCCGCCGGCGGAACTGGGCCTGCTGGACAGACTCTATCTACCGATTGAACCAATGCCCGATGACACCTCCGCGCCTGGCACAACCGCGCCGGTAATATCACCAAGCCGACTTGCCCAGGTATTACCACAAAGCCGATCGCCCGTCTCTCCGTTGCAATGGGACGTGAAGCTCAAAACATCCACCATAGCCCGGTTCGGCTACCTACTCCACCAAAGGCGCCCCACAACCAAGACTCTCACAGTAACTGACGTGAGGGGGACGACGCGGTTCTTCGCGCCCATCACGCCGCACCCGCTCCGGCTCGCGCAGCTGCAGAGTAAGGACAAGGACGCGGGGAAGGCGCTCGTCCATAATAAGACGACGCTGGTCCTCTACTACTGGCCGTCGCCCGGCGCGCAGACGACGCTCGAGACGCTCAAGGCTTACGCCAACTTCAAGAAGCGGCATCGCGAGCGCGCCAAGCCCTACATCTCGCCCGCGCCCTACCTCGAGCTGCGGCTCGCGATCAAGGACGACACGGTGCTCGGGGTCGAGAGCCTGACGGCCATCAAGGAGATCGGCGTGACGGAGGTGATGCTGCCCGCCGCCCTCGTCGACATCGCCTTCACCCAGACCCGCTACTCGAGGCTGCGCGCCCCGCCCGAGAAGCTCGCCGAGTGGTGGCCCGTCGAGCACATCCTCAAGGCCTCGCACATCGACGTCGCCCGCGGCAAGTTCGAGTTCCCCGCCCACCAGAAGTTCCCCGTCCCCGTCCGCCTCTTCCTCGACAGCCGCAAGGACGACTTCAACTACCCCGCCGTCGGCGGCCCCGACAGCCTCCACGCCGCCACCTACACCTTCGCCGGCTACGAGCTGCGCCACGCCGTCTCCGCCCCGTACGAGCGCTCCCGCCTCACCTACTCGTCGGTCGACGCCGGCGACGCCGGCGGCCGCTGGACCGAGGTCGACCTCGAGCCCATCGCTCCCCCGGGCAGCCGCGGCCCCAGGCGCATCTTGATGGACGAGTTCGAGGCCGAGACGTTCAACGACGACTTCCTCGACCTATGCAACCGGTTCGCCCGCAATGATGACCTGTGGTCCGGCGGCCCGACCAAGCTGTAACGCGTGGGCGCATGTAGGTACGTCGAGGCAGGGCGAGGCGGAACGGCAACCGAGCGAGCCGATAGAGCGGCAGGCAAGAAAATATAAAGGAGCACTGGCAAGGGATAAAAAGAAGGGAGAGGGAAAATATAAACTTGCATGCTCGCTTCGACTATGTTCGCTAGCGTATGTAGTATAGCAAACTGTACTTTATTCTCAACTACAAAAAAAACCTACATAACGTACGCGTCACTGTCCTATCCCTCTTCGTAGCCGTGTCATAACGTACAGGGACATTGGGAGGTAAGTGGGAAGGGTATTTTTAATAGCTTTTCTGACGATCTACTACCTATCATTGTGAAATCTGGCAGGTGACAGGTATTCAAGCTACGGCTAGAATGCGCCCCAAATTCCAAATCGCTGAATTGGTGTGGGTAGTAGTAGATAATTAAGCGCTCGTCAAGATTTCCAGATTGTCAAGATGATACGTGGTAGCTGGATTATGATTTGGAGATATGCGGTATGGGAAACTGGACACGGGACATTTTGCTCACAATTCACAAACTTCATAATTCACATGGAGAAGACGCGGGTCACGGTCTATGACTCTATTTTACTACAAGCACAAGATGAGAAAGTTTTGTCGCGAAAAAATGCCCATAACCCTTCCTCTCATGTTGCGCTCCGTCCTAGAGAGCAGATCGTGTCAAGGCAAAGAAAATTCGTTGGGGCATAGTCGTGTCGTGAAGGGTCCGGGCTCCTATGTGGTGATGATGAGTTGTGGGTGTGACAGGTCCCACAACCGCGATCTGGTTGCGATATATGGCAAGTTTATTTCTTGCCCGTCGCCTTAGCGGCAGACTTGGTAACCTTGCCCGCCTTGGTGCTCTTGTTGACCGCCTTGATGACACCGACGGCGACTGTCTGACGCATGTCACGGACAGCGAATCGACCCAGAGGAGGGTAGTCGGTGAATGCCTCCACGCACATAGGCTTGGAGGGAACCATCTTAACGATGGCAGCATCGCCAGACTTGATGAACTTGGGCGTATTCTCGACAGACTTGCCAGTTCGTCGGTCGATCTTCTCGAGAAGCTCGGCGAACTTGCAGGCGATGTGGGCTGTGTGGCAGTCAAGGACAGGAGCGTAACCAGCGCCGACCTGGCCAGGGTGGTTGAGGACGATGACTTGAGCGGTGAAGTCCTCAGCGCCAGCCGGGGGGTCGTTCTTGGAGTCACCAGCGACGTTACCTCGTCGGATTTCCTTGACAGATACGTTCTTCACGTTGAAGCCAACGTTGTCTCCAGGGAGACCCTCAGTGAGCTGCTCGTGATGCATCTCAACTGACTTGACTTCAGTAGTAACACCAGCCGGGGCGAATGTTACGACCATGCCAGGCTTGAGAACACCAGTCTCGATACGGCCGACAGGCACGGTTCCGATACCGCCGATCTTGTAGACATCCTGCAGGGGAAGACGGAGGGGCTTATCAGTGGGGCGCTTCGGGGGCTCGATCGCGTCGATAGCCTCAAGAAGTGTCTTTCCGGTGGTCTTTCCGGCCTTGGTCTCCTTCTCCCAGCCCTTGTACCAGGGGCAGTTGGGAGAGGGGGCCAACATGTTGTCACCGTTGAAACCCGAGATAGGAACGAAGGCAACGGTCTTGGGGTTGTAGCCGACCTTCTTGATGAAGTTGGAAGTCTCCTTGATGATTTCATTGAATCGATCCTCGGACCACTTGGTGGTGTCCATCTTGTTGATAGCCACAATGAGCTGCTTCACACCAAGGGTGTAGGCGAGCAGGGCGTGCTCTCGGGTCTGGCCATCCTTGGAGATACCAGCCTCGAATTCACCAGTACCAGCAGCGATGATGAGGATAGCGCAGTCGGCCTGCGAGGTGCCTGTAATCATGTTCTTGATAAAGTCACGGTGGCCGGGGGCATCTGGAGAGGTAGACAGGTTAGTAACGAAGGGAATAATGCAGGTAGCGTAGTTTAAAACATACCGATGACAGTGACATAATACTTGGGAGTCTCAAACTTCCACAGGGCAATGTCGATTGTGATACCACGCTCGCGCTCGGCCTTCAGCTTGTCTAGAACCCAGGCATACTTGAAGGACCCCTTGCCAAGCTCAGCAGCTTCCTATTTGTGGTTGTTAGTTAAAGCTGCGCTGCAAATTTTCATTTCCCAAAACTTTTTTCCTTATATCCTCTTGTTTTGATGTAGGTAGGCAGGTATAGGTAGATTTGAAGCCATAGTAGCATATACACTCTTGGCGTTGTTGCTCCGTGCACCAGTCCGTTGTGCAGGACGTCAGAGCGGGGTAGGGAAAAATTTTGTGCCCCTCCGTGGGGAGGGGATTTGTCGAAGCGCGGATGAGAGGGGAACGCGGTTCAATGCACAAAGCAGGAAAACAAAGAAAACGACCTTAGAGGAAGGCCTCTGCAGGGTGGAATTTGAAGTGATACAGAAGAGAAATTGGGCAAGTATTGATGGTAGTAATGGATTTGACTGACCTTCTCGAACTTCTCGATGGTTCGCTTGTCAATACCACCACACTGGTAGATCAAGTGACCCGTAGTAGTCGACTTGCCACTGTCGACGTCTGCAAGGCTCCATTAGGAATCTAAATACGTGGAGTATCTGGTATCATGGGAAACTTACGGCCGATGACGACGAGGTTGATGTGAGTCTTCTCTTCCTTACTACTGAATGTCAGTGGCAGGCTCTCTCTCTCTGTCTCTGGCTGCAAAGATGAGAGCGGACTTGGCCTACATACCCCATTTTGGCGGGAAAAGCCTGCAACTGTCTCGAATGTGTGTATCTGTATGTTGTAGTGGTGGTGGTGGAGGGAGACGAGGTCGAAAAACTGCGTAGCCTGGAGTCAGCTGGACAAGTTGGTGTTTGACGGGCGTGCAAGACGAGGGCAAGATGGAGATGGAGATGAAGACGAGGATGGGAAGATGGGAGAGAGAAAGAGAGGAGAGGGAATGGGGATGGGATGTGGAGTGGGAGGAGTTGCTCTTACGTTGGCAGGTGTTAATGCTCTGATTAACGGTGTGCGAGACGAGGATCGAAAAAAGTCGGGAGGAGTTGTGGTGAGGGAGTGTGCGTTGGGGTTTATAAATATTTCTTAGACGGTGGTCCAGGGAGATTTTCTTATTGTGGGGCATTTGCCCCTCCCTTAGGTCCTTCCTCCTCGACTACGTACCCCTCCTTCCAAATTCACTCCCACACTGAAATTTTTCACCATGAGCACTAAGTACATTAGGTACCTATGAACCGACCTATCATAACTGCCCAGCTTGCCTGCCTCTGTCTGCCGTACCTAATCGTGCGCACAACCCAAGGTTACGTGTATGTTTAAACAGATGGATCAAGGTTAGTACATTAGGTACTGTGTGCTTGCCTTGGGCATGTTAAGTTATATACATACCTATAGGTTCCTCCTATCTACCTATATAGGTACCCTTAAAACAGATACCTTAATAAACATGCCGATATTAGGTACTTATAAGTGCTTAAGGTATCTATAGGTTAGGTACCTACCTAAGTAGGTATACATATACGTCTGTGTCTACCTGTAGCTTAGAAGGCACTTAAGGTTAATTATTACCTAAACAGGATAAATACTTAATGCACCTAGATAGGTAGGTACCTAGGTACTATACCACTAGGGCTAGGACAGTTCTCTCAAAGGGTACCTAGGTAGGTTAGGTACCTACCTAAGGAGCCTCCTAACGTAGGTATTTTATGTCGGGGCACATCAGGAGGTACATATTTTGGTGGCATTGATTGGCTCTAAGGCTAACTCCAACCAAGTCCATCCACCCTAAGCCCGAGTAAAGGTTACTTGTGGACTACTCCTTAGAGGTTTCTCTAATATACTTTCATATGCTTACCGCAGTCTTCAGGTAATGCATGCATCTCGATAGGTTACCTGTCTGCTTATCCGCTCCATTAGGTACTTGGTACGTAAGTAGCCAGGCTAGGAGGTATTTACCTGATAGGCACCTACCAGGTGGAAGTCTACCAGACATTCACTTATAAAGTGGTTGTTTATTGATTTCCTTACCTCCGTGCTATCCTTGAACAACAATAGGATGTATTTCAGCCACCGGGGTGGGTACTTATAGGTACCTGGTAGGTACGTGGGTTAAGTGTGCTGCGTAGCTTAACTTTAAATTTGAATGGATTTGACGCGGACGCCGAGTAAAAACTTCTCTTATCGTTCGCTGCCCAACATGCCGGAGGCAACCCACCCTTTCTGAAGTCCAGGGTATACCGCCTTCCCTTTCGCATAGTTACCTACCTGCGGTAGTATTCCAGAGATCCTGCTAGCAAGCCAACGAGATCTCCGAGGATGACAGTCGTGCTATCATCGATGACTACCTAGGTGGCTCTGTGGTCCCGGGCTGACGCCGTCTCGATGCCTACTTGTACTGCTAAGCAAGAGTCACACTTCACTGTGGCTGGGTGGCCGGGTGCACAGCACAAACTTGGGGCTCGGGTTCGAGTATAGCACGTGCTCAGGCTATGTAACCATGGGTTTTCGCATGTGCTTGTATATATAAATCTCCCCGCGTACGCTTTAATCTACCTACAGAGGTACATACCTCATACATACATATCTGCGAGTAGCACCCGGGTGGGCTCGTCGCGGGGTATTGAGATGACATTACGGATTCCCCATCCGGCCCCGCCAGGAGGGTCAGCGTACCCACCGAGTTAGGTATCCGCCGAGTGGGATAAATAGGACCTAAAACATCAGGTTGTTAGTTGCATGGCTGACTTTTTGCCCGCGGGGCGACCGCCGACATGAAAATTCATGAGTCACCCGGTGTGTGTGGAAAGTGCTGGTACAAGCACCTACATCTGCTATGTACCTACCTACATCAGACATAGATTCGTCCCAGCGCCTCCTCCGAGGCTAGTGTCTCCCGTCTGAAAGGATGGTATCCGTACCTTCTAGATTAAGTAATCGTTACGGAACACGCTGGACTATAGGCTGGCCCGCCCAGGGGTGGACGTCCCACGAAGAGAATGAGATGTTTAACTTCAACCCTTAGGACTCGCAGGCTTTGGCGCTTTATATTTAGAGAACCATTCAGGTAGACTTAATACCTGTATGAAGTAGTAATATATTAGTAGTTAGAATAGGAGGGCGACTTTAAGTGGGTCCTAGCAGCCGAAAATATCATTGGGGTCTTGGCCTACTACCTATAATGTTATTGCTTACAAGGCCATCTTCGTTGACATCGTCTTCCCGGCGCTCGGGGTTTTTGCCTTCTCTGATAACAATTGCCCTCTGTTTGGAGCTTAGAATAACCCCGTCAAAACCCCTGGGCAAGACTCTGTCCTCTACGAGATACTTAACTTTCATATTGCGAGCCTTATCACGCAGCGCTTGCTGGTCTCGGCTGGGTTCGAACTTTCCTTGCTGTGCCATTATGCTCCACGAGCCTCCATAGGCGGGATTCGATATTAGGTTGAGGAGTCGCGCGGTATCCGAATCGGACCACGGCTGGCGTGTCTGTCTGCGGTTGTTCCGAGTACGATATGTACTCCTGAAGGATTCCCTTGCTGGAGCTTTCACGCTAAAAGCAGCCACGTCGCTTTCTTCGAAGTCCCGGGTCAGCGACGGCGGCCGGGAAGTCGTAGCTGGAGGCTGAAGGGCCGGTCGGGGCCGCTTGAGGCGTGGCTGCAAGCTAGCCGAGGCCTCATCCTCCCTTCGCCTGGTCTTATTGGGAGGCTTCTGATTCGTCTCGAAATCGTCGTCGGTTTCCGCTTCGCTCTCCCTGGTAGGCCGCGGTTGCTTTCCTATCTGGCTTAAAACTTGTTCAGGATCCAGACCACGAATCAATTCTCTGGTGTGCAGTGCCGATTCCCCCTGCACCGCATCCGTTAGCATGGTAGGTTTGCTGATGAAAACTAGACTAAAGAGTGTTAGCATCGCATTGGCCTTCTCCACGAGCAGGGCACATATCGAAAGACGAACTTGGAATCTGCCTGCGGAAGCTGGTCATAATCTCCATCCGCTGCGTCGAATTCGTAGTTGGAGTCAGAGTCAGCTCCCCCCCCGTTGTCTACAGGCGGAGACGCAGCCGGCTCTCCCAATTCTGCGTTTGCATGGGATGCAGGAGGTGAAGTAGCTGCCCCAATATCGCCATGATTTGCATCTTGGTTGAGCTGGCGAAACTTCTCCATGGCCCACGAATAGACATTTGTGAAAAGCTTGTCTCGGGAATACAGCTGGTTAAGAGACGAGTATATCGCCGAGCGGTCGTCAGACTCGAGCGCAGAGATGAGGTCTTGGATACAGCTATCGACGATGTCGCGGAAATTACCGCCTTCGTTGATGTCGATCCCAGCTAACATTTTCAGGTTCCGGCGGTCTCTTAAAGCCATTCGAATGCCGTTCATATCCAGTGTCTGCCGGTTACAGAATATGTCGGAGACGATTTTGTAAGGTTCGGTATTGGGATTTGCGGCTAGCGAGGCAACGAGGCAACAGCACCGAATGTGGAAGGCTAGGCCGAGAATCTCGGCGGCGTCTTCGACATCTGTCGACGGGCCCAGACCCGAAGTGAACGAGGCTGGGAAGGCATTGTCGAGCTCCTCGAGGATCGACAAATTTTCGCGCTCTCCGGCCCACGTATCCCGAATTGATGCTACGAGCGACATGAGGTTACCTGAGAGGATAGCCAGCCGCACCGTGGCCCGCTCCCTCGAACTATAGTTGGCGGGCAACTCCTTACGCGTGATGAAAAGAGCCGGATTGTCTGTAAGAGCGAGGAGTGCTTTGGCGAAAAGTCGTCGGATATCCTTGAGTGTTGACTGTTGTTCTTCGCTCGGTTGATCGTCGCCAATGGAAGAGAGAGCTTCGTGCATCTTCTTGGACCAGCGCGACAGCTTGGGTATGTCGAACTCAAGCATGTCTTGCACCCTAGCAGCCTCTATCTCTGGCGATTCGTGAGGGATTTCCTCTTCGGGAACTGCGCTGGCCATTTCGACAATCTGGTCTATCGAGGGCAGGTCTGCGTACAGGGACTTAGTTCCAGGGGCGATCAAAGCGAACGGGCGTAGCATACCTGGATCCTCCGACTCCGGCCTGGGACTAACATACCCGACAGAACTTTTAGGGAAGTCGGTCGTAGCCACGCTCTCAATGCTTCTATTACGTCGGCGTATGGTACCACGCTGGGCGATCTCGGTCGCATATCTTGCCTCACGCGCTTCGCGATGTCGAGTTTGCCTCACGACGGGCTCGGTCGTAGGTGCAGCAGACCGTGTCTGGGGCGCAGCATGGTGCCGCCTTGTCATGGTAGAAACCAGTCTCCTGCTGATGCGAAGAGAGGATTGGGTGATGTGGTTGTAGCAGCTGTACCGTTGTCCTGTATCGCAGGATGCTGAGCATGGTAAGTGTGGCGGATAGTCGTCGCGTTGGTAAGGTGAGAAACGGGGAGTATACTAGGTGGGTAAACATTGCGACGTTCCGGAGTTAACCCAATAGATTTCCCATCCGCGGCACTTGAAGCACAGACGAGACCTTAAGTTTCCCAAAACGGCTTAGACCACTACTACGTTGTAGGTGCATTTCAGTAAGGGCGGACTGGCATCAGGTACCTCTCGGATTGAATATAAGTACACGCACGTTAACTCATGTAAATAGATGCCCGCCTAAGAAATTTACACGGAGAGAATTCAAGTCTGCGAGAATTATGTGTGACTAAAATACGATATTTGTGGTTTTTTTTTCTCAATTATTATGGTTACAATGTAAAGTCCGGGCTGTGTATGTTATAACAGCAGTACTAACTTGCAGGATCATTACGTAGTACCTGTAAATATGTATGCAACTATCCATGCTTGGAATGTATTTTTATCGTTCAATCCTGATTTGTCCCGCCTGTACCCGGCTGGAACCTGGGGCCTTACCTGCGTACCTAGCCTCATGATCGTCTGCTCTCCCTCTCTCCCGCCCCTTTTCACCAATTTCAGAATTATCTAGCACCAACCCGTTCCATGTACTTGGCCGAGTTGATATTCGGGTTTCCTTTTCTTATTTGGGATTCGTGCCGGATTTCGAGTTTCCATTTCCCCCTTCCCTCTTTTAGCATTATTTCCTGACTTTTAGACACCACCCGCGCGTCACGGACGTCACGAGCATCGCGAAAGCGATCCCACCGTCTAGCCTGTCCCACAATCGCATCGGCTCAACCGGAGATTCTCGAATAGGTCATTTGCTACGTCCTTATCGGAGTTCCCAACACATCTCGCCCAGAGAATCTCCGTTCCTCGATAGCTAGCTAAGGTGAAGCTGACTTCGTGCCCATCATGAGACTCCTCCACCGACAAGTACCACTCGTCCTTCTGATTCTTCACTCCCTTGCTCTCGCTTCCTCGGCCCCGGACACGAAATATAGCAAAGACGTCCACGCGGACGATTCCTCTGCTCAATCCTCTCTCGACTCGGGCGTAGCGCCGCCCAAGACAGGGAAATTCGATGTTATCGGCACTAAGAGTGCCCCTGTAGACGGCAAGGATGGGATGCCGCATGAGGGTCCCTTCGTAGCCACCGAAAAGGGACGGAAGAAGGGCGATTCCAACGATCCTGTCGAATCAAAACCCCTCCCGACGCTTAAGGATAGACCGGTAGATCCTACAGTCATCGACGGCAAGAAGATACCCGAGACCAACGATGGTGTCATGGACGATCCCCACCGCGAGCCCCCCAAGCAAGGCACCACGGGCACCGAAGGCGGCGTGAGCCAAAAAGACAAAGCTAGGAAAGCAAAGGAGGGGGAAACAGGAGAGAAGGTCGAGAATATCCCCGAGACGCCAAAGGAGCAGCCGCCGCTGCCACACAGCGAGCAGGAGAAGATATCCAATGAGAAGGCCAGCAAGAAGGAGAAAGGCAACAAGGCCGACCTGCACCAGACCCCGGAAGACGTCATCGGGCTCGAGGTGAGAGATGGCCGCCGATGCGCCGGGACTTTCCATACTTGTGCTAACACACGAATACACAGAAGCCGTCGAACCTGCCGGATAAGCTACGAGACGACCCCAACCCGCTTCCCAATTCTGCGAACAAAGCCCACCTCGACGTATCCAAGCCCTCTAAGTCAGTCGGTTTTGGGGAGGGGACTGGGGGCGAGGGGAGAGAGGGGAGTGATGGTATCATACAACCCTTCCACTCCTTCGTGCTCTCTGTCACCATGATCCTGTTCTCTGAGATTGGTGACAAGACGTTCCTAGTAGCCGCTCTCATGGCCATGAAACACGACCGTATGGTCGTTTTCTCTGCAGCTTTCGGCGCCCTATTTGTCATGACCATACTGTCGGCTATACTGGGCCACACGGTCCCGGCGCTCATTCCTCAGAGAGTGACGGCGTTTCTAGCCGCCGGGCTATTTTTTGTCTTCGGTGCCAAGATGTTGCGCGAGGGGATGGCCATGGACCCGGGCGAAGGTGTCGCGGCAGAGATGCAAGAGGTCGAGATGGAGCTACAGGAGAAGGAGCACCAAGCGCTGAAGCAGGGCAGGCGGGGATCCACCGTGTCTCCGTACGCCCTCGAGATGGGCTTCAATCGCAAGCGAAAGTCACGATCTCAGTCTCGCTTCCCCACCCCGCCACGCAGCCCCTCGACCTCTCCGGACAGGAGTCCGTCTCCTCAACGCGGCTTGCTAGGTGGCTTCGGCATCGGCCTAGCCAACCTCTTCTCGCTTCTGCTGAGCCCGGCGTGGGTGCAGACTTTTGTGATGACCTTCCTCGGCGAGTGGGGAGATCGTAGCCAGATTGCGACGATCGCCATGGCTGCCGGCCAGGACTACTGGTGGGTGACACTGGGCGCGGTGATCGGTCACGCATGTTGCACCGGTGTGGCTGTCATCGGCGGGAGAGCCATCGCCGGTCGAGTCAGTCTCAAAGTTGGTGAGTTTTGCAACCCCCCAGCGGCGACGGCGCCGCCTTCTTTTCCCTGTCGCCCCCCATCCGCCGCCACTAACCCGTACACTCGAATAGTCACGGTAGGAGGCGCCGTAGCATTTTTGGCTTTCGGCTTGATCTACTTGGTAGAGGCGGTCTACTCGGTAGGCACGTAATGGTGTAGAAGCAAACCGGGTAGCAACCCTACCTCTCTCCGACTCCCAGCAGGGTCCTGTGCTAAATCGGCGGACGGCAATTATTGTGCTCTCGGTGGGCTGTTTTATTATTACTATTATTGTTATTATTTTCCTATTCTCATCGCTAAAAGCTGCAGCTGATGCGGATTCAGGTTGGGGGAAAGGAGAGAGGGGACATTGTGGCGTACGACTGTTGTACAATAATATGTCGATTCGTTGGGCGGCCCCGGGAACGGAAGGGAAAGACAACGGGTAGACAGTGGAAGCGGAAAAGGTCACTGCATGGGCGTGGAGTTGGGAAGCTGAATTCCAGGTAAAGACAGGCTCGTCTTGGAGAACACATCCTTATACCACCGGACCAGCGGCTCGACGAACGAGAGGATAGTCGGCCGAGTATTACCTCTGTATCCGAATACGGACTGATGTCGGCGACATAATGAATGCTAACACATGTACCTAAACTAGGGAGCTTAGAGTTGATTGACAAGACAGACTAGGTACCTAGCTAATCCACCTATACCTCACTGATGCCATCCCTTTATAGGCTGTGTAGGCTATATAGCCTGTAGCTGAAGAGGCAGCTGGCCTACCTGGCTTGGGTACCTAAGGCACATACCAACCCGGTTGGGTGACCTTTGCAGGCTGCTTTTTCCCTCTTCCGATAACCCCGCACCTCCGACAGCTCGCGGCGTACTTACCCCGAGCCTCCGTATCGCGTAAGGCGAGGCGCCCCCCTCTCGTACCTGAGGTCCAAACTACGTAGGTACATACCACACCTACCTATCTTCGCCTGGCGAGTTCGATGCTACTCAGGGTTCCGTACGGAGACAGACGACGAAACCGGAGAAAATTTTCGTTAAGAGACCGCGCGCGATAGGTATAGAGAACGAGGCGCGAACACCGCATCCTAATTTCCACAGCGTCACGACCCGGCGGGACGGCAGAAGACCGCGAAGGCGAAACCCCCCTCTACCTCTCCTCCGGTCACCCATCCGCCTATAGAATGTGGAAGCCGCACTCGCCGCCGCCGCCGCGGGACACCAAGTCGCCCGACCCAGAAACGAAGCAGCGGGCGGCGCGCCGCTTCGCGCAGATCGTCAAGCTGAAGCCCGAGTTCGCGGCCAGGTATAAGGAGGTGCACGCCGCCGTGTGGCCCGAGGTGCTGCAGCAGATCAAGGTCTGCAACATCCAAGACTGTCAGTCGCGTCACCTCTCCTCCCCTTCCTCCTCTTCCCCGACGGCGCGCGCGCGCCGCTCCTCGCGAAGAGGAAAAAAAAAACACTACCTAGGTACACCATGAGAAGGTTCGCGCCGAGCTCAGCCGCGTCCAGATAGCATATTCTACGACGCCGAGACGGGCATCCTCTTCGCCTCCTTCAAATACGTCGGATACGACTACGCGGGTGACATGGAGCGCATGCGAGAGAACCCGAAAGTGAGGGAATGGTGGGCCATGACCGACGCTTTCCAAGAGGTAACGTGATTTTCTTCCCCACCCCTTGGGACGCGAGACGTTCTGCCGAGTGTGCTGACGCGCACGTGTCGCAGAGCATGGTCCCCGGCGCGAAGAGCAGCGAGTCCGGCGAGCCGCCGTGGTGGAGGGAGGTCGAGGAGGTATTCTATACGGAATAGTACGACCGACCCCTCGACGGGCCGCGGTGGACCCCCCGGTAGCGGCGACGGCGGCAACGGTAGCAACGGCCACGGTACCGACGGTGCGGAGAAGGGATGAGAAACAATTGGAGACGGACAGGTCGAAGCTGGCGCCGGTTTGAGGCAGCAAGACTCGTGGTCTCGGGACGATCTTCAGCTGTAGCCTGTAGGTACAACGACGGCCCGGACGGGCGTATGTAGCGGGTACCTGGGGGTCACCTCATTCTCCAAATCTCTCGCAATGTGCAGTATTGTGGGTATCCATCTTCGCGCAATATGGACGGAGGGAAGCCGGTTCTTATATCCACACACAGGGGGACCTATGCCATATTACCGTCGAACCGGGGTAAATACCTATCTGCCTACCGACCTACCAAGATGCGTAGGTACATTTCCCTTAGTCAGCCACCTAAGTTAACGTAGTATACGACCCGGAGGTTAAGTTCGGTAGGTACCTACCTCTACATACAATCATCCAAATCTCCCACGCAACCACGAAATTCGGCTCTTCGTTTTCAAGGAATTCTTTTTTTCACCTCGACATCCCAGGAGGCTGTAACCGGACGATATCTCTCCGCATCCATTTGGGAATTGGAGCAATATCCACGTTCTGCGGGAGAAAGAAAGAGAGAGCGGTTGCGTCTGAGCGTGGGTGTTTCCTACCGGCGAATTTTCGGCGGACGGCCCCCTTCCCTTCCCTTCCCCTCTATGGCATCCCGAATCCCGCCGCTGCTGGACCCCTACCTGCGGCTGCCGCCGGAGGCCTCGCTCGTGCTGCTGACGGGGGTGCTGGGGTCGACGACGAACTGGCTCGTGCAGCGGTACCTGCAGCGGCTGCTGGCGGCGTCCGCGCCGCCGCCGGAAGACGAGGCCGCCGCCGTCGTGCTCGCCAGCTTCCTGCGCGGCCACGCCTTCTGGCGCGACGGCGCCGCCCGGCTCGGCGTCGACCTCGACGCGCTCGCCGCCAGGGGCCGCTTCGTCTTCGTCGACGGCCTGACACGTCTGTTCCGCGACGCGGCCCCGTCGGGCGCCGCTATCCCTCCCCCCTCCGCGTCCGAGCTACCCGCCGCTGCTGGCCCCACCGCCCAGCGCCGCGTCTTGTCCGCGCCCACGCTCCAGCGCCTGCGCCGAGAGCTCGACGACGCCGTGGCCCAGGTCCGCCGGACCGCCCCGGACCGCCCCGTCGTGCTGGTCGCCGACCAGCTCGACTTGCTGCTCGCCGCGTCCGGGGACGAGATCTCGAGCGCGGCGCTCCGGGAGACGCTGCTCTCCGTTCGTGAGGTGAGTACGCTAACTTCTTGCTACCCCCCTCTGCGCTCCGGGCGAGGGGCTAGCTTCCGTGATCTCGGCCAGCAAGCCGATGAAACAGCTACGTCTCGGGGGGGCCGTTTATTAATGGGTTTACACGGGCAGGGCGTGCACTCGTGCGTCGTCACCCTAGCCGCGGATGAGCCGCTCATGGCGGCGCAGACGACGTCTTTGGAGCAGCGGCACGCGGCGTTCGCCGTCGCCTTAGCTCATGACGCGCACCTCGTCGTTAGCCTTAGGGGGCTCGATACGGGCGCGGCGCGGGATGTGAGCGGTGTCCTAAGGGTCACGCCAGGTGGCAGCCGCGACGACGCAGATGGTGAGGTGGAAGAACGAGAGTTGCTCTATTTTGTAGCTAGCGATGGTGGACTGCGGGTCTCCGAGCGAAGCCGGTAACCGTGGCATGCCTACTGGCTCGATACGTCCTACCACTGCTCACAGGTGCAGTATACATATCCTCATCTCCCCATCCGGACGCCACATAATACATATAGCAACACGTACTGCGCACCTCGCGCCAACCTGGAAAATCGTCGAGCTTGTCAAATCACGATGCCATTTTTTTAGTCGTAACTGCTAGTACAACCGTTCCGTGAAACTCAGAAGATGATACCAGTCCATGATGAGCCAGTCCGAATGTCACAAACACCATTTCCCCGCCGTGCTGTCGCAATCACTGCCAACTTTATTCCCTATTGCCTTCCCCGTCCCCTCTATTTTAGCGCCGGACCTCTCGCGCCCTTGGGTGCACCGGTTTGGAAGTCGTTCTTAAATCTGCGGGAGACATCTTTGAGGTATCGCATGCGGCCGGTGCCGGTGGTCTTTCGGCGCTTCGCCTTTTCGCTCCAGTTGTCTGCAGGGACCACGTCAACATCGATCCCACGAATCACTCGGGCACCAGCCTTAAACCCAGCACGCCCATCCAACTCGTATTTTTCCTCCTTGATATCCCGTCTGTAGCGGCAGGGTTTCACGTACACTTCCGGGTCTTAGCAGACGGGTATCCGCAGGCAGAGCAAGTGTGCTTCTGGACGTGGAGAGAGCGACGTCCTACAGGTGGGTGCATTCGTCAGTCTATTTCCATCTCGCCTCGAACTGGCATCTTTCCTCCTCTTCCTTTTTTTTTCCTCGGTTCGTCGCTAGGGTCGATTTACTAACCACATCGTCGGCAGAGGGTGTGCGTCTTATTGTGACGCTTTCCGAAGCTGGAAGTTCCCTTGGCTGTGGTCCTAGTTAGTCGCGTGTCGGTGTCGTCGGTTGGGGTTCAATTTCGAGATACGCACTCATCTTGGCGGCGAAACTGCGAGTATAGCTGTTAGTACGCTACGGTAAATGACGCGATTTTCAGGAGGGGATGGTTCGGGAGATTTCGCGCGGACACGGTTCGTACACACCTTCAATTCGGGTTGGAGAGTCGGAGTTGTGAGGGCGGAATGGTCGTGTGTTGCTAGTGGTGGTGGTGGTGGTGATGGTAAGAGTAGTAGGTTATTGTCGGTACTGCTTTTTGGCTGGTTGAAAATTTCGGGTTTGCGATTTCGTGTGGCCGAAGAGGAACCGAGACGGGCAGCCCTACCTCATCCCCCGATCCGGGTAGAGTCATCCAACAGGGTTTGCTGCATATGTCGCTCGATATTCAGGGGGTGGCCGGGTCCGTGCATAAATGTACATCCAATTCATCTATCCGGATATTTGTCCTGGTGCGCAAGGTATCCCTCGTATGAGGTACCTACACATTGTACTCATACACAACCACGTGTTGATAAGATAATATGTCGCAGGTGCCCCTCTTCCACCGTCGTCATTTATCCCTGGGTCACCAGCCGGGCGCCATGTGACGGATACCACCCTCTGGCTATCGGGAACAGAGGAGTGAGCCGGAGTGTCGAAGCTGCCTGTGCCATCGAGGCTTGTCGACATCTTCTTGCCTTCCATCTATTCCCAGATTCACCTTTCTTCCCATCTACCATCTTTCACTCGACAGGTAACTACTTGCGTCCGCTTACAGTCCACCTATCTGTCTGCCTACCTCGTTCCTCATCCGCCAACACTCTGGTGCCAGGCCTCTCCGACCAAACAAACCCCACCATCACCACCCGTCACTATCATCACCAATAGTCATCACCTTCATCGCCATTGCCATTGTTATCATCGCCGCCCAGGCGCCGTCCGCTTGCACCATTATCTCTCTTTTCCTACTCGTATCTTCTACGTTGCCTAATAGTGTTCAGTATACCTACCTCTCTTCGCTCCGCTCGGCTGAGATCCAGCGACCCAACCTCCCCCCTGGGTCTCCACCGTCATCGCCAAGATGAACCTGTTATACTCCACAGTCAACACCATCCGGGACAAGTACACGCCCGTGAGCTACACGTCGACTTTTCGAAAGACGGGCCAGATCACCCCTGAGGAGTTCCTGGCAGCCGGCGACTATATCGTTTTCAAATTTCCCACCTGGTCTTGGGCCGATGCCGACTCCGATTCCAAGCGCGTAAGCTACCTACCCCCGGGGAAGCAATATCTAGTCACGCGGAACGTCCCATGCAACCGTCGCCTCGATGACGACTTTGCCGGAGATGCCGGCCACGAGGAGGCGGTCGTCGGTGACGGCGACGACTTCAACGCCAAGGGCCGCGTGGACGACGACAACGGTTGGTTGCGCACCGGAGCCCTCAGCAGCTCGCAACCTCTAAAGGCGAAGGAGGTGCGGACTGTTGACGACGCGGGCAACGTGGCCGACGATAGCCTGGACGACGAGGATGAGATCCCCGATATGGAAGACGAGGACGATGACGAAGCCATCATCCGCGACACCGATCCGCGCAGAAAGGCCGGGTAAGCACGCGATCACTTTTCACTACGCCGCCTCGTCAATCATCATTCTGGGTCGCTGACACCTTCGGGATGCTTCATTAGGGCCCGCCGCACGTACACCCTGTATATCATGTACTCCCCCTACTACCGAACCCCCCGCCTCTATCTCTCGGGCTATTCCGAAGGACAGCCTCTCGCTCCGCAGTTCATGATGGAGGATATCGTCGGCGACTACAAGGACAAGACGGTGACGTTGGAGGATTTTCCTTTCTTCTCCAACAACGTCAAGATGGCTAGCGTGCATCCCTGCAAGCACGCCTCCGTCATGAAGACTCTCCTGGACCGCGCCGATGCGGCCCTCAAGATCAGGCGCGAGAAGATGAAGTCCGGCAAGGCTGTCGGAAGCGACCCGGGGATGGAGGGCTTAGTAGACGAGATCAACAAGCTGGACGTTAAGAGTGCCGAGGCAGCCGCCGAGTCGAGTAACGACGACTGGGAAGAGGTCGAGGCTGAGGAGCAAGAGGTGGCTATCCGAGTTGATCAATACCTCGTTGTATTCCTCAAGGTAAGCGATCTGCCCCCCTCCCGCCATACGAACAATGTGGTTAGACAGTGCTAATCGGCGCTTATACAGTTCATGGCGAGCGTGACTCCCGGCATCGAGCATGATTTCACCATGGGCGTATGACCGGTTTCCCATTGTTCGATGAGGGATCTAGAGTTGGTGGAGGTCGGGCAGCTACTGGGAGCCTTTTGGCGGCGTTTGGAATTTGGATTCGGTAGGCTGATGATGGGATACTTAGAACAGGGGGGCCCGTTTCTACTCGCTGTCACAATGGACAGGTATCAGACCAGTGTGAGCTTCACACCACAGCCCCTACAGCCGCATTGCGGACTATTTCCACTAGATCCTACTGCATTGTCGAAGAGCGATCGACTATAATTACAGGCGGCACCGGCCAATGATTTGCTTGTCGCCCCCCCTATGGGTGTGTCAGAGGCGTGTTGGGCACGAATGGTTTTCTCCTTTCCTCTTTTCGGCACGCATTGCGCTCTTCCATGCCGGGTACACATTTAGATATTCATTTAACCTAAGAGTCGGTCACACCTAGCTATAGGCATTTGAACGGGAGAATATGCTTTTGTCTTTTACGCCGAGAAATGCTCTGTTCTATTGTGTCCACGTGTACTGACGTTTCTTTCATCTGGTTACTAGGGCATACAGTTGAATATCTAACCTAATGGTATGAGTCTACTTTTACTTAGCTCTACGGAAAGGAAGCGTGTTTCGGGCGTGACCCCTTTCCGCTGCCTCCACTGGCACACAGAGCGAGAGGACTCAAACATCGTCCATCTTGGTCCTCGCGGTGGCGGTCTGGCCGGGCTCGCCGTCCTGCTCGAGCTGGCGGTCGACGTTGTGCTGGACCTTCTCCTGGACGTCCTTGCCCTCGAACATGAAAGAGAGCTCCTCGAGGGTGCGGTTGTGGGTCTCGGGGAAGAGGAGGTAGACGGTGAGGATCTCGACGAGGATCCAGCCGCAGTAGACGAGGTAGTACTTCCAGCCGATGCGGTCGAGGGCGACGGGGTTGACGTAGGTGTTGAAGAAGACGGCGAAGCGGACGGTGAGCTGCTGCACCGAGATGCCCTTGGCGCGCTGCTGGTACGGGAAGATCTCCACCATGTAGGTGTAGTTGAGCGCGTTCCACCCGATGTTGTAGAACTGAACAGAGCAAGAGAGAAAGAAAGGGAGATCAGCTCGCGGTCTGGCTTCAGCGGCGGGGCGCTCCGACGGATCAGCGCGGGAGAGGGGGGGGCGGGAGAGACTCACGGGCGAATAGACGAAGATGAAGACGAGGACGGGGATGGCGGCGCGCGCCGAGTTCTCGATGGCGAAGCGGGCCGACGCGATGGTCCAGACGGTGTAGACGACGGCGGTGCCGATGGTGCAGGTCAGGAAGCCGACGCGGCGCGGGAAGCGCGGCGCGATGAGCGCGATGGGCACGGCGTTGATCAGGCCCCAGCACGTGTTACTAAGGATGACCTGCTGCACCGTGCGGTTCTCCGTGATGCCGACGAGGTTCAGGATCTTCTTCACTGCGAGCGCTTGTTAGCATCTGAAGCTCTCTCTCTTCGCGACGGCCGAGGGCGGCAGGCGGCTAGGCAGGCATGATCCCTCGTCGTCGACGTCGGTGATGGCATGGCGAGAGACGCGGGCGGGTGTGGTGGTGGGCGTATGGGGAGCGAAAAGAGGGATCCCGGAGACGGGTAGCTGCCCACTTACTATACGATCGTCAGCGTGTGTACCTCCACGCAAGCGCAGCAGTTTGGGGGTGGATTCTCCGAGAAACAGACGTACCTATAGAAACTAAGAAGCCCATTGCCGCTCCATTGGGTGAAGAATCCGACGGTCGCGGCGAGGAGAAACCTGCGCCTCATTGGCGGGTCTCTGGAGTCGGTCGAAAATCGTCAGCACAAGTGAGACCCGAGGGAACTGGGGGGAGGGGGGAACAAGCGCCAGGAGGGACAGTGTGTACCGGAGAACGTCTGCCCATATGAATTTCTTAGCCACCTCCTGCTCCTGGGCGATGGTGCTCTGGATCTGGGCGAACTCGAGGCGGACGAACTCCTCGCCGTTGTCGCCCTCGCTGTGGTACTTGCGCAGGATCTCGTAGGCCTCGTCGGCGCGGTCGACGGAGCACAGGTACCTCGGCGACTCGGGGCAGAAGGGGAGGGAGACGATCTGGCAGAGGCTCGGGACGAACTGCAGGAGGGACGGCAGCCGCCAGGCCCAGGTGCTCCGCATCTGGAACGTGCCGTACGTCGTCCCGGCGGCGATGATGGCGCCGAGATGCCAGGACGCGCTGAACAGCGACGTCATGGTCGCCCTCTCCTTCGCGTAGGCCAGCTCGCCGATGAGCGCCGACGCGTTGACGATGGCGAACGGGATGCCGAACCCGAGCACCCAGCGCGAGGCGAGGAACATGTCGCTATTCCGAGCTCCGGCCTGCAGGAGTTGGGGGCGAGGTTAACGAGAAGAAGCCTTCGCACAAAACGACGAAGAGGGGATGGTGAGGCGACGAAGCCGATTTACCTACTTGCAGTCCGGCGCCCACACACATGACCAGAGATGCTGCCATGATGGTCCAGCGCCGGCCGAGGTATTGCGATGCCGAGGGGACGAACGGAACGGCCATGAGCGCCCCGAGGGAGTACATTGCGTTCAGGAGGCCGAGACGGCCTTCGGTTGGGTTGTCGAAGTCTGGCATTTAGTTTCCGGGGCCCGCGTTAGCAGAGATACCGTCGATGCTCAAATAGGGGGGAAGGGGTCGCTGCTGTTGCGTACATTCGACCCAGGACGCTACGGCTTGTAGGGAGTTCATCATCGAGGAATCAAACCCTGAGGTCCACTCGACTCCCATGGCGCTGGGTATGAGCACCTAGAGACAAATCGTATCAGAGAAGAAGCCGAAGAGAATCTACAGGAGCTTGGCCGAAACGGGGCACGGTGTTGTGTGTTGGACATGTCACTCCGGCACCGTGACTATACACGCTCCGGTGGCATTGTCATCTGAGCGAGCATATTCCCTCTCGACGTGATCAAGACGAGGATTCAGGCGCAGATTCTCGGTGAGGATGCGGCCCCGTTGTTTAACCTAACGGCTCCGGCGCAGAGGCGCTTGGGCGTGATTGAGACAGCTAGGGAAGCATACAGAGAAGGGAAAGAGGAGGAGAGCTCCCTGGAAAGTCAACGCGGGGCTACTGACAAGGTAAAGCGACCGTAGGTGAGGTTTCTGGTACCATTTCTTCGTGTCTTCTTGCGCGATGATAGTCAGCCGGGGATCGACATGATGCTCTCTGTTCCCTATGATCGCCATCGCAGCAGATTTGTATAGCTACGCCTTACAAGCTCGAAGCAGACACGAGCGAAGAGAGAGAGAGTCGCAGCTTGCAGGGAGCCAGCATCCTGCCCTCTCGAGACGAAAACACCCCTCTATTTATTATCACAAGCCAGACTTGGTACAAGTGCGACTATAGATGTATGTAGGTGTGAGTCGCGACGTATTAGGCCGACAATCTGGGGGCGGCGGAGACTCTATCTCCGCTGCCCTATCCGGCGATATATCCATCCGCGGGGGGTAGATATGCCCAGTTGAGAGAGAAGAGCGGAAGCGAGCGTGAGCCCAATGGGACCATCACGATGCTATGCTGCTTACACCTCCGCTGTTGGCCGCATTGCGAGAGCGGAGAGTGGTGGGCGCGGGAGGGATTCGAGTTGCGTTCTCCGCGCCGGGGTTTGCTGTACTGTACCGCACACTACACGCATAACGCGGACCAGCCCATGGAACCAATATCATACTATAGACGGTATTGGAACCCCACGAATCGGTAACCCACCCCCCTGTCCCCCCCCCGCCCCCCCGGCTCTGTATGTGCAGAGCCGGTTATACATACTTACTCGAGAGAGGGCACCCAGATCTCACCTCCCCTTCCTTCACCCCATCTCCCCCTCATACGTCCTTGTCTGGTGGATCTTATTGTCTATATGCAACCAAATATACAAGGGGCTATTGTTTACCGGCGAATCGCCAGGCCATTTTGATCGTGTCACGTAGGCATGTACCCCTAGTGGGAACCACCTAGCTTACCTAAGCTAGCTAAGTATTACTATATATACCTATAGATCGCTTTATATTCTTTAATAGCTTTCCTTCTTTTCTAGTTAGTTAATATATACCTTCTTATCCTTATTTTATTACTTTCTTTACGAATAACCTATTAACCTAAACTTAGCTCTCGCTAGTTACGTAATAGTTATAAGCCCGGGGTACTTCTAAGGAGTTATTATTACTTAGGTTATTCTAACGTAAGTAAGTAATATATTTATTTATCTCTTAGATCTTACGATTATATTTTCTTTTTATTTCTAAACCGGTACTTTACTCTCGTATTTAGCTTTAAATAATCGCTTACTTATTTCGCTATAACGATTAATACGTCCGAATTCTTCCTAGATAAGATTTTAGTTAACGTTTACTTACGAGCTTACGATAAGTAGCTACGGTAGTTCCTAACGCTTAAGTCGATAGCTATTTAATTCGGTATCTAAAAGGACGTTAATTTAAATGGAATTAAGTTTAACGCTACTCGAGTCGTAATAGGTACTTTTAAGGAATATATTACTCAAGAAAACGAACTCCTTAAAGAAAACTATAAGAAAGCCGTTTACGAATAAGCGTCGATCTTAACTAAAGACCGAGGAAATTAACTACTAAGGCCTAAGGTACGAACTCGAGAATAATAAACGGTAGCGTATAATAAGTTCGTTTCCTAGTAAATAACGATCGAGGCTTAGGTTATAGCTATTAATAAGTAATATAAGGTTCTTTATAGTTAGATTCTCGCTTTTATTTCTATAGGCTTTCTTAAGGTAATTAATATAAAAATATAATTCCTAGATCTCGACCCGATTATTTAAAACCTCGTAAAGATCCTCCGTAAGTAAATTACTCCTACCGAAGCCGCTATTAAAACGCTCGTTAAACGAGAATATCGTAAGATATTCTAAAGAATAAAGGCAGGTATTTATAATCCCGAGTAGTTCTACGTTATATAATAATACGCCTTCCTTCGCGCTTACGCTTATTATATTAACGAAATTAAAGGCGTTATAGGAGCAAAGGATTTCCTCGAAGTAATTAAGGCTAAGATCGTAATCGATTAAACTATACGGATATTAATCGCTTTTACTAAAGCTAATAAACTCGGCGAATAACTAAAGACCCTTAAATAACTAGGCATCGTATTTAACGTTTTCGTTATTAAAAATAAATAGAAAAGTAAATTAGGTTATAAAATTTTCGTAATAGCCTACTAAGGACCGATTTTAGGAGCGAAATTAACTAATAATAACGGCTAAGGAAAATTAATAAGCTACGAATACCCTTATAAGTCTAAAGGTAAACCATACTTATAAGTAGCTCGCTCGTATGAAATCCTATAAAAGTCCGTTACTAATTAAACTATACGTAACCTAAAGCCGATCCCGGTTAATATCATACGAAAAATTAAAGCTAAATACGACTTACCTAAATACGCTAAGCTCCGAAACTAAATTAACTACTAGGGGTAAGACGTTCCCGTAAATAATATACCTAATAATCGCTCCGGGAACGGGAGAGGAAATAACGCTACTACCTAACTAATTAATATTAACGTAATAATAATCGACCTACGTATTATATACCTATCTACTTAAACTAAGATCTACTTTATTATAGATTTAATTCGATACTTATTATCGGAAAGTACCGTCTTCGATAATTATAAAGTAATCTACCTTATTAATAATCGTAATCTTTTAATAAAGGGGTCGTTCGTTTCCGTTAGAAACGGATAAACGGTCGAAGCTAGTACTATAAGCTTTCCTATTATTAATACGGGTCGTAAAATCATCGAAAAATATATCCTAAATTAATTTAATAAGCCTACCTTCGATCTAAAGCTTAAGAATATCGTACTTATTAAAGATTTTTACGTTAATATTATCTCTAAAGCGAAACTTCGTAGTATAGGTATTTAATTTTACGGTTTAAATTATACTTTAAGGAATAGAACCCTCGAGAAAAGTATTATAGTAAAAAAGCTAAAGCGACGCTTTAACCTAGTCTTTTTCGAATTTAAGTAATTCTTTTCTTACTCGTAAGTCCTACCCGTAATACCATTTATAATACTATCGAGTATTCTACGTAGCGTAGCGTCGATCGTAGTAATATCCTATTTCCCGGAAAGAAACGTCCGGTAAAGAAGATCGAAAGATATTACTAAACCGAAAAAAGACTCCGAGGTACTTTAGTATTAGCGAGTAAGGTATCTTAGTTTTAAAGCGCTTAGAGCCTTCGTTAAAAACGCCCGGAACGTTAAGATTAACGGTATATTTATAATTAAGTACGAATATTATAATTAAGCGATAAATAAGAAAGTAATTTCGCGCCGTTTACTAATTCATTACTCGCTACGTTCTTTTTAAAAGATATATTAGGATTTATTTAACTATCCGAAAGGTTACGACGGATTTAAGTAGCTTATCGTAATTAAGGATAAATTTAACGGAATATTATAGGTTAAGACCCTAAAGAATAAGTAAGGTCTATTAATAATAAGAACTCTTCGACTCTTTAAAAGATAGGTTCGGAAGTAATTCCGATTCTTAATCTATAAGATACGTTACGATAACGAACGCTTAATAATAAGCATTAAAGGTATATCTAGATATAAGATCTAAGTAATAAAAGAGGACATTAATCTCGAACTCTTACCGGCTAATAATAAGAAGCTAACCGGTAGGGGTAAGAAAGCTAAATAGATTATTATCGTTAAGTCGATTAAGATAAGAATTAAAGTAAGGCTACTAAAGAAACTATAGCCGGAAACCGTTAAAGCCGCGGCATATCTAATTAATATTAGCCTTAACTAAGCTTATAATCTTCGTATACCTTACGAGCTCTTAAATATTTAATTTAAGTAATACTTTAGATAATATACTCTAAAGGTAATAAAGGAATTAACGAGTAACCTACGACCGGATTAGAACGGTATCTATATATACGGGTATCGCGCGTATTCCTTAATAAGAAAACGTACCTAGGATCTTAATAAGAAAGGGTTTAAAATAAACCTACGAGCTTATATCGGGTATTTAGTAGGATATTATATTAGTAACCTATACCGAATTTAGGTTCCTAGGTTAAGTAAAGTAATCCTAATTAGGGATATAATCTTTAACGAAGAAACGTTTTATAACTAGATAAATAAGCTAAAAGCTTAGTAATTCGAACGGGAAGAAATTAATCGAATAAATCTCTCGATACGTATAAGTAATAACGTTACTTAATTAATTATCGAAGTATTAGACCTATAGGATTCGCTCGTATTATTTAATCGAGAGCTAAGTAGTAAGCTAATTCCTCTCGGGAATAGCGAGCCTACCTCGGGTAACTAGGATTTAAATACGACTTAATCCGCCGGTTTTAGCTCGGGAATAAGGCAGCCTCTAAAAGAAGAAGAACTAAAGATAAATTTTAATAATTTAGAATACGAAACGGCTAGGTTTAAAAACGAATAACCGTAAAAGGTAATAAAATCATTCGAATTAATCGAGTAGGAGATATAAAAATAATTCGAAGCGGAAACCTAGGAAAAATTAAACGAAGAAGCGGATATATCTTACGGGCTCCCGAGTTTAAGACTTACTTTAATCGTACTCGCGGAAGTTACGGAAAGTAAGAGTACTCCGATAAAAAGTATAGAATAACTAAAGTTAAGTACGGCTATTAATAAAAGTACCGAAAGTCCGGAGCGGCGAATATACTTCGCTAACGGAATAAATACTCGGGAATAGCCTTTAAAGTAATTAACTAAAGAAACTCGTACTTCCTCCGAAGAAAAGGAGTAATATAACCTATCCCCGTAAATTACTTAGCGTAAGTAACGTAAAAAAAAGGTCTATCCTCTTATTATCCGTTATAATAAAAAGAAAAGAAGAGAAAGCCCGGAAAGAAATGAAGTAATAGGTAGCTTAAGTATTAAAGTTTACGTAATATCGGATAATCTAACGGCTAAGAATAACCTCCTAAGAAATCGCTAACTCGACTTTATAATAACCTTTTAGCTTAATTAATTAAAAGGATAATAAGTAAAGAGCTACGATAAGTATATTACGCTATACTTAATTTTCGTAATAGCCGTTAATTAAATAAAGGCCGAGCGATTAAGCGTATCGCCTAATAAGATAAGAATTTACCGCGACGATTTACTTAAACCGCTAAAGATATAAAAGGACCTAAATAAATATTTATTAAAAGAGCGATTTAAAGAAAACGCTAGATCTAAAATTAAGGCCTTCTTACGTATTAAAATATAACGTATTATTAATCGCGAACGGATAAGAATAAAGCTAATTTTATTAATATAGGTTTTCGATTATAAATTCGACGAAGATAATTTCCTTACTACCTATAAGTCGCGCTTAATAACGCGAAAAGATTTATAGCCTAAAGAATTACTCGAAAGTACTTACGTAGCTACGTTAATAATAAAATTATTCCGTATAATAATAGCTATCGTAACTTAATTCGACCTCGAAATTAATTAATATGACATTAAAAACGCGTTCTTTAACGCGGTAAAACCGGAAAGCGACCTTATATCTATAGAGTTACTAAACGGGTTTAAGGAAGAAGGAAAATACGCCCTCGCTATAAAAGTAATATATAGGTTTAAAGATTTACCCTTACTTTAGTTTAAGGAAATCGAAAGTACCCTTAACCGCTTAGGACTTTAGAGCTTTCTAAAGAAGCC